GGTAAAATATGCTCAAGTAAACCTTATTACTGACAAGATGTGTGGAGAGGCTCTTCAACGCAGAGGCGCCGTCGTGGCGATATGTTAATTACCGCGCCTAGTATGCAGGAGGTCATGGGTTCCATCCCAACCCTTGATGCCTGTATATTTAGGGTTTGCATGTTCTCCCTGTGGTCGCGTGGATTTTTTTCCGGGTCCTGCAGTTTTCCCTCCACATTTAAAATCAACATGCGTTTACAGTATTTGGCTGCTATACATTTCCGCATAAGCCACTTTGTTGAGCAATCTTTTGTGGCCAGGTTGCTTCTGAAAAAGAGCTATATAGCTCAGTGAGCCTCACCTGGTAAAATAAAATAGTTTAGTATTCACCAGTGAATAAATTAAGGGCCGTAATTTAGTATAAATAAATTTATTGTATAGAGTCAGAGCGTGACAAACAACAGTATGGATGTTAATGAAAGTTTTACTCCTATCATTTGACGTCGGAAAGACTTTTCATTTACGATCACTCCCACTCTGGCTGACCATTAGAGGTGATGACGGCCGAATGGCGCCAAGTGGCTTATAGATGTCGGAAGGTATCACATTACATGGAATGGACATCACTGTCAGTGGTTTATCAATTAATTGAGAAAAACATACTCTGCCGCAGATGTTGGGCCTGAGATTTGTTTACGAATACTGTAACAGCGAGTCATTATTAATGTATTGGATAGCTCTGTGTGGTTGTTTGTAGGACAGCTGTGAATTTGTATACAGGAATTTGTAAACGCATGCATGATGGAAAGTGGCTGTGGAGAGTGCCATGGCTACAAAAGGCAGTCAGTAATGCCTCCATCCAAATGCAGTAGCATATTGTCCAAGGATTAAAAGTCACCTAAGGATTTCAGGCTTGTGAACAAACAGTAGATTAAGAGAGCATACACAGAGGGACACGACTATACAACGTGTTCGTAACATTATCATCCATCATTAATGAATTCTCATTAGACCGTTTGCACTGTGGTGGAACTGCTGGTAACATATTGCTTATGTACAGTATCTTGGATTTTTCAACTGAGTTTTGAGTAATCTGCTGGACAGCTAGAGCAGCACATCACAGAAGTGTTTGAAACGATTAACATCTGAGATGTTGTTGAACGTCTGGGACTCTATACTCTTAGGTTTTTTTTGGTAAAGTCACGTAGGTAAAAAATAATAATAAAATAATAATAAATGAAAATAACTCCATTAAATCACAACGTTTTAGAAGCAACACAAGTCTCCGTCTTCAGGTGGGACCATCACAGCTGAATTTACTGTATCAAGTGAAGAGAAATCCAAGAGACAAGATCTTAAATACTGGTTAAGGGGGGGGGGGGGGAGCTTATCTAAATGTGGCAGTCAGGGACTGGGAGGGTGGGGGCGGGGCTAGAAGGGAAGGTACAAGTGAAGAACCTCCACCAGGGTTACGGCCGTTGTTGGCTGCCTAAACCAAAATAGCAGCGCTGTTAAACGCTGGGGATGTCAACAACTCGGTAAAATTGACTAGTACCTGTCAAATAAGATGGTACAAATATGCGTAGTTAAATCTTTTTTACATGGTTAATAACATATTTCCAATAATTGCTCAGTTTGTATCCATCATCACGGTTGCATTTATGTCTGTTTGTTTCATCTATTATTATTTTATTATAATTTTTTACCTACTTGACTTTACCGAAAAAACCTACGAGTATGAATCCTTGCAGTGACGAAAGCTTCAAATCTAGAATCTGGGACTCTCTAGTCTCAGTAAGGTGCCAACCACCAGTAGACGTGTGAAGGTTTAGACCAGGGGTCGGCAACCTGTGGCTCCGAATCCGCATGTGGCTCTTTACAGACTGCTTCGTGACGTAATGTGTGTGTGTGTATGTATTCACATGCATTGCGGCTCTTGAAATATTGAGTTTTGTACCAAATTCGAAACAAAATGGCTCTTCTTGGTATTTTAGTTTCCGACCTCTGGTTTTGACAAATTAAAACCCTACAATAAAATGCAAAGTGTTTGTGTGTATAATTATATTTATGGAGCTCAAACTGTTGTTTAATTGTAGTTCATAATTAATTAATTATATATTTATAGCCACCTGATGTATCATAATATATCTCCTGATTATCAACCTAACCATTCCAGATTCTTCCAAGAAAAATATATCAAACCTGACGTATACCTTTAAATGACTAAACTACTAATTGAACTACAGTAAAACCTTGAATTGCGAGTAACTTGGTCTGCGAGTGTTTTGCAAGACGAGCAAATTTAAAATAAATATTAATTTGATAAACGAACGAGGTCTTGCAATACGAGTAGTACGAGTATACGCTTTGTCTGCCGAGCGTCACGTGATCACAACTGATATTCGAGGGCTTTGGATTACAAACACGTTTCCGGAACGAATCATGCTCGCAATCCAAGGTTTTACTGTAATTTGTATTTTACCAGGTAAGGTCCATTGAGCTATATGGCTCTTTATCAGAAAGAAGTTCAACATACATATATACATACATACACACGTAATGGACTGCCTGCAACACAACATCTACCTAGGATATGAAGCGATGAAATCGGTTCTAAACTAACTATTTTTATTTGACCAGGTAAGGTTCACTGATCTATATAGCTCTTTTTTCAGACGTGATGTGGCCACAAATGATAGCTCAAGAGAGTGGCTTACAATGTGGAAATGTATGGTATCAAACTACTCTTTAAAGCTTGTTTCTAAATATTAGAGTGAAAAACTGAAGGATCCCGGAGAAAAATGCAGGTGCCCACGGGGAGAATATGCGAACTCCAATATTCAGGGTCAGGATTGAAGTCACGACCTGGAAACCGGGTAGTATAGTTATCATCATGGCACAGTGGCACCACAAAATGAACCTCATATAGTACTGCACTTTTTGATAGACATATGTTAATGTCACGAGTCTTCATTAAATAGCATATTTGTTCCAATTTTTCAAATTGGTCTTCATTGTATAGATATTGTTATGACTCAATATGTTACAAATTTTCCATAAACGTTCAAACCCTAACCCTGTAATTACCCAACTACCTAGCTGTTGTAGGAACAATGTATTGTTTTTCGAATAATTTTTACAAAGTCTGTAAATTAAAGATTTCAGTTTACAACATGTTCACATTAGAGGTGGAATTTAATTAAAATAGTAATGCTTTATTCACTGCAACTGATCTGACTTTCTGGTGGGACTTGGAAAACAACTCGTGTTGCTGATGAAAATAGATGTGACCTTTATCTCTTGTTTTCATGGAAACAAGTGGGAAGGGACTTACCCATCCTTTTTTCCATTCAAATGCAAATTAAATTTGACTTCATGGAAATTGAAGCCTCTAAACAAGCCCGTATATAATCCTTATGATGTGCTGCCCTGCCAGTTCCTTAGTTTGACTTTGCATGCAAGTTTTTCAAAAGTGGAGGAGTGACTATACCGCAAGCTTGTTACTCATTAAGCAGCGCTGTTAGAAAGTCATGTGATGAGGACACATGAGCTGAGGCTTTTTTTTTACCTCATCTCAAAGTAGATCTTGATATAGCCAGACCGATCTAAAAAAGCCTCTTATGTTCACCTGATGTATCAGATACTGCCCACCAGATACTGCCAGCAATATAAATGGGTATTGCGCAGTTGTTTAGCAGTTTTTCCATGGTGGGTTAAAGTTCAGGTACTTCCACTGTTACCAAAGCTCAATATTTCAAGAGCCACAATGCACGTGAATACATACATATACACATTACGTGACAAAGCAGTCCATAAGGAGCCGCATGTTGCCGACCCCTGCTCTAGTGAGATGCCTTTTCGCCAGCACCTATGAACATCTTGGAGCGTATATGTTGTAAATTAAATATGTTATGCATATTTGAAGTTTGCATGTTCTCCCCGTGGTCGTGTGGATTTTTTTACCAAGTCCTCCGGTTTTTCCCTCCACATTTAGTATCAACATGCGTTTAGAGTATTTATTGGGCGACTTTCAATTTCCACATGATAAGCCACTTCATTGACATATAATTTGTGGCCAGGTCGCTTCTGATAAAGAGCTATAAAGCTCAGTGGGCCTTACCTGTTGAAAGAAAAATAATTTAGTTCATAATTCAGCATGTACATAATTTGTTATGTTTATCAGTGCACGTATTTTCACGTTTTGGCTTGGAGTTTTTGTAGTGTTTCATGATATAAATGTCCTTGAATAACATTATAAACTTAATTTAGTATTTTTAACATCGAGTAAAAACATGAATGTGTACCTTCGTATTAGTTAAAATATTTCAGTGAGTATCTTTGCTTTATATGATGTAATGGTTTTTGCCTCTTGCACTTTAAAATGCTCAAAACATTGTTTTGTTACCTGGAACTCTTGTATTTTTAGCTATTTATTTTGTCCACTTCATGTTACCTTTTTCTTCCATGTGACAAATTATTCAATTATACCTACATTTAAATTGTTACCACTATCTTCTGACAATATATTGTGGTGTAACTTCAATGCAAGGACATTGCCTTGAAAGGACACTTGCTTGTATCATTGTACAGTTTTTGATTTTCCCATTTGCGTTTGGGCTTCTAACAGTGATGATTTGACAGCGCTGTGCTATGCAGCACTGGGAAAAAATGCATTCAGTGGCTTCTAGGCCCCAGAGAATCTCTCTGAGCTCATTTCCTTACGGTCAGGAAAACAATCGGCTAAAATAAACAACCAGCAGGAAACGGAAAGCGAGTAAGTCCCTTACTCAGCGGACGCTGTGATTTATGGTGTTTTTGTCGGATTTTATTTTTGGGAGGCCAAAAAAAAAGATTTTCAAATTGTTTGTCCCCGGTACAGTATTACAGCACAGACAAAAATGCCTCCTAAAAAAGTAGGTGTATGTATGTGAAATGCTTTTGTATAATTGCCGCACTCATTCAACATTGTTCCAATTGTATTTTGACGTATTTGCGTATATGTGTGTTGGTTACTTTTTCAGGGAAAGCTGGTGAAGTACTTCAGTCGGCAGCTGTGTTGCAAGCAGAGCATCTCCAGCGCAGAAAGAGACCCTCGGCTGGAGGAGTTCCCGAGTCTCCACCACTGGCTGCGAATTGTGGGACTGCACGGTCACGTCATGCAGGTAAAGGGAGTGCCTACCATTGATTGGGACTGTGACATGGCCGTGTGCGAGCACGTCTGTTGCTGGCTGGGTGCAGAGGTTCGCGGTTAGAACCCCAGGGTGTGCCCTGGTTAATACTGTGAGTGTATGAACTATGTATATGTAAAAAAAAAATACGTGCTGTGAACCTCATTTTACATCACTTCCTGCTGTTTGTAATCACGCCTTTTGCGTGTTGTTATCTTTGTGTGCTTCGCAGTGAACGTAAAAAAAAACCTTGTAATATTCAAAAAGAGTTGGCCATACGTGCCACTGTCACGGTACATATTGTCAAAGCAATTCCGACATATCATTGAATTGGAAAGCACATAGGAACATCACCCGTGAGTGCAAAACTTCACAGGATCCTTCTAAAAAAGTCTTGAGACTCATTGAGGTTTTCAAGTACAAATACATGTATTAAATTATATTGTTTTTCCGAATAATAACAAGCCTCACATGTGAACATAAGCTATTCCAAGACTCAAACTTGGCATGTCTTTCTGACCATGTTTTTTTTTATTTTGGTAAGCGGTAGCTTCTTAACAAAAGCGTATTTCCAGCTGAAGATGAATAATGGCATTGTTGTGCTGTGATGCAGTGTCAAACACTTGTGAAACAAACCAAGTGAACAATCGTGTTTAATTGTAATCGCATTTGCGGTCATATTTAAAATACACAATTGCACGTGGCAGGCATTGTGAAGGTAGTTTTCGGTGATGAGCACATCACGTGCTTTTGGGAATTAATAAGTATAACCCGTAAAAACAAAGTTTTTCACTCTAAATCCTTTATATGCGTGGCGGCTAGAGTCCTCTCATCCTCTGGCTTGAGATGGCTGCCACCTATGGGTCAGATGATTGTCTGCAGTATTAAACAATTGGTAATTAAATATAATATTTTTGTCCTATAAAGTGTAAAATTTTGGAAAAAAAATTTCACGAACATTAATTGTCACGCACAACGAGTCTGTGTGGAAAATGTCAACTCGATTGGATCATGGGAAGTGGGTTAAAAAACGACCGAAAGATTGACACGGTCGTAAGCAAGCAAGCAAGCACACAAGCACGCAAGCAAGCAAGCACGCAAGCAAGCAGGCGAACTTAATATAAAGGATTTAAAAATGAACAATATGGTAAGTTCTTGGCAGCCAAATGCTCACAAAAACAAGACAATACAATAGAGTAGAACTCTGTTTATCCGTGGTCCAGTTATCCGGAGTTGGCAGAGCATGGATCACTCTTCCAGTTATTCGGCCGCTGCTCAAATCCAGTTCTATACTTAGGCGTCTAACAATGTATCGATTCATTGATTAAAATGCAATGTTATGAAAATGATACATGCATAGATTTGTGAATATCAGAGTCTCATTTCCAGTTTATGATAATTGTATGCTCATGTTAAATTTAGGCTAAGGTAGTGAAGAACCCTGTATAAACAAGGCAACGATAAATGATACAAACATGATGAAAACGGATAGACTTAAAAAATATATAATGACAAATCATTGCATCAAATTGAACCTCTGATACAAGTATTTATGTATTAAAATGCCACTGTCCATACAGTGTCCGTCCGGCCATTATCAGTGACCAATCAGAACATTCCTTGGTGTCAATCCATCCTCACTGACCAATCATAATGTTCCCCAGTGTCGATCTGTCATCATTGAAGGTCACGTGATCCACACTTTAGTGAAGTGGGGAATATAATGCATTGTTTGGGCAACTGCTGATGTGAAGTGGGAAATATAAATTGTTTAGGTCATGCTTCCCAGTGTTGGCCCCCTCATCAGAACATCGGAAAGGAGTAAAACGAGAGGCGGCCATTCGGTCCATCTCGCCCCTTCGGACAGGAAACCACAGTCAAATTGGAAGGCAGCCAGAAACATGAAGCAATCATTTCCAAAAATCTGTGGTCTTCCAGTAAGAGGGATATTTACAATGTGGTCTAGTCTATGGTACCCCAGTGACAGTTGTGGACACGTCTGCCAGTAGGGGATCATTCTATGTATAATCCCAATTGAGTAATTTGTAGGTGATGTTTGTGATTTGGCATGTTTGCTCCATGACACCATCGCACAATGGTCTACTCTTGTAAATGAACGTCACGGGATCTCTAACTTCTCCTGTGAAGCAGATGGTGAGTTTTTTTTGTATGGTTAGTACACCCGCAGCCATCGGATTCAAACCTTGAACACTTCTACTTCTAGACCATGTTACCACCCCACGAATCATGATGAGTAGTGAATGTCTGGTGAGTGTCAGGTGAGTGGTGAATGCGCTGAGTGGTGAGGGTCTGCGGACTGTGAGATGTTTAGTGTCTGGTGAGCATTAGCTCAGTGTAAAGTGAGTGATGCATGTCAGGCGAGTGGTTATTGCAAGACCGAGGCACTTAGTGGCGAGAGCAAAGCTAGTTCTAATCAATGCCATAACATGCATCATATAACAAATCAAATCATTTTTAATAACTTAACAGTCTTTGTCAATACACTGCTGGATGAAGGCCTTTCCATATTGTATTAATCATGGGGGTTGTTTAACCATGTGTTGGTGAAGGGGGGGGGGCTAAGACACCAGTTCAGACATCACTGATTTTAAGCATGTCCAGGAATTAAACTCAGCCAGGTTCACAGCATGCAGTGCCCGAACCACTCCGCCACCGCAAAAAATACATATGACAGCCCATTGGTCAATCCACTGCTGGATGAGGGCCTCGTGCCGTGTTGGTCTTGGAAGTTATTTGCCCATATTTCTTTACACTGCGGTGAAGGGTGTGGAACATAGACGTGGGAGCATCATTGCCCTGAGTTTCTCCAAACATAAACTCGACGCATCATTTGCCATGCGTTCTTCTTTCGTGTGGCTTGTATAGAGAGACTATTAGAGATTCGGTCGTATTTACCCATTCAATTCTTTTGTCTGAGAGTTGGTTAACTGCGGATACACCGCCTTTAAATTATATAACATTAGCGACTGTGATTTTTCTGTAATAATTGTAGAATGCACATTGAAAGCATTGCTATGTATTGTTAAGTAATAAAGCACTGGAGCTGTGTAATTGAGAAGTAAAGAAGCCACTTGAAATGAGCAGAATGCTAAGTGATGTGAAAGCATACTTTGGTTGCTGTTGCACAATACAGGATTCCCAGAGGTTTCAAACACACCGCTAGTTGAAAGTGGGACTCCAGAAATCAATTACACGCTCTCAGGGTAAATCTGCAATTGCTATTTTTGTTTGTGCTGGGAAATATTTACACTTCTGCAACTACGAAAAGCAGAACTTTGGGGAATGTGGGGCACGGTGCATCTTGCTGCATCAAACCTTGCCACCCACGGTCTCCTTGCTCAATGTGTCCTCACTGCGTTGTTCCTGAAGCAGCCCCCTTTTACACTGGTGCAACGGCTTTATGTAGAACTATTCTTCAAGTGCATAATGCATTGGTTGAGTGCCGCCAGTATTTGCCCCTTTTGACAGTGACGCACAGTGCAATATTAACATGGTTTTCGTGCTAAAGTGGTTTGCTGACTAAAATGGTGAATCGGTTCTTTTTTATTCATATATTTTTTTGTTATCGATTAATTGCCATTCATTATAAAATGGTGGACACAGGGCATCCAGCTGCCAAAATGCAGGAAACTCATCGAAGCACAGCGCCCCCCAGCATGACGCAGTGACCGCTGCATGGTGATGGTGCTAAATGATGATTACGATGGTGGTGTGATCTCAGCGATTATATTCTGCACTCACAACAAGTTTGAGCCTCTTGCATCGAAATGTGGAATTAAGCATGAAAATGATATGGAACATTTCATGCTAATGGTTGAATTGTGTCATTGACGCAATAGTCAATAGATTATTCAGTTATTTCTACAGTTGATATCTGCAGTCCTATGCTGTTTACAGATGCTTCCGTTGTTAGAGCAGGTAGGCATTGTTTCCAGGAAATTTTTGTTACAGTATAACATGTTTGTGTGCACGTACACTTTTCCTGTTTCGTTTGGCTTCCGCATTAAACGACAGCATTGATAAACTCATCCAGAAAGCACAGAACTGGGAACACGAACTAAAGTATGCATGTGCAACTTGGAAAACTTGATAACGCGCACACGTATTTTTTTTAAAGGTGGCCCATTCTTGTTTCCTTTAAACACATTGCAATCCACTCTTGATCATGTGTAATTAGTCTTTAAAATATATGCGGTTCCTGTAAAGTGTCCTGAAATGAAGTCGCATATATAACCTACATTAGTCAAACATTTTTGTTTACATCAACATTTTTTTGTTTCTATGCAAGGAAACCCATTATTGAGCATGCCATCTGAGAAACACTGTTGGGGGGGACCTTTCGTTGCAGGAACTATTGTCTGAAGGAGACATTTCGCTGGAGTGCCTCCTACCCATGACAGAGGAAGAAGTGCGGGAGACTGTGAAGACGTGCGGAGGCAGTATGGAAGAGTGCGCCAGGCTGATTGCTGCCCTCACTTGTCTACGCAATGCCCACCAGTGTGGTAATTTGAGCCACCCACTATGTGTGTTTGTCACATGCTGGCTTTTGATTTGCCTTTTTATGGCGCTTTGCGCCAAAAAAGAACGTGGAATGTTAGAACCTTCTGTCTGTGGCAGTTTGCATATGTTTTATGATGACGCATTTATATTGTAGCAGCTTTTGAATTATCTTGTAATGTTTTGATGGAGTCCAGTTAAATGTCCTGCCAAGTGAAGCAAGGAGCATTAAAGGATTTGTTATGTAATAAACGTCAGCTAAGTTTTATTGGTTCTAAAATCAGCCTGTTTGTGACATTCCTCTGTTGCCAGTTTATTATACAGCTGCAAACTTTGCAAGATAAACTAAGCAAATGTTCATGTTAAACATAAAGATTTTCAATCTCTATTAACCAGTATAACTTTTAATGAAACCCCCAAACGGTGCATGCACTTTATTGTGTTAATGCAGGTGCACAGTGTAAAAGGACACCATGTAGTTAAAACTTGCATCTAAAATTATAGTTGTAATTTTGGAAATGTGAATTTTTACAATTGCAGTGTGTATAGCATTTCCAAATAAATGTCGACGTGCATTTTTTTTTTCAAAACAAAAGTCGTCATTGGCAAGTAAAACCGGTAAGGCACGGGACAGTGCACAAATTGGAGTCGTATTCGCATGTTGGCAGAATGGGAGCAACACTGCCATTATGTTCTGAATATTTAGCTGTTTTTATGCTCAACAAACTATAAGTGCCCTTGAGATTTTTTTCGTGCATTTGAATTAGCCCGGCAGATTCAGTCGTAATGTTTGAGAATAATTATTGGGCACTTCATGACCTCGAAGGGTCTTGTACTTTTAAGCTGGACGACCAACTTGTCCGAGGTGTTACCTCTGCAGTTAACACAAGGACTGTTAAATGGTGGAGCTGCAATTTGCGGCCACCTTGTACCTGTATTTGTCTGACATGGTCTGGTTTATTTTTGTTTCAACATTTCCTTTCAAGGCGGCAGCGACTCCAAGCAGGAGTGGGTAATCTCTTGGCCCGCGAAGGAATCTCCCACAACTTCGGGTTCCTCCCCCGAGGGATCTCAGCGATCGTCGCGCGGCGAGCTGCCGCTCCTGCCGGCCTCAGACTCGGGCATCCATGACGACTGTGGGCAGGGCGACTCGCTTGCCTCCTTGCCGTCCTCACCCAGCCTGATGCGGGGCCGCCGCCTGCCCACGCCCACGCCGCCAGAAACCCCACCAGCTCAGCGACACCATGGCCACGCCGCCCTCGTCGTCCACGCCGGCAACGCCCGCGACCCCTCCGCCACCCCTAGGCGTGAAGAACAAGAGGTCGAAGGCGAGGAATGTAAGTGTCAGTTTTTATATTTGTTCTTAGTGCACGTTAAAGGCGACTGTGCTCTGAACTGTGTGTACGTGTGTTTGTGTGTACGACTGCCAGTCATCTCAGTTTGTCAACCCATGGCACCTGGGTCTGCCCTGTGACCTCCTGCCAGCGGGCTTTCGACACTTCACATGTCCTTAAAGTGCACATAGCCTGGCACAAACGCTGTCGTGACATCACCGCCAATTAGTGGTGAATGGTGGTTGTTGATGTGTTAGATTCTACTCTATTCTTGTGTATGGCAATATGCTGAGGAGCTAGAGGTCTATGTTGAGCGCTGCTAGCCATGAGAGCGCTTTAGGAGAGAGTTTGTGTAGTTTTGTTATTCGTCCATTGAAGGAGCTGGGATTGTAGTGGTTTACTATATGGTCATGATTTTGGTTGCATGGCCACAGACGCTCTCCTGTGGCTTGTGTCTTTGATCTTCCATTCATGAAGGAGATGTGCGCAGCAGTCTATGGATGTTCTGATGTGGTTGTGTGTAAGATGAGATAGAGGGGTGAAGCGTAATTGGTTGATGGGTTAGAAGTGTTAAATGATGACTGAGGATAGTTAACGTTCATTTGATTTGTCTGATCTTGGGTCGATTGGTTATTATGTATGTAACGATTCATTTATTCATCAAGCACACTAGATTTGTATACTTATGACAGATGGCAGGATTGGGGCAGATCGTGGAGGTATCTTGGATTCTACAGCAGTATCTGACAGGGTAGAAAGCATTGGTGACGTGTGGTAACATCAGCGGCTTGATGACATCCTGATCTTAATAAAATCGTGCATGTAAGATTGATCTCTTCTCACATACTGTATGCAGATGATTCACTTGACACCCTGCAGTCACCACTGGTGCGACGCTCACTGCGACGTAACAAAAAAATAATTGATTCGCAACCCCGAATCGTAACTGTTGATCAAGTAGTGAGTGGGACGAAGCCTTGCATGCCTGATGAACTGCCCGACCGTGCGAGGCTGCATTTGTTGCGATTGTGTATGGCTACAAAACACTCTAAATGGATGTAAAAAAATATCAATGGATGCCAAGGGAACACTTGATGTGGGATTGAGGTGTAATGACAGACCGCCATTGTGAGAAAAGAGAGTGGTTTTCAGTCAGAAATAGGTGGTTCCATACAACTAATAATAGCTGTAAACATTTTTATGTTTGCATAATACGTAAAAAAACACTTTGCTTCCTACTGACACATGCAATAAGGAGGGTGTGTGCACAATATTCCATTGCTATGCACTGCCAACAATTTTGTTTTTGGGAAGTTCAAATCAAGAGCCTCGTGTGCAGCCTCGGTAAAACTGTTAAAAGCTTCAATGCCACAGCCAAGGTCCTCTCTAACAAACCTGCAATCATCCGTGCACGCTCATTTTCTCAATTGCAAATGATCCATTACAATTCTTGAAATGTTTGCTTGTCTCTGTGCTATCCACAGGGTTAGTGAGCACATGTTTGAGCAGCACAGCATTGAACACAGTGGATGACATAATCCAAACTAGATGAACACCGGTCCACCAAAATAATTTTTATTTTCTTCGCTGACCCCACCCACACATCCCCTTGGAGTCATACACATTCTTAAACAGTCTGCTTTTCTTATGTACAATAACATATTGGTCTTACGATTCTCATGGGGTTTTTTGGCAAACAAGTCGTGATTAAAGTCTGCTAAATAAATCCACAAACATCCTCCCCATGTACCAGCTCTCCTCTATTGCTTGCCTCTGTCTGCTCTAAACCCACATTGGATATATTTCCTTAATTGGGATTGGCGCCTGACACTTAAACGCGCTCGTTCTTTCACCCTATTCAGCAAAACTCTCGGGAACACTTTCCTGGAATGCTCGAGACATATTTTCCTATAGTCTTTCCACGTATCAAACGTCATGTTAATGTATTTTCTCCAGTCCCTGGTGGTTTCTTGTATGGTAGATTACTGAGCAGTAGCTATTCCTTTCTTGATGTTTGTGAATGCCATTGGCTGCTCGTGATGCTTTGATTGCCCAGGTCCCACTACCCCAGAGTTCTTGGTTCTTTCGGTAAAGTCACGTAGACAGACCTGGTCTTCACCTGAGGACGGCTGCTTGCGTTGTGGCCGAAACGTCGTGATAATTATTTTATTATGTTTTATTATTTTAATTTTAATATTTCCCTTCTACGTGACTTTACCGAAAGAACCAAGAAGATGAATCCCTGCAGTCACGAAAGCTTTAAATCGAAATTTACCCCAGAGTTCTTCACGAATTTTTAGAGGGGGGAGGGGCGGGCACTTTGGCCGATAAGACACATCATTGTGAGGCCCACCATTGGTTTTGACGGCATGATGGGGTGTTTTCACATTGTGTTTTGTCGGGGGACGAACCAAAGGCCACCAGGGGCCCAGCAGTGGCCCGTGGACCTTGCAATGAAGAACACTGCACTTACCTGATACTTCTAGTGGTTCCTCTGCCTTTGGTGATGCTATGATTGCCCAGGGTCCTGCTTCCCCGTTGTGGTATTGTTGTCACAACTGTAGACTCATTTGCCTTTCATGATGCTATGATTAACACTGGGGGGGGGGGGGGTCCCACAATCCTCTTGTGGGTGTGAGATTCACTTCTGGAAGTCCATAATGTGCCCAGGTATTTGTGCTACATTAAGGATCCTGCAACACGAGACCATATCCCCTTTAGTCTCCCCCGTTTAAGTGAACACCCTACTCATGCTACCCATCTTCTGGAATGGCTACGGTATTTGATTTAATATACATACTCTGTCCATCACACATCTTTTCTAGGAAACCACTGTGACAACTGCTCCGTATTGTCAATGTCCTCAGTCGCTCATCCTTCCATGTTGCACATCCTTCAATATTTTATATTATACACTGGTCAACAACAAAAAATACATTTTTTTCTGGCCTGGACTTTTGCAGCTGTTTTAGACTAATTTCAGGGTGCTGATTCCAAATCTGATCTCAGATTTGCGCTATCACATCTCATTTTTATGCTATCGGCATACCCCATTTTCATTGATTTTACCCGAAATTAACTCTGTCACTTATGATTGCAAGTTGTTGCGAGTCAGTGACTGCTTTAGTGTTAAAATATGGTGCTGTATTTTTAGGATAGTGTGTTTATAATATAATTTTATGTAGATATCCACATTTATTTAATATTTTTCTTCTGCAGTTTTTATTGAAAATGCAATATTTGATATCTCAAAAACCTGATGTGATAGACAAAAACTGATGCCAGATTTGGAATCAGCACCCCAAAATTACCTTAAAACTGTTGGAATACCTTATGCCAGAAAAAGTGTGTTGACCAGTGTTATATTTGTAATTCTTTGTAATTCTTCCATGACTGACTAATTGGGCCATCTTTCCATTCTGGGGAATGGAGAATTTTCACTTTTATCATTGCAACTCGAGCGATTTTATCCTTGCTGCATCTGTTTTTTTTTATTAATTGCCAAAGATAAATATCTGTGCAGGGCTGTTGGGAATACCATTCTACTCACAACTTTCATGTTCAGTCTACGTGTTAATACCTTGTTCTTCCAGAAATGTGCGAATACATTTTTGAAGCTACTCCTCTTTGTCGCTAGTCTCCCCCTTCATCTCTTTTGACGAGAATATGTGCTTTAAACAAAGCTCTACTGGTAACGTCTGTACGTCTGTGCTTTTATTAGCAAGCATTGGCAGGCGAGGCACAAAGTCTCCCAAAGCTCTTTAGTGACACTTGTGCCGCACTGCTTGCCGAGTGATTTAACTTAAGGTGATTTGATTTGAAGATGCGGCCACCCGGCACACCCCCGCCGCCGGTGTCACGCAAGCTGGTGCACCTCCTCCCCGGCTTCCAGACCTTGCATCGCAGCAAGTCGCATGAGTCTCAGCTCGCGAACCGGATAGAGGACGTGACCAACATGCGGTAAGCCGTCTTGCTGGTGGTGCTGCTACTGCCGCCGCCGCCATCATCTCTTGCGCGGGATTTGCTTTGTGTGCGCCCAGCTTTCTCATGCCAACAGTATGCATCACTGGAGATAGTGCGCTGCCATAATTGAAAGTGTCCGCCCCCATCGAATATCAGGCTAATAAGCACAGTTTGGTTAATTGTTACAGTATTTAAATACATCTTGTTAAATTCAGCCTTGTATATTTTAAATGTTAAATTTACATTTCAGTTTTGTTCCTCCAGTGTAAAAAAACAATGTGCTTGCAATCTCAGGTTTCAAAACCTTGCAGCTATTCATTTTGTAGTAAAAATGTGCTGTACTAGTAACGAATTGGCATGTTCTGTTTACGTGACAAACCTTACTAATTGGCTGTCGGGTGGTGATGGATTTAACAACACATTCATATTTACGCGATCTAACTAAAAAAAAAACTATTATGAATGTTTTTTCTGCTCTACTCCAGATTTAGCGTACACGTGTGAATTGTATATTCTTTAAAATAACATGTTTTTGAAGATCCATAATTATTAATGTTACATAATTGCAGCATTACGAAAGTGTTTTAGTTCATGAGCTGGTTTTACCAGATCAGCATTTCCGCTGGGTACACCTTGTTGTGGTAGGTGTTACGTAATAGTTTGTGGTTATTGTATCCTGAGGCCACGCGAGTATTGTGTGCTGGTATTATATTTTGTATTGCTTTTGCGAAAACTGTTGCTAGATTATACAGCCACATCAGCACTAGAGGGCAGCACGGGTTCATTTAATTGACATAGAGTTATTTAAAATAGACTACTTAAGTGATATTTTTTTGTTAGAAGGTGTTTTAACATGTGTCCAGCACACACATACCCAGTTGTAGTATAAAATATATTAAAGGTGACTTTTGTGGTAACAGGCCAGCGTGTTCATTTACTGATAAAATTATACGATTACTGCGGTGTAGAAATGCGTTGTGAAAGAATACAAAAAAAAAACAAGCTGTGTTGCTCATTGCTTGGCTTGTATTCACGTGACAAAGAATGTCAAATTCTTCCATTCCTCCTTTCCATGCGCATCTACTTGTCTCCTTCCCTCCCTTCCCCCACAAACACTATCAGAGGTTCCAAGAAGGCGCGCCCTTTCCTGAACCCGGCAATTCAGGGTGGAGCGGGGAGCTGCGAAAACTTGCCCATGCATCCCCGTGTTCCGATAAACCCTGCAGAGCGGCTGGCGCGCCAGGCTTGTGGCTGCGCCCCTTACACGCCCACCACCCCACCCATCTCCGACGATCCTCCCCAGAGTAAGGCCACTCAGTCCGAATATTACTGTTTTATCCGCGTAACGATGCTTCACCTTCTTCTTGGTTCTTTCGGTAAAGTCACGTAGAAGGGAAATAATAAAATAATAAAAATTCAACATAATAAAATAATAATCACGACGTTTCGGCCACAACGCAAGCAGCCGTCACCTGAGGACGGCGGCTGCTTATGTAAATTTTTTATTATTTTATTATTTACCCTTCTACGTGACTTTACCGAAAGAACCAAGAAGATGAATCCCTGCAGTCACGAAAGCGTTAAATCGATAGATGCTTCACCTCTTAGTAACGTGCGTCGAGGCATGCTTGCGAGAATTAATTATTCACTTTGTAAAATCTGCACAAAGCAATGATACATTTTGGGCTCGTGAGGCAAACAAAGCTGTACAATAGGCACAGGGAGAATGAGAAACAATACAAGCGAGACCATAATAATTATTTTGAAAAAACAACTGCTTCTTTAATGGAATTGCGGGCCCTGAATACTGACAATCATGACTTGTTGGTGACCAAATCATGATCTACTTACGCCATTTGATTATTTTGTTTACTTTTTTTAAGTGTACTTTGGTGCAGAATGTGAAACAACTTAAATTCATGTTGTCTCAAAATTGAGTTTTTATTATGGTGCTCTAACTGGGCAACTGCATGTTTGGTGCTTTTTTGACATTCAGATTCATTTGCGAGCTACAGCCAGTCTCTACTTGGCTCAGAGTCGAGGCTATTAGAGTTGCACTCGTGTAGTTTTATATGAATTGCCTTGTGTAGACACGTCTATTGGCTATGCTTTGGCTATAGTCGACAATAACTTCCTGACTGAATTGAAATACGAATGATCGTGACATGTAGCAGCCGTCACTTTGTTTTGACTGAATATTTGCGTGTGGTGGCCATTAAATTAACATGAATATAACATGTTTGTTCATGTAGTTTTCATACTTTTGATCCAAATTATACTTCATATCACTTACATTTTTATCATACTCGTTTTGGGTAATGCGTTTTTAGTTTTCAAATCTATTGAATGATGGCAAAGGTATTATCATTGTTCTTTCATCATGTGCTTCGGTGTAGATAGATTTCGTGTGTGTTTTGCTCGTCATAATACTGGATTGTTGAGAAAGCAATATTTGTGACTTGACAACCAGTCATAATCTCCCAAAAGATGTTTGTGTCATCTTTTGGTTGTCGAGTTTTACGGTATATTATCGTTGGCTTAAGAATTATGTTCCCCACCCCCGTTTCTGTACCCAGACACACTGACGGTACCGCGATGGTCTCCCCAGAATGCACGCAGGGACTTTGGAAACTCAATAAAACACAGGTTTGCAGTCTCACTTTGTAGATAGTGAAATAACACCGCTGTTTTTACATGGTTTCAACCAATTACTAATTTCTCCTTGATTTAGATATAGTTCTAAAAAAAATCCAGCAGTAAGATTTCATACAGGTTTAACCTCCTTGTATGTTTATTTTTGGCTCATTGTTAAAGGAGCAAAAAAGTATTGTATTGATATATTGAGTCATTAAATCTTCTCCATTACAATTATTTGAAAGCATTGCAAAATAATAATATGCACCAGTAATTTACCGCACTTCCGATTAGTACGGCTGGCTACATACGCTGCGAAAGAAGTTTAACAACAACAGGTTCAACATGTATTGGTGATACCGTAGAAATGCTCTGCTATCTAGGTCGACTGGTAAATGCTGCATTTGTTTGCATTTCTTGGTAGATTTTCGACCAAATACTGGATGTCACAGACCTGCATGGTGTGTGCGAAGGGAATGCTGTTTGGCGTTAAATGTAAAAACTGCAAGTGAGTGGAACGATTTTAATCGCAGCAGAACATGTTCATTTACTTTACATACATCCATACATATGCTTTCATATTTTACGTGAGGTAATGTTTCGACTTGTGGAGAAGGTTTGTGTTCATGCTCTTAGTTCTTTCGGTAAAGTCACGTAGGTAAAAAATGAAATTAAAATTAATACAAATAAAATAAAAATCAAATAGGTTTGTGTTGTTTCCAAAGCCGCGGGTACATAAAGGGGGGAGGGGGGGAGGCAGAACGCTCAAACTTTAACACGCGTGTAAAAATTATACTGTGTAAATGTTTCTTCAGGTTAACATTTAATACATCATGTTTTGTGTGCAAATTCTAAAACATAAAACTGGATTTCATGAACATTTTGGAGATAAAATCAGTAAAAATCTATAACGCATCCACATTTGTTTTGGCTCAGTAGTACGTTCATATATTCTTCACATTATATTGTATAGTACAGTAGAAACTATAACTGTATATATGGATACCATGTATAAGCACAGTTATGGTATAAGAAACACATTCTTACATTGTACTGGTAGGGGAAGGAAAAAGGCAACTTCTGAGGCAAGGACACATGGCCTTGTTACCAAGGGGGGTGCATTTATATCCAAAGTCGGCTTTTTCTGAATATATTGAAGAATGTTGTGGTTGTCGCAATTTCCCTTCCCTCTTTTTGGTTTGGTAAAAATAAAAATGTGGGACTTGTCAAACAGTTAATTACTATCCACGTTCCTACTAAACAATTTTAATCAAATCCTATTTGTTGTTTTAATGCAGGTTAAAATGTCACAACAAGTGCACAAAGGAAGCGCCTCCGTGTCGTCTGCTATTTATACGCCGTAAGTGGGAAGCTTTCTGAAACTCTACAGGTCGAAAAACAAGTACAGTAGTAAAAGCACTTTGTAAAACCATAACATAAACAAATGTAAACCCACTATGAGACCTCCTTTACCAGTGGCAAAATATAGTGATAGGTTTTTACCCTTTAAACTGGTACAAAAACTGACACCTTTATACAAGGCATCATGTTTGCAATAACCACAACACAAGCAGTCAAATTGCAAACAAAAATAAACAACTCTGATAATGATATGCACTATCCTTGAAGTTGATTGGTCCACACCCGAGACAGCTTTTCTTAGAGCCTAGTCTCACATGGTGTTGGACCAGATGACGCCAAATGGCGCACAACTCATCTGGTCCAACACCAATGGAGACTGGGCTCTAAGAAAAGCTGTCTCGGGTGTTGACCAATCAACTTCAAGGACAGTGCATATCATTATCAGAGTTGTTTATTTTTGTTTGCAATTTGACTGCTTGTGTTGTGGTTATTGCAAACATGATTCCTTGTATAAAGGTGTCAGTTTTTGTACCAGTTTAAAGGGTAAAAACCTATCACTAACTGTAAACCCTTTAGCGGTGGTGCGCGGCACGCGATTGTAATCCAGCACTGGGGAGGCAAGGGCTGGTGGATCACCACACAAATGTGAAACTCCCTTCCCATGGGCGTCGAGGTGCCATACCCCTACTCAATTGTAAATGCTATTGGTTTACTCGCCATCGAACCGATGTGCTGAAGTAATAGCTGATTGGCACGTTTTGTTCACGTGACAGACCTTAATAATTAGCTGCGTCGGATGGTGGTGGATTAAAGACACATTTACATTTAACGCAATGTAACCCAAAAACCTTTATTATGAACTGGCTGGTCAGAAGAAGGAGATACAGCAAAGTGCAGACTAATATCATCTTTGCTTTCTGTATTGGTGCCCTATGCTGACCTGACAGCCATTTTGTTGACATTGCAATCACTTGTGCAATAAGCATTTCATAATAAGAATAATGTTTAGTTTTATCTAGTGTTCATGCACATTTCATCTCGCAGAGATACAATTTTAGTTTTTACCCCTCGTGTGAATGGTTTTTCTCCAGGTGCTCTGGTTTTCTTCTACATATATCAACACTCATTAATTTGCTGAAAACATCTTAATATCTAGAGAATTGCAGAGTTTGGGGATTTGTTGGCACTGGTTCACCACATGGTTTCCTTCCAGCTTGGCTGTGGTTTCTCAGCAATTGTGAGATGCAATTTGCATGAATGATGCCGCTGTATAAAACAAAACATTAATATTGTTTTAGGCTTATTGCACAACTCAATATCGCAACATCGACAAAATGGCTGCATTAGGTCAGCACAGGGCACTAATGGTCCTTTGTTATCAGCACCAGATAATCCTTAGCAACCAGGGCTAGTTTTTTAGCTCAATGTTTCCATGAGAAACCTTCCCTTGACTTATTTTACATTAGCTTGCAGTGTGCAGGGTTTTTATTTTAGCGTTTCTTTGCGATTGGTTTGTAGTCGGCCAATATGTAACAGGTTTGCATTTTTTTTTAAACCTGTTTTAATCAATAAATATAGCAAATGTTTTAAATATGGTTTCCCAAAGCACATTCATTGTCGTGATTTACCACAGCAGCATAAACACCACATTAATTAACCATATTAATTTTATCATGAAATAAATATGACCTTTTTTTCTCGTGATGCGTGCAGCGGGTTTAAAGCGCACAGAGTCTGTGCCCTGCGACATGAACAACAGACGTCCCCATCGTATGGTTGACTTGCATCAGAGCAAGACGCTGCCCAGAGAGAAGGTACCATTATTCTTTAACATCTCCGACATACATCTAGGGGAGTCGCCAGTTCCATGTCCTGGCGCGGTAGTTGAAACGATGCGGAAGTTTTTTAAATCATTCCCTCCTCAGTCCACCTCGGCGTATAAATGGGTTCACGACAGTCGAACAGCACGTTACGTGTAGTGAATACTCCCACCATTTCCTAGACTTCTTGCCAGCATGGAAGAGTAGGCCAGACACCATCTAGAGGGCCTTTCAGGAGCTCTCTTTATTAGAGGCCCTTCCACCAGCAGTGCCATGAGCAAGACATTGCAGCCCAGGCTACACCTTTTACCTTTACTCCAAACATTGTAAACTTTTGCTGATGTTGTCATAGTAGCCTTATCTGCAGAGTTGAAATTATTTGGTTAAAATGTTGTGTTTTCTGGACAACTTTGGTGCAGCAAAAAATCAGTGAACAAAACTAGATTTTTATGTGTATGAAATGTGTGGAGGCAATATCATTTCATAGTCTGAATAAATGCCTTACAACGTTCAAGAAAGTAGCCTTAAGTAATACAGTCGCAGATTAGTCATCGTATATATATTTATTATTTTGATAACACATCTTTGCATTTAGCTGTATTTGTACGTGTTCTTCAACTTAGTGAATAGGTGTGTCGTGTATTACACAAGGAGTCGGAGGGTAAACTTGAAGCTCCCAGGCACGGACTGCCAAATCTTTGTTCATTTGCATGGTCGTGCATCTTGTTTACATTGTTAATGTCAACAGTAACGGGTGCCACAGCAAGGTTACCCACTGCATTTGGCAGACACATAGATTAACGTAAATCTTTTTTGCATTTCCACTTTCGTTTTTAAAGCAGGACCAGATTTCGGTGCCTTACCAGCCGGACTCCAGCAGTAACCCATCAAGCACCACCTCATCCACGCCCTCCTCACCGGCTCCACACCTCATCTCCAACCCCCCGAGCGCCACGCCGCCCTCTCCCTGCCTCCACCCGTCACCACAAGCCGTGCGCCACGCCAAACCGCACTTCAACTTCGCCGGTAGCTCCACGCACACGCGCCCGTCATCCGCTCTGCGTTGTGCCCTCTAAGCACTCTTGTTTTCCTCCATTCTCCGGTAAATGATCAAAGTATTGGCAAACCTCAACTACTTGAATGTCAGCTATTGGCAGATTTTGTTGTTTGCATTTTCTTTTTACTCTAGCAGTATAAATGATGGTGTTTAAATGACCACTTGCCATAAATTCCACTCGTGGCTATCACCGTGATCAGTATTCTACTTAACCCCTGCCAACTGCTATGCCTCCTTTTCTGACCACTTTACCATTACTATCATTGTTGCTTTTCATCGTAGTGTCTTCGCCTAATTGCCATTGTTGCTGTCCTCTTCGGTCTCGGCCTGTGTCTCGCTTGCCCTTTCTCACTTACACCATATCTCACATCCTAAGTGAGGCCACTTGCTTTATACACACTATCTCTTTTGTCTTTCTTTCTCCTTGTCTCTACTCATGTCTCCTGCTTACACTGTGTCTGTATCACACTAATCTCACTCACCAAATTGCATACATCCATTGAATACTGAGCAAATGTTCACCTGCTGATTCGATCCACAGGTGTATGCTAACTCTTTGTTTGTGTCTGTATTTACTGCTGTTTCTCACATCAGCAGCGCACTGCTTTCAACACAAGCAGCAATTTGTTTTCCCAGGTAAGTTAATTTGCAAATCTTTCAAAAGTCTTTTACAGAAAATTAATAAACAAAAACGTAGGCATACAGAGTAAGGCTGGGGTTACACAGCATTGCTGAGCATACGTAACAAGACGTAACAGGACCTTCAGCGTCAATTAAGTGATGTCAAGAGGAAGATTAATCGATGAAATGGAGACATTTCCATAACTATGATACAAGACCTGATTTTATGGATTTTATGGACAGAAGGAATGAGGCAATACCTGAAATGTTTTTTCTTTTTCAACTCAGAGTTCATGAGAGAAGGCGGGGGGGTCAAGGCCTAGAAAAGTATAATGAAAGTGTATTTTTTTTTACGACTGAAGTTGCTGAAACATTTCGTGAGAACTATTGATGCCATAATCATGATTTTAATGATAATTTGAATGTATGGCCCATAAAGAAAAAGTGTGTTCTTTTGTTGTCCTTGTATGTTCTTAGTTTAAGTGTAGTTTAGGTAAGAATTGGACCCATCCTATGAGCACACACACACCGCACTGCATCTCACACCATGTGACCTGAGTTATGAATCTCCATTGTGGTGGTGAAGATGTTTTACGTGACAATAAGTTATGTGACGTTCACCAAAAAATTCTGTTTCATCACAGCTTTGCGATAACTTAAAGTTATCATTTGAAATGTGCGATATTTTTCTCGTCACAAAAGTCACGATGCGCAGGATTTATGAACAGAACATAAAAATATGCAATTATATCAATGTTACTAAATAGCAGCTTAAAAGGTCCATGCCGTTGTTATTTTTCTTTTCACAAGTGTCACCATCCTCCCGTCCACTCATACACTGATGATAAAGCGTAACAAAGCTGATCTTTTTGTTTAAATTTGGATAGATGTGTCTCCTGAGATTCACAAGAAAACTCCACAAGTGATCCTTCATCCAGTCAACTCCGACAATGAGTATGTATCCAGAATACAACGACATAATGTTAATCTTTTTGGAGCCTTTTGCTTTGAAACTTTCGCTGGGAACATGAATTTTTGCATTTGTTTTGTAGGTCAAATGAAAATCAGATTCCACCTCCTTTACCTGGAAATCTGCCAATACTTGAGGTATGAGCCACTTCATTCTTTATCACCATTTGTCATCTCTGTATCGCAAAGTGGCAGGGCTATTATCGGTGTGTCATGTGAGCTTTAACATTAAAGGGAAGCCCCCCCAGTTACAAGCTGAATTATCTGCCACGCTTGCAGAGCTTTTTGAATCATTTACAGAATATTTTTAGGTTTTTTCGGTAAAGTCACGTAGGTAAAAAATTAAAATTAATAAAAGTAAAATAAAATAATATTTTATTTTTATTTTATTTTTATTAATTAAAATTTGTTAAAATAATATTTTATTTTAATTTTACTTTTATTAATTTTAATTTTTTACCTACGTGACTTTACCGAAAAAACCTAAGAATATGAATCCTTGCAGTCACGAAAGCTTCAAATCTAGAATCATTACAGAATATACAAATTAGACATCTGTTGCATTGCAATTACAACATTGTGACATTTTGTATTTTTGCCCACCGTGGTTTTGGCCTGTGTGTCTATAAATATTACTTTTAATTTATCTGTTTGCGTGTTTAGTATTTCTATATAGCGTTAAGCTGCCAGATAGTCTGTGAAAAGAACATGTTGGGGGAAAAAGAGTGCAGTTTTGTCCTTAAATCCCAACATGTCCAGCAGTTTTGTAGACGTGAGTGGCTCACAAATACAAGGTTTACAAGTTCATATTCTGGTTGGAGGTTGACTCAGCCCATCATCCCTCTGGTGTTGATGAGTACCACTTTGTGGTGATGTCAGCAGTAATTGTCCTGTGGATAGACTAGTTCCTGCCAAGGGAATTTGGAATTTCCACCACTGATTCAGGGCTGTAAACAGGTGATGAAACACCACCTCAAGGCTTATTTGACCATGAAATCACTTTGACTTGACTTGTTTTGATAGAACCGTATGCATTTAAACATTTCCACAAGGTGGCAGTACAGTCTACTCAATGGCTCTTCCATAGGCATAGCCAGGTTGGAGACTCATCCATAGGTTAGTTATAGAATGTAAACGTTTTTGTAGAAAAAAATTATTTTGTCTTGTTATTTTGTCTGTCTTGCCATAATAAGACTTCAACTTTCTCTAACTCTCGTGTTTAGCATGAGCCGAATGTAATTTACCGCTGCCCATCAACAGCGATATTGATTATTAATGTATCATAATATATCACAGCAAGCAATCTGGGAAACAACCTTTCCTCGCAGAAGATAAAATTCTTATTTTTTATGACCAAATCAGCCAGAAGTGAAACAGGGTTAACTCTGGCGAGTGTTTGGATGGGCGACCACCATAAATAAAGCAGGCGCTGTAGGTTGCTGTGGGGCCACGTTGCCAGCAGAGGGCAGTGCCACAAAATCCATTGTTGTGCTATACCATGCTACAACGTCTATGCTGCCTTCATCGATCCGCACTGACCAGTGTGGTGATGTACGGTCAAATAACCCCATGACTCACATGGTGTTAGGAGGCCCCTCATCCAGCTGTGGATTGATTCAAGGTGCTCTCCAGTAAAATGTACACAACGTGTGTAACATTCACCGACAATGCCTTGAACTTTATGCCCATTAAACTCCGTAATTTTTTTTATTACATCTTTCACACTTGTACGTGATTAATCGTCGATGGGATCGGCCGTTTTCTCTGCAACGCGTCTCCGTGAACGTGGCCACTGGCAGATTGAGGCGAGTCCTGATCCAGAGCCACTGTCGGATGAGGAGGATGACCTGGAGGACCTCCCGGACGCCCTGTCGCTCCGCAACCTGCCCCGCAAGCAGAGCCAGACCACCATCTTCCTGCAGGAGTGGGACATCCCTTACGAGCAGCTCGCCGTCGATGAGCTCATCGGCCGTGGACGCTTTGGCAAAGTAAGTCGAAAATGGCACCATCATCATCAGTTATGATCTGAACTAAACTTTTAATTTTACCAGGTAAGGCCCACTGAGCTGGATAGTTCTTTTTCAGAAGTGACCTGGCCACAAATGATAGCTCACCGAAGTGGCTCATCGTGTGGAATTTTATATCAGCCAAATACTCTAAACACATGTTTATAAATGTGGAGGGAAGAACTGGAGGACCCGGAGAAAAATCCTCACGACCATGGGGAGAACATGCAAACTCCAAATGTACAGGTATCAGAGTCGAAATCGAACCCACGACCTCGTGCGTATTAGGCGAGGTAGTTAACATCTCGCCACCGCAGCGCCCCTGGATGGAAACCTGCTCCCTAAGCCTTCACCGTCTATCATGGTCCTGGAATGTAACAATCATGAGAGAGGGTGCAACCCTCTCCCATGGCTGTAGACACGTGTGACTCGTAACTGTAAGGATAATGCCCAGGACTTGAGAAGTGACTTCAGTTACACTGCACCCCCCACCCCATGTCAAGTGAGGTTGTCATGTCGTGTGCCAAGATTCACATTATGCCTCTCCACCAATGTCTCGCCAGTGCTGATGTTTACAAACTGCACCAGTATTCCTTTAAGGCTGAGTTGAGCTTCATAGCTCTTCAGATTCCGCCAGTATAAAACAAGATTCTGATTCTGAAGATATTTTTCACCGCTGTTAACTGAACAAGGATGGAATTATGTTCACCGGGTTAGTAGCGAAGTGTGCGCCAACCACTTTGCTATTGCTCCCCAAAGGAAAAGACAAAATAATTAAATACAAAATGTGAATATGGACACTTAAATGCATGAATAACCGCAATATAAAACATTTGCTTTTATCACTGTCAGCCTTGGGGTAGATGTTTCACATTCTATTTTTGTAACTGTGTGCTCTTCATGCTTTGATTTCTTTATGCATGCAATTACTGTGCAAATGATGACTGTCAATTATTTTACGATAACTTTTCAGAAACCCATATTAAAGTGGTGATGATGATGATGATAATTGATTTGCAAAGTGCTCATAGTAAATGCATTTACGAATTTCCATCAATGCCTGAATAACGTAAACAAAAACAATCAAATTCCATTTTGGAACGCTAATGTGAGGAATGTCATTAAATACATTACTAACCAATACATGTTTACATTAATATTTGGATGCAATCTTGCCCCATAATTGTTTTACGACTCATTTTTGCAACAACAATAGTTATGGAACTTTCACCTTTTCCCTAGGACATGTAATAATTGATTTACAATACTAAATTTTTGGCTGCATTAATATGTATATGTAGTGACATAAGAAGGGAGGGGCTGCTGGGGGCTCTGGGACCCCAGGCGGGTCCAGACGCTTAAGCCTCTTGGCGTCAGGCGTTGAGTTCCCAGGCGCTTAATCCCCTTGGCGCCGCCAAAGGGGGGGGCTGTGTGTGCTCTGTGGGATATCTGGGGGCGCACACGGCCCCATCCCTCGTTGGGGACTGGGCATAAAAGCGGAGCTCCCTGGACGATCAGCCCAGTCGTAGCTCAAGACCCAAGACCCAAGACCAGCCATCGGAGGACCCTGGGACGCTGTGAGAGCCAGTGGTGGGACTCTGGAACTCCCGACTCTACGACCTTGTGAGGGCGAGATCCAGAGCGTAGCCAGAGTAGAGTATTTAGGCTGTGTACCTAGGCTGTGTACCTAGGCTGTGTACCTAGGTTGTAACAGAGTATCAGGAGTGTTGGAGAGTTGGACTGTTGGAGTGCTGTTGGAGTTGGAGTGTTGGGTTGTAATAAACAAGTTGCCTCTACAAGTGTCTCCGGAACCCGTTACGTATATTTAACTTCTTTCTCTACCGTAAATAGCTAACCGTGCCAATTCGGAGGCCCTCATTCCGCAAGCAATTTACAACTTAGCTAACAATATTCACTTACATGTAGCAGCAAGGTGTATAGAATACAGGCCAATCTATGATAACATTGAATATATCTATAACGTGACATGATTACTTGTGAATTGCAATGGATAACGTCATAGTGGCTGTCGGAAAGTAAACTGATTACTTCACAAAACAATGAAAACAAGTGACAAATTCTACCTTTTCGTCCACATTCTATGTAGGTAAACAATGCATACACTTTTCATAATCTTAATTTTTATACGTATATATTCCATATACAGTAAAACCTTGGATTGCGAGCATAATTCGTTCCGGAAACGTGTTTGTAATCCAAAGCACACTCGGATATCAGTTGTGATCACGTGACGCTCGGCAGACAAAGCGTATACACGTACTACTCGTATTGCAAGACCTCACTCGTTTATCAAATTAATATTTATTTTAAAAATTTGCTCGTCTTGCAAAACACTCGCAGACCAAGTTACTCGCAATCCAAGGTTTTACTGTATTTTGTATTATACGTTCAATCTTGACTTAAAGCTTTCGTGACTGCAGGAATTAATATTCTTTGGGTCTTTCGGTAAAGTCACATAGATAGGTTCAAAGAAAATAGCAAAAAACTACGACACAAGCGGTCGTCATCAGGATGACGACCACTTGTGTTGCGATCGAAACGTCATATTACACGTGTTTTTGTCTTAATCCGGGGCTACCCTTCCCTTCGATTAACTCGGATAATCAGGACTTAACTATAAATTGTTTAAAAAGGTCACAAAGCAAACACAGAAACATGCCAACAAGCTGTTTGCTGTGCTCCGTTGCAGGTTTACCGTGGGCGCTGGCACGGCCAAGTGGCCATCCGCCTCATCGAGATGGAGCGAGACAACGAGGCGTTTGTGAAGCTCTTCAAGCGGGAGGTGATGGCCTACCGGCAGACGCGGCACGAGAACGTGGTGCTGTTCATGGGAGCCTGCATGAACCCCCCACACCTGGCTATCGTCACGAGGTGCGGGACACAATGTGTGTGGGGAGGCGGGCGGGGGGGGGGGGGTTAATCAATTTAGGTCAAATTTCGTTTTAAAGCTTTCGTGACTGCAGGGATTCATCTTCTTGGTTCTTTCGGTAAAGTCACTTAGAAGGAAAATAATAAAATAATAAAAATAAAACATAATAAAATAATTCTCACGACGTTTCGGCCACAACAGGTCTGTCGAGAAGGCAGACCCTGCCTTCTCGACAGACCTGTTCTCCACCTGAAGAAGGCTGCTTGCGTTGTGGCCGAAACGTCGTGAGAATTATTTTATTATGTTTTGTTTTTATTATTTTATTATTTCCCTTCTACGTGACTTTACCGAAAGAACCAAGAAGAAGAACAATTTAGGTCACTTTCACGTAGACTTATTATCTACGTATTATCTGGTCTGTTTGCATCTGTGATGCAAGGACATAAACTCTGACCGAGGCTTTTTCGCAGCGGCGTTGGCGCCAAATCGCCACCGCGTGGCTGCCTTCCCCGCTCACAGCCCGTACGCGGTTCCTCGCTCCTCCCGAGTCGATCTCTCTTGGAGAGCGAGCGAACGCTGTGCGACGCGTTTCAACAAGTTGACAATTAAATTTCGATTTAACGCTTTCGTGACTGCAGGGATTCATCTTCTTGGTTCTTTCGGTAAAGTCACGTCGAAGGGAAGTAATAAAATAATAATTTATTATGTTTTATTTTTATTATTTTATTACTTCCCTTCGACGTGACTTTAACAAAAGAACCAAGAAGTTGACAATTATTTTGGAAGATGGTTTCTGAAAATTGCAACGGATATCAGTAATACCAATGCATTCCTTGGGCTGGGAAAATATCTCCTAACGTCGCGGTGAATAGCCTTGGTTGATCGTGTAGATTTCTTTGGGCAAGTTGTGGCTGTGGGGCAACGTGCCTAAAAATATTATCTTATTGTTGATACTCATTCATTAACCACCACTGTTGGAAATGTCTAATTGTGAAACCAATAAGTGGAAAGACTAAGACCAGAACATTTTGACAACAGTGCTGTGAATAGATTAATCAGCTACTGCTATAAGGGCAATGACATTTAAAACGGTAATGATGTGCTCCGAAACTGTTTAAATCAGTACAGAAACTTAATGCTATGATTTGAATTCACCCACTCCCCACCACCAGCTTGTGTAAAGGAAGGACATTGTACTCTTACGTACGAGATTCAAAAACCAACCTGGACATCAACAAGATTCGGCAAATTGCGCAGGAGATTGCCAAGGTAGGGGCATGTGTTGTTGTTTTTTTTCCACTTTTTCCAAGAAGATTTCACTGTGGCACACTACATTGTTACTTACAACTGTTTTGCACACTGGCATTTGTAGGTGGCTACCGAGAGATGGTAACTGCGTGGGAAATTATTATTTCAGCAGTGGATAGATCATGGCTGACTGGGCATGCAATGATTCAGCTGCCTCGCGATTTGAAAAAATTGTCGTGATTTGCTATCTAGAATTAATTATATTATCGGGTTGTTTTATGTCTCTTGTGTTTTGTAGGTTCTTGTTGTTGTTCATTAATGTGTAGGTAACAGTATATTTTTTTCTTAAATAAGTGCTTCTCACACAAAGTGTAATGTATTTTTTGTGAGTATAGGAATTCATTTGAATCGATTAGTTCAATCGTTGCACGCCTTATGACAGTTTAAAATGTTTTATCTAAAATAGCAAAGACATTTAATGGACTGAATTGCAAATCCCGACCAAGGATAACAACTTGAAATCTTGAACCTTCTTTTCTGATAACTCTCAAGACGTTTAGAATTCCTTTTTAGATCGATTCTATTTCAAGTGTGTTTTCGTTTTACAGGGACTCGGGTACCTGCACGCCAAAGGGATTATCCATAAAGATCTAAAGTCCAAGAACATTTTCTATGACAATGGAAAAGTGGTGATAACAGACTTCGGGCTCTTCAGTATATCCGGGGTCATGCAGGATGGCAGGTATGTCGTCACGATATAACTTACCATGATTTGCATCTGCTAAATTATACATCAGACTTATATCCCTGTGTTCTTCATTACTAAACCTGTTCATATGCCACCAACATATGAATAATTTTACAAGGGCAGTGTATAATGTATTAATGTGTATTAATTAATGCACTTTCATAATAAGTTTAACCACACGTGTTAGCTACAATAGTAACACTTAACATTCACTCGTCCCTGACAATGTAAGATAATTCCGTGACGATTGCTTTTATACTTCAGATTTGCTCAACAACATAGAACACTTCACACTATTTAACATGTTTAAAGTTTCATCACGAGCAGCTGCAAGCATCACGATACTAATTATGACATTCATAAATTAAGAATGCCTAGTTGACGACGTTGGTGCCCACCGCTGTGCTTTGTGAAAACAGGAGGGATAGCGAACTGAAGATCCCGCATGGCTGGCTCTGCTACCTGTCGCCAGAGATCATCCGCGTGCTCTCGCCAGCCATCGATGCAGACAAGCTTCCCTTCTCCAAGCCTGCCGATGTCTACGCCTTTGGGTGCGCTCTCTTAAGCTTTGAGGCTGTGCTGATTGCATCCACAGTATTCTAGACAGATTATCTTGGTCCATTTTTTATACTGGTAGGAACCCACTGGTTCCACCAGCCCACAGGGGATTATTGTGTCCGTCCGTCGTGCAGGGAGGGGCTGGGTGGGGAGAGAGGGGCTGGGTGGGGAGGAGCTGGGTGGGGAGGGTGGGCCTGGGAGGGTGTGGAGGGGCTGGGTGGGGAGGGTGGGGAGGGTGGGAAGGGGCTGGGTGGGGAGGGTGGGGCTGGATGGGGGGTGGGAGGGGTCGGGCTGGGTGGGGGGTGAGGAGGGGTGGGGCTGGGTGGGGAGGGGTGGGGCTGGGTGGGGAGGGGCTGGTTACCCCGTGGTGCCCTTATAAACTCAACGTTTAACCTACTCACGCCGGCTTGTGCCTGCCCTCACAGTCGGGCATATTTGCGGAATACACCACGCCGCCGTTGACCCTGGCCATTGACCGAGCAACCCAACGTTCCTACCAGCTCCCTCCGCAGGAATATGTTCTTAGTCTAGAAATAGCCTGCGGCAGTCTTCATAATTTGACGTGTTATTACGGAAGATGTTGATAAGTAAAGCATTTAGAGGCCACATTGGTGGGAGACACTGCAGCCTGGTCATATTTTGTCACGTGATTAATAATATACAGCAAATTGAAATCACGGTTTACTAAGTGTGCAAACAATGACATCTTTACACTTGATGTAAATGCTCTCGTCTGTTGCAGAACGATTTGGTATGAGCTGCAGGCGCGCGACTGGCCTTTTCATGGGCAACCCGCAGAGGCTATCATCTGGCAGGTGGGCAATGGGTTGAAGCCAGACCCTACGCCTGTCAGCATGGTGAAGGAGATCTTGGTACGTGACACTTTCCACTTGGAGATGTTTTTGTTGTTTTATTATTTATGATGGCTCCTTTATCCAGGAAAGCCACACCGAGTCTCCAGACACTTTTTTCAGGGTGTGGGTCCTGTCAAGTTTTTGCAGCAGGGGGTGATGTTGATCGTGTAATTGCAATTGAGTGATTTGTCGGGAATTCTTAGCATTGGGACGTTTGTCCAACACCAGTTCCATTGTATATTTATTTTTAGCTATGGGATGAAACCGCAGAACCCAGAGGAAACCCATGCAGAACAGTGAGAAAACATACAAACTCCACGCAGAAAGACACCTCAGTTGGGAATCGAACCGAGGTCCTAGTTGCCACTCAACTGCAGCTTTAAGCAATTTACCCCATAGATTTCCTCTGATTTGCCACAGAGGTGTATGGTCGTGCCAGTCCCTGACCATTCGTGAATGTGATCAATCCTAAGAAGATGGCCATAGCATTTGAGTTTTGGGCTAGTCGCCTGGAATTACATTGGCCAATGTAATCATTTAATGCAGGCACATTGTTAGAAACCTTTAGGCTGAATTTGAACTGTGAAATAACTTAACTCGGATGTAAATGCATTTGTCAATTGGTTACTTGCCTGAGTAAAACAGATGTGAGAAAGTCCCTTAGATAGTAAATAATGTAAAACTAACATGTGCGCTCGTGACCTATACTCCCGTTGTATTTTTTGCTCAACATATTATTCAGCACCCATTAACAATATATGATTTTTTTTTATCTCTGCAAGAGGTAATTTAAATTGGCAAAACCAGCAGCATGGGTAATTTTGTCAAATCGTAATCCTGACTCCAGTATATGGTGCTGAACCCAGGGTATTGCAAGTCATTACTGGCGGTTATGTTTGGTAGTTGCTAGAGTAACAATTTCCATTATCATGCAAATGTGTAATCCGTGGCTCCAATGTATAGGATAATTGTATATTTGCATATGTAATATATCATCACATTTAATGTAACTCTTTTTAAAATGTGCAATCGTTGTATGCGATATTATTCTACATATCCTTATAATGCAAGAAATGTGTATTAAAAACCATTTGTCAGGCAAAGGTAATTTCATTGTCTGCCTATTAAAAGACTTGTTTATGATGAAGGTAGGTTCAGCAGAATGAATGTGTCTAAACCTGTGTATGTGTGTGTGTATTTTTCAGGACATTATCTTGGCATGTTGGTCCAACGACCCAGAGGAGAGACCGACCTTCACGCAGCTGATGGAAATGATTGAAAAACTTCCGAAACTGAATCGCCGCCGCTCGCATCCCTGCCACTTTTGGAAGTCTGCAGAGTGAGTTCTTGACTGTGTGTGTGGATGCTGGCAGTTGAAATGCAATAGCTCGATTGTCAAAAATTGTCCTGCCTTTTCACTTGTTTGACGGACGACTGCGCGTGGCAAGCATAAGAACAGTGGCAAAACATCTTGAAATATTGTTGAGAAGTGTTTTGGTTTGCAGCACACTTGCCTCTGACCAAATCATCCAGAATGTACCAAATCCGGTCAGACCTACGAAGCTAAGAAGGGTTGAGCCTGGCAAGCGATTGGATGGGTTGACCACTGTGCATAAAACAGGTGCAGTAGGTTTGTGGAAAGTTGAGGGTAATGCATCAATATCCATTGTTGATCTATATCCCCCCTCCCCATCTTCAATCTGCACTGACAAGCATGGTGAGGTTTGTTCAAGTAACGTTTGCCACCTGCATGCCCTCATCTAGCAGTGGATTGATTAACGGACTATTCATATACATAGCACTCTCAGTTTCAAGCATTTTTCTTCATCACGCAGGAAACTAAAAATTACTTGGTAACTGGTCTGGCTGGTGCTCTTTTGGCAGGTAAATCCGATTTTTTTTTTATTAAAAATAAGCTGTCTGCCACTTGAAATACTCGGCATAATGCAAAGGAATGTAATTCACTTTTAAATCATGAGCATCGATGAAGTGACCCGGTGATTCAGCGTGCTGAGATGGCACTGCTAGGTTCCAAAGCAGGAAGATGTCCATTCATATCAGGATCAGAATATTTATTTATACTGCAGGAGTCCAATGAGCTGTAAATCTATTTTTCACAGATGTCCAATAGGGGGCGGGTCAGAACGTTACTACAACAAATAATACAAAAATACGAGAGGGGTGCAAAGTATAGGAAAGGTAATAAACTGAGTTCTCAAGTGTAGCAGAGTTGGTGGTCTCAAGCACCGATAACTGCACACACACACAACTGGTATATTAAATTCGGGTTTTGCACATAAATTGGTTTAATTATTCTCTCTTAGAATAAAAAATATATTTATCTAATTGTGACTTATGTGATGGACACTACTCGCTTACGTGCATAAGAGGTCACGTGCAGAGTGGTTGAGAAGCAGGTCTGTGATATATTCTTCTGCGGCCCGTTCTCTGACACTGGTAGCGCACCGCTTTGCGACAACATCTCTCTCATGTTGAAGATATCTCTGGAGATGCGCGCCCCGGAAAGATAAATTCCCGCAACCTTGGGACCCACTTACGTCGCAACCTGCTCCAGTTGCTCTTACTGAATAACAGGTCCCTGCGGGGTGGGCTGGTAGGAACGAACAAATACGATACGAAGGGCGAGTTTGAGGCCTAGTTCTAGGCTTTAGGCCTAGCTGTAGGCTTTAGGCCGCTGTGAGTTAATTTTTAATGTAAATGTTTTAATTAAAAACTATCTCAGGGAATGAGTTAATTTTTAATTTAAATGTTTTAATTAAAAACTATCTCAGGGAATTAAAAAACTATCTCAGGGAATTATAAGGGAATGTTACACTTGTTTAGCCAGGAAAGCCTCACTGAGTCTAAAGGTTTTTGTAGGGTCCTGCCAAGTGTTTGCAGTAGGGGGCGTTGTTGCTACACCTAATCGGACATCGGACGGACGGACGGACGATATAATCTATTGTAGGCTGGTTCACTTCGTTCCTACCAGTATTAGTTGTCTAATAACCATGTAAAGAGCATTTAAACATATTTATACTGTGCAATGTCACTTCAATTAGAACAACCCAAATTTCGATTTAAAGCTTTCGTGACTGCAGGGATTCATCTTCTTGGTTCTTTCGGTAAAGTCACGTAGAAGGGAAGTAATAAAATAATACAAATAAAACATTATGTTTTATTTTTATTATTATTTTATTACTTCCCTTCTACGTGACTTTACCGAAAGAACCAAGAAGATAGAACAACCCAAGTTGAGTCGCATACATAAGCCTCTGAATACTGCTGGAATGCCAACAACGGTACCTTTCAGAATTACGTTATTGTTGTTTGTTGTTAATGAAACTCACGAAATGCAGCTTCATCACATTTATATGCTGGAGTTTAATTTTATTCCCCCTGATCTAACATTCTTGTTTTTCCATTGCAGATTATAGCATCTCGCTGCTTCAGGAGCAGGTGTCATGGCGGTTACTCAAACGGACCACAATGACAAAACTTAATAAATGTGGGAGGTGTGGGGGAAATGTACAGACATGCATACAAATAACTTACGTGTAACGTGTAAAAAAAAAAAACCCTTGTTGGAAGATACTACTACAACAAAGCAAGTTACTGAAGCATGTGCAAGTATGCTGTTCTGCATCGAGCTGGCAATGCTTTGTCATTATCTTGCATATTCCTTTTTCAGTTCCCGTGCTGTTTCTCTCATGGCGAAAGTGAGCGTATTTACTGATATCCCTGCACCTCCACCCACACATTTTGTCCTCGCTGTAATTTATGCGTGGGGTTCTTCAGTAACCTCCGAGCTTGTTGAATACTTATAGCTTAGAGATTAACCAAAAGCTGTTGCACCGGGGAAAAGCTCTGCTTGCCCAATTATGAAGTTTCCACGAGAAGAAACAAATGTTTTCAAGCGAACTGCTCAACTAAAAATATGTTATACACGCATTCATGGCTGTTACAGACTCTGAAAAGTACTGCAGGAACAGATAATTATTGATGAAATCGATGGAAATACAGATTTACTTGTGAATTTGTTGTTCGGAACAGCCAAATTAATTCGGTTGAGTTTACGGAGACCATTCGTCTGCACCTTCAAGTACAACACGAGGCTTTCTGTGACAGAGAAGCATGATCTGGGTCACGTGAAACAAGGCACAGGGAAGTCTAAATCAGTATATGAGCAACAAGCAAGTCGAACTCGTGAACAACTCGGAATTAACTTGTCTGTTTCACTGGAGAAACCACTGCGCTTTTGGAAGATGACTTGTGGCTCCAAGCACAAGATTGTTGCCATGCAATGCCACAAAATACCGCGGAAAGGTTTTAAAATATATATTTCTGTCACAACGCATTTCCTTTTCACGAAAAAGAATACATGTTTGGCCGTGTGGCCTCTGTGGAGCCGTCGGGTTTACTATTGAGTACAATCGACTACAGAACACGTCAAAAGCATTCCGTTAACGCAATCTCCGGGGAGATTAATATGCAGAAAGTACAGCTGCTGGCTTCGAAATGACTGGCTTCATTAAAATCCCCAACCATTTCTGCACGGTGAGTTTCAACGTCCGCGTGTGTTGACACGAAGCTCGGGCACATGAACTGCGCGTGATACGCACACTGTTTGGCTGAACAGACTGGTGTTGGAAGGTGATCACTCTTTAAAAAGAAAAAAACATCGCTTCTGCATCCAAAACTACTGAGGCAGCACATAGTTTATTTTTCACAATGCATTTGTATCACTCGAAAATCATGTTTGTAGCTAGTGCCAAATATCTACACAGACATTGATGCCTTTGACTAGTTTCCACTACATTGCATTTAGTAAAACATATATACAAAGGTGTAATATTCTATCATGTGTTTGATTTAAGATTTTAAAAAAACGTGCCATGTTTCATTATTGATTGCAGACAAATCGCAGTGGCCAGCCAAATGCTATACATTTTTTTTATCAGTGGCTTCCTTTCATGCAAGCGTTCATCATGATTAAAAGCCGTCACAATGGATAGGTATGACTATAGTGGTTTATGCTCTGTTTAAAGAAAAAAAATAAAAGTAAATGTAGCAGAGCAATGTTGCACTATAACATAGCAATTGTTACTGTGAAACTGTGTTAAGATCTTGTGTGTGCATGTTAACTGTCCCCTAGGTTATTTCCTTTGCAGTGGTGCAGTGGCATTGCGTAGGAAAAAAAAATGTGGCGTTTTGCGTTGAGAAAAGATTCTATACGAGATGCTTGATCCTATAGGGCTGCGATAAAAATCAGCAATATGGAAATGTATTTGAAATGTTATATGAAGTAAAAACAAAAGGGGGGGTGTATGTCTTAGCATAATGATATAGGCTCAAGGCTTGAGTTTAATTTCATGTACAATGAGATCTGTTATTCCAACTTTGAGTGGGACCAAACTATTAGCATGGTTTTGTTTAAATTGCAGAACGAGATAACTGCAATGTTAATTTTAAACCGTGTCTTTTTTAAAAAGAAAATCTAAATAGGTTGGGGTGTGAGCGGGAAGAGAAATGTAAGTAGTGTCGTAGCATAAACTGAATGTGTCTGGGTCACTGCAAAGAAGAGTTGTGTTGTGAACAATTTGTACGTACCATTTGATGGCAAAGACAAGATGTACAATGGCGTATATTTAAAATTGGGTAAACTCGTGTACATTTTGAAAGAAAAAACGCGTTTTGTTGGTTGCCATTTTGTTTGTATATAAGACGTGAAAAGTTTCAGTATGGAGCAAATGTGACTTTCTCCTGCATGCAGTTTAAACGGATCACAGATATGTCACATACATTTTCCACAATTGAATAAGTGGCCCAAAATTGCTTCCATTCGATTTTAAATTGTTCACCGTTTAAAAAGCACTTCATTGAAATCATGTAATGAATCGAATCCATTTCTTCATATTTACTTAACTATAAATAACTGACAGTGTAATTTAACATTCCAGATGCTTACAATTTTTTGTTGAACTGAGATAAACAATATATTACTGAAATTGACATTATTGGCCGACATTTTTTGTTAACTTTAACCATACTCTGGTATTCATTTGTGGATCTTAAATGCGTTAACAGCTCGCCTTTCTTAACATTTACTGTATTTATTTTGTTACTGGAGCTGAGTGTAACTGGGTCCCGTATTTAAACTATCACGTTGCACGTTTTTAATTCTAGCTTGATGCCATGATATTGGCACTAATGTACTAAAGCTGTGAACTTCTTTCGGAGTCTTAATTGTGCATTCACATTAGGACAAAGTTGACAGTTTGAGTTGGGGAGGTGTGACTATCTCACCATCTGAATCTTTTACATCAACTGTACATTTTGTATAAAACAAAGTTTATAATATTTTCTATACGTGCGTTGTTTGATTTACCATATTAAGTTAAGAGATATTTATAGGGTCGTCATGTCCTTGCATTTGTGTCGCTGCTGTCGTATTTGTTATTTTCAGGTGTGTTTGGTGATGCATTTGATCAATGTTTCCAGCATGTGCCGTTATTGTTATTGAAGCCCTTGTGTTCACTGGACCTGTCATTGTTTACATTAAATAAAGTTTGCATCCGAAATCTTGACCCAACCTTTACTTCTTGAAAGCTCGAGGCAAGGCAGTTGTTAGCATTCATTATCGGAATTTAGCTTCCAACCAATTCACAAACCTTCAAATCTTCTTGGTTCTTTCGGTAAAGTCACGTAAAAGGGAAGTAATAAAATAATAAAGATAAAACATAATACAATAATTCTCACGACGTTTCGGCCACAACGCAAGCAGCCGTCCTCAGGTGAAGACCAGGTCTGTCGGGGAGACAGCGTCTGAAATGTTTGTAAGCATTTGTCTCTACGGACATAACATTTGTGCAGCTCATCACACCATAATGTAGGTGGCATCTTTCGCGCCATTGAACGCGACACAGATTCACATTAACTTGGAAAGAAAAATCTGCAAAACGTAACTCATTTAGACTTATTGTTTGATAAGTTTTTCGTGGTGACTTTCATGTTGCGTTCCTGCTTTTCTGCTTTGAATAAAATTTCATCTCAATAGTGATATAACAATGTTATATATTTTTTCAAGCACACCACCACATTTTGTGTAGATGTAAATTGCTTCGTGCAGAAGAAGCCATTATAAGCCAGTGCCATGTGCAAATTTACAAAATTATCCACAATTATGAAATTGTCTTTGGATGAGCGCTTGCGAGAGATGCATGCCCTGAAGCCAGGAAGGTCCTCTCTCTCTCTGGGTCAGTCCTGCGCAAGGAAAAAAAACTGGCTTGGACGATACTGATTTTTTTAATTTAAAGCATAAATTGATTGAATACTCCCATGCGTTGAATTTAAACGGTACCTTTAAATTTTCCCAAGCCATTCGTTTCACTTTGTAATAGCATTTCCAGCAGTAGCAGCAGCAGCAAAAAAAGCCTTTTCCACTCATTACCTCCAAACAAACGCATTTATGTTATCTTTTTGCACATATTGCAATTACCCACCCGGTACAACTTAAATGCAATGAAGCGTAGTGATGAACACAACTCTGGGGCATAACTTATCCTTCGCCACACAACCAAATTTCACCGCACAAAAGGTGAGTAAACATCGTGAATAACAAATCAAAGCTGGGTGTGACTTGCAGTCTCGCCCCCTTTGTCGAGTGGCGTCACTGGACGGCTGGCCACTATATAGTGCCCGTAGCAGGCGTCCGCTGCAATGCCCCGATCGAATGTGTCGCGTGGCAAGAGCGAGATGGAGAAGCCGTACGACGCGTCCCGACTTTAACTTGGGTGAGTGTTTGTTCGTCACATTCGTGCGTTGCGCTACATCTCTGTTGCACGATCTCTTGAGCTTAGCGGGAGACTGAATCGTTTTCCCCACTGAGCTTTTGCTGGAGATATCCTCGATATTTCATATGGACTAGTACAGCCCTGTTTTGTAAATCAACTGCTGGATTAGGGTCTCTTCCCCCCCCCCCCTCCAACCTTGTGGGCTGAGGAATATTTGACCATAATTCACTATGTGCGGTGCGGGGTGGGTGGTAGAGATGACAGAGTATTCCATTTCTATTCAACGAACGCTCACTGCGAGCTCATCCATTTACTTTGTTGTTGTTGTTGTTTGATGAATGCCACACTAATAACTAAATGTCTGTTCACATTTACGACAATATCTAAAGTGCAACTTTAATTGCCACAGCATATGTAAATGCAGTACGCCGAATCTCGTCATTCTAACATTCTGTCCCCTTTCCGTTAGCTCATTAGCCACGATGAGATCTGGATAATTTACGCCACGCGTCTCATCCTTGAGCGAGCCCGTTCTCTTCCCTATCTCGGACCGCTGCGCCGATCCACCTGGGATTCTTGCCATCCCATAGCTGTCAGCCCCTCGTCAGTGCCCCTACCTTATCACAGACCAATTCAGACCTCATTGGTCACCCCGTGCCCCTTATACATCAGAACGCTAATCCTACAAAGTCCCATCACAAGGGAGAAACGCTAAAAAAATTACAAAACATGCGGTTTTTGTTGTTGCCCGTATTGAAACGTCTGTACGCCGTATGGACCTGAAAACTCAATTTCCCTGTACACGAATACGGGTAAACCGTATGGGCTGACACGGTTTGCCATCCCCTACTCCCTGTTTACTTCCACGTTTGTGCGTGACGCTAAGAACGCGGATCTTCTGAGCCACTGCGAGGTCTTCTTGCCTTGACTTTGTCTGACAAGGTTATTTTCACTCCGAACCAGTTGTTGTTCAATTTAATTGTCATTCTTCAGCGGTCGTTTGTGCGCGTGATGCATTGTAGTTTGTACATTCAAATAGGCTTACACTCCTCTGTCGTTCGGGATGCAGCAATTAACGAAGCACTTAATAATGATAGCAATTTAGGAGCTATGATTGTGATATAATAATCTGTGTAGCGTGTAATATGCCGTTATTATATATTAGGTTACGTATACACGTTTCGACAAAACAAATTCCCACTGTGGGTAATAAAAAGTAATTTTATTTCATATTTACCATACAAGTAATAACACGGGATGTTTGCCATTCATCTCTAACGTAAACTTAGCAAGGATGCAATCGCAATACATTGAATGCGTGTGGGCTTTTGTCTCGGTAAAGTAGATCATCAGTTGGCATTGTTTATCCGTTGCTGCTTAAAGGAAGGCTTGCCTGTATTTAGAAGAAGACCTGATGACCTGAATCCCTGGCCACCATTAACATCCCTGGTGAGTGATATCTAAATTGGCGCTGGGGCCCGAGCGTTTTACTAGCCCACAGTGACCAACATGGGGAAGTATTAATTCTAGATTTGAAGCTTTCGTGACTGCAAGGATTCATACTCTTAGTTCTTTCGGTAAAGTCACCTGATGACGAAGACTTGTGTTGCCTCCGAAACGCCGTGATTTTATTGTTTTATTTTTATTAATTTAAATTTCATTTTTTACCTACGTGACTTTACCGAAAGAACTTAGAGTATGGTGAAGTATGGTCAAACGAACCCGATTACACACTGAACATGGCGCAGGGAGCCCTTCATCCAGCAGTCGATTGGCCAAGCACTCTGTTATATACTATTATATATACACGTCTCGAGCATGGCACGCTAAAGATGTATTTCCAAGCGAAAACTCGACCGTATTTTTTGCTGACATTAAAATCTCAAGCGCCTCAATACTGGCGCATACGCACATCATATGGGGCATTGCACGCCGGCCGTGTTGTGTAGCATGTTCAAAGCAGGGCAATAACGTTATTTTAAAATGCCCGTTGCTAACAATGTTTCACGAGTGGAACTGCTTTGACTGTGCTTGCTACCTTCTATCATTCCATAAAGCCATGGTACACAATGATGGATTGTTGCACCGTGTAATTTTACGTGAGATTATTAATGCCCATGAGGACACATTATCTCTTCTCTCCTGCAGCGTACTCGCCACGGGCTCGTGCAAATCACGATAATTACAGATGACCACCACACCGATGAATATCAAGTGTGTCTGTGCGGTTGAATGTGCAGGGGATTTTTAGCGACTGCTTTGAAAACAACCTAAAGTAAAAATCGCATTAAAATTAGCCGCGTTTTCTTGCACTTATCCTCCGACTTGTGTTTGTGAGAGCCGTATAAAAATATAATTATAGAGCGTGAGAACAGATTGGTAATTGGAGATGATTACTTTCATTTCAATAAAAAAAAAGCATGGCAGAACTAAAGCAGAGCCATACCAATTCGTTCCGAGTTGCAAGTAAGCATTGCTAATAAACACTTCCTTGCTATCTACACTGCAGGGACTTGCATTTTACATTTTTTATATGATCGAGACATTTCGTGGATATCTGGGGGTGGAGCGGTGGTGCCAAGATTCCCAGACTTCGTATGTACCCAGCGACTTGGGTGGCATCCCTGGCCACGGGTTTACATCAGTGGCGAATGATGTCAGAACCTCACCTGGACCTCCTACTCCCCTTCACCGATCCACACCGAACTGACCAGCGGAGTGCGATGTGGTCAAACAACCCCCATGAATAACACGGCGTGGGTAGGCCCCCATCAAAGCCATGTTAATTATTAAGTGTTATTTTAATCTTGAACAAACTAATATAGCCTATTTCTAAAGGTGTGTTTGAACACTTCATCGGTTGGCAATTGTCCATGCTGCACTACAGATCACTCCTTAAATGAGACGAAAAAATGTGTTATATCCATCCAAATAGTTCCACTCAAGTCATGCGTATGACTTGTCAATATACCCTTTGTGGGTGTTATTCGGCAGGAATATAGTGATTAGGAAATCCATCCGTTTGATTATTACTTCATATCGTGCATGTTAAGAATCATCAATGATCGATTTGTATCTGAAGTATGTAATTGTTTGGCGTAAATTGCACGGTCCTAAAGAGGCCGAGACATTCACCACGAGAGAAAACATATATTCTTAAATCGAATCACTACCCCGAATTGTGTCCTTTGTGAGTCACACGCAATCCATTTTCATTTGGCAACCAACCTAAATGCACTGAAATATGGTGCTGTGAATGCATTATTAATTCTTATTCTTCCACGCTTTTGTCCCACTCGTGTACGGTCCACTGTCCTTGCCAACCTTGTCCATGGTGCCCTGTCCTGCGCCATCTCACTTTGCACTCCTCATGATTAATTCTGTTTTCAATAAAACTGTGAGTTGGTTAATATGGTAATATGCTGCATGATACTCCGGGCTGCGTGGGTCACGGGTGGCTCATAGGGTACAAAAGGAAAACTTACCCACTCAAAACTACCATTTTAAAGCAGATGCCGAGGCAAATGGGTTTCACATTTTTCACCTCGGGATATAGCAGTGTGTGACCTTTGTTTCAAACAGAGCCTTGGTGTCTGATCCTGTAAAGTGAAAATATTTACCCATTCACAGTATCTCAAATCGAGACAGTGCGTACTTGTGAGTCACTATATTATAACACATTATTAATTTAAATTACTGAATTATTATTATGTTGTACAGCTCTTTGTCAGTCCACTGCTGGATGAAGGTCTCCCCGTGGTGTTGTAGGTCACGGGGGTTGTCGTAACCCAGGGCTGGTTCAGCTATCGCGTACCACTGATGTTAGCCATGAATTGGGAATCAAATGCAGGTCACTGGCTTCATAGCACTTAATTTTAGCAGATACGTAAAACTCTCAGGCAAATGTTTTTATAGCATCATTTCTTTTGTTATTATTAAAAGGCCATTGCTTATTTAATTATGATTTTGATCTAATTTGATGTGTTTATAACAAGTGCACAGCAAAAGGTCATTGCGTCTGTTTGAAAGTCCTGTAATGTTCTTGAGATTTTTTTTATTTAATTGCGGTTGTGTTTCCAGACGTTAGGGTCTTGGATTCTGGACGCTGGGCTCAGCCATTAGTTAGGACCACATTTTGTGTCAGCATATCGATTCTTATATTCTTAGGTTTTTTCGGTAAAGTCACGTAGGTAAAACATTAAAATAAATGAAAGTAAAATAAAATAAAAATCACGACGTTTCGGAGGCAACACAAGTCTCCGTCATCAGGTGGGACCGTCACAGCCAGATTTGCTGCATCAAGTGATGCAGCATCAAGTGATGCAGCAAATCTGGCTGTGACGGTCCCACCTGATGACGGAGACTTGTGTTGCCTCCGAAACGTCGTGATTTTTATTTTATTTTACTTTCATTAATTTTAATGTTTTACCTACGTGACTTTACCGAAAAAACCTAAGAATATGAATCCTTGCAGTCACGAAAGCTTCAAATCTAGAATGATCGATTCTTAGTTTTTACGAGAAGGAATGATTAATAATGCAAATTTATGGGAGTTTCAATTTCAATTGAAATTACTTAACTTCTACTAAAACTGCTTTAGCCTCGCCTGATGAAATCTAAACACATTCTCTCGTGATGCTTTCTCAAAGGCTCGTAATTAGACCAAGAAGGAAGGTAATTCGAAAATGTGCGGTGCGTTTGTGTCGCCGATTGCGCTGAATGAAGCAGTTTCTTCCTTCCAACAGGATTTGCCAAACTCTCTGGATCCCCCACCAACCACGCTCCGTCTTTCCGCGTTTGCCAATTTACCCCAAGTTCAAATTAACGCTGCACGCGTCCGATGGTTGTTAAACGTCCCACGTGCCGCGCTAAGCAACGGACGCTGTCTGCGTCACGCGGAACACGTGGTCACGAAATACAAAGGCACGCACAATGAGATTCCAATGTTAATTTGTATCGGCTCTTTTAACGCGGGAGGCGTTAATTGCTTAGCGTGGGGCGTGTTTAATAAGCATCGGGCGCGTGCAGCGTGCAACGCGTTAATTTGTATTTGAGGGGGGAGCTAATTCGCAAACGCGGAAATGGAATTTGGAAAACACTGCCTTCGCAATTTGTATTTATTAGCCTTGTATGTGTTCGAGAAACATCCTGGACTTTCGCTAAATGTTGATCAAATATAAAGATCGCAGCTGAAGTAATTTAAATGTAAGTGATTCGCCCCAATTGATTGTTCATCGACACATTGTGATGTGTTACTGTCATCAACGAGGATTCGAAAAAAAATATTTTAATTGCATATATATCACCATCACGTAAACTGAAATCTTGAAACTGAATATATACGTCCATAATATACATTTTTGGGGTTAGATCACGTAAATATAAATGTGTCGTTAAACTCGCCACCACCCGACACAGCCAACTGGTAAGGTTTGTCCCGTAAACAAAACATGCCAATTCGTTACTAGTTTAACTAGTAACTACCATTACTAATTGCCTGTCGGGTGGTGGTGGGTTTCACGACACATTTATATTTACACGACCTTACCCGAAAAAAAAAACTCTATTGGATAACATTGGTCGTGAGCCTACGTGTTAAACTGGAAATATATATGTGTGTGTGTATATACGTGGAGCATATCCCTATGAAGAATTAGCTCCACAAATCGCAGTGCTGGAACTGAAGGAGTTAACAAGCAGACGGAGGGAGGTGAAGGCATCGTCTCGCTTCTATCGCGGCAGAGCGCAGCGCCAGGGTCTGCCCTCTCGTTCCTGCGAGAAGATCATCGGAAAGCGAACCGGGGTGTTCCATGCTCGCCGGGAGTCTAGCGTAGCGGCAAGGAACACGGAGCGATGGAAGATGTTGAGACGACACATCGAGCAGATGTTGACGGGGAAGGCATTGAACAGGGGGAGACTGAAGGGCATGGGTTAATCGAACGGATTTTGGAAAAAAATTGCAAAACAATGGAACCAGAAAAGGAGAGTCACGGCGAAAGGCGCAACGCTCTCTCTGAAGACGATGGAACCGAACGCGGGGAGTTGGGCACGATTCTCGAAGCGACGACGTTGGAAGAGAGGTACGAGCCGCCCCGAGTGGCAGAGTGGGAACAAGAGAAGGGCCCCGACGGAGGGGACTTGGGGCGAGTTGAGCCGCTCGATAGATCCGCATGTTCGTCACCCCGAGGAACGGACGAAACGTCTGACTTGGAGACGTGCCGAGAGATGGAAATTGCAGAAATGAACAACGAAATGAAGAGAGAACGTCGCAACAGCGGGGGGAACGAGGTGGAAGATTTACACGTGCTGCAGGCAACGCGACAGGTAAGCGCTCATTTATAATGTCACGGTCGCGAACATTATTTTTCATTGTTGTGTGTCTACGCTTGATAATAATTACCGCGAGTGTTGCGGTATTTTCAACGAGACTGGTCTTGACGTGCACTGCATGTGATTCATTAGCCCCGAAGGTCAATTCTGTGTTCAGGAAAGACTCGACGAGTCTCACCAAACCTTAGCTGGAGGCTCCTGCATTGGAATGTTTGGACATTTTTTTTTGTTATTTTCTTTGAACCTATCTACGTGAATGTGAATTCCTGCAGTCACGAAAGCTTTCAGTCAAGATTTAATTCTTTTTATTTATTTATAGCTAGGTGAGAATGTAAGTGTTCTTATTAATTTCAATCGATGTGTCCTTCACGCGTTCAACGATACGATCTTTGATTACCATTACCGCTCTTAATAATAATCATCATCTCGACAAATGACGCACGGCGTGCGCGATCAGTTTTGAACCGCAATTTTTCGTTTTTTTAAATGTTACATTACCTTCACTCATCGTGTCCTCCAACGGACACTTGTGAACTGCGCCCAAGGCCACGTGCCCCCCCCCCCCCCCCTTGCGTTGCGCGATGCCCGCTGTTGATGGCAACTCTCTCGTGACAGCCGGAGAAGCTGACGCTGGGTCCACCCAAGGCCCTTCCCAAAGCGCCGTGCGGCCACGTCAAATTACGCAACCGGGAATCCGGCTCCGTGCTTCCTGACACGCTGCATCTCTCTGCGCTCGGGGCAAGTCGCATCCACCACGTTTTTTATATTTCCATTTTCAGTCTTTCTTGGGGAATTAATTCAAAAACCGCAGTGAATGCTTAAAACAAACACAATCCACCCACGGAGCAATGTATAAGTGACTTTACCGATAAAAAAAACAAAAGTATGAATCCTTGCAGTCACGAAAGCCTCAAATCTAGAATTAATGTATAAGTTATTCATGCGAGCGATAATTGAGACACGTATGTAAGTGCTGTGCTGTGTGAGGGTTTAATTTAAATGCGGGTGGATTGTGTTTGTTTTAACGCTGTCGGTATATAAAAAAAAAAATTGTCGGTGCATATAGAGGAGCGCTAAATGTCATTTGATGGTGAAAATTAAAACATTAAAAACCCAGGAGACAAAGCAATAGGTTGTTTTAAGGACACGTGATTTGAAAAAGTCTGCGGTATTCGTATGGCTTTTCTTGAGTACTTAAGTATTCACGTACAACTTTATATTAATTTTGACAGAATAATGCAAATTAATGTGAGAATAATTTACGCGGTGCATGATGGCGCTATGAACCGGCACTGCGCTGTGAACTTTAACAACCCGAGTTTGATTCCCGGCCACGGTTAACATCAGGTGGGAGTGAGATCTGGCGCAGTTCTGGGTCTCCCCCCCACCCCTTTCCACAAACCAGCACCGAACAGAGTGGTGAAATATGGTCAAATACCCACCCCCCTGACTGGCATAGCGTGGCGAGGCCTTTATCCAGGAAATAGCGAGACAATGATGATTACACTGGTCAACACACTTTTGCTGGCATGAAGTATTCCAACGGTTTGAATGTAATTTTGGGGGGCTGATTCCAAATCTGGCATCAGTTTTTGTCTATCACATCAGGTTTTCGAGATATCAAATATTGCATTTTCAATAAAAACTGCAAAAGAAAAATATTAAATAAATGTGGATATCTACATAAAATGATATTATAAACACACTATCCTAATAATACAGCACCATATTTTAACACTAAAGCAGTCACTGACTCGCAACAACTTGCAATCATAAGTGAGAGTTAATTTCGGGTAAAATCAATGAAAATGGGGTATGCCGATAGCATAAAAATGAGATGTGATAAAGCAAATCTGAGATCAGATTTGGAATCAGCACCCTGAAATGAGTCTAAAACATCTGCAAAAGTCCAGGCCAGAAAAAAATGTTTTTTTTTTGTTGGCCAGTGTTACTTATTATTACTTATCACGGTGTGAACAAAAATGTCTGTAAATGAGTCGCAGTACTTTTTAGTCCTTGTCAACCCGCTCCTGGATGAAGGCCTTCATGGGATTGACCACAACTATGCTGGTCAATGCGGGTTGTGAAAGGGAGCCCTGAACCAGTCGCAAACACCGCCTGCCACCACCGACGTTAACCACCATTGGGAATTGAACTCAGATGGCCAGGTGCATGGCACAGTGCGCTAACGCTTCCCGCATTGCGAATTTAGAATGAATTAAATATCTCATTCTTACACAGATATATTGGACACTGCGATACATCAGGTACTCATGTTGAGGTCGACCTAGCATGTGTATATACACACACAACCATGTGCATTGTATGTATAAACTGATCATTAAATGAGTGGATTAAAAGTATGGTTTGTAAAATAAACCATGACCTTTGTGTGAACAAACTTCAGCTCACCATCAATTCCTGAACGGTTGTCACCCTTCTCTTTTTGCAAAACGTAAAATCCAGTTCCTTAAATCATCATCGAATTGAGAAATGTTTAATCTGTCAAAATGAAAGCGCGATGTAAAATATTTTAATGTCAAAACGAAACTTTCAAAGAAATCACATCACACAAAGCCCAGCTGATGAGTGTGCTCTGCACTGATCCCTCCATCACGTTTCACCGGTGCAAAATATGCGGGAACCCAAAAGGGAGATAATTGCCACGAGGCGGACGGCTGCTCACCGCTGTAACCACGTGGGGCCCGTCGAGATCGCAGAGAACTCTCCGTCAAACCGATTCTCGAGATCCACGTTACGACCGCTGTCGTGGCCAGTTTACCGTGGCCCTCTCGCGAGCTGCCCCAGGGCTGCCAGAAACGATAACAAGCGAACGACGTCTTCTTGGTTCTTTCGGTAAAGTCACGTAGAATGGAAATAATAAAATAATAAAATATAACATAATAAAATAATTCTCACCACGTTTCGGCCACAACGCGAGCAGCCGTCCTCAGGTGAAGACCACGTCAGACGCTGTCTCCCCGACAGACCTGGTCTTCACCTGAGGACGGCTGCTTGCGTTGTGGCCGAAACGTCGTGAGAATTATTTTATGATGTTTTATTTTATTATTTTATTATGTTTTATTTTATTATTTCCATTCTACGTGACTTTACCGAAAGAACCAAGAAGATGAATCCCTGCAGTCACGAAAGCTTTAAATCGAAGTTTTAGCGCACGACGGATAACAAGTAAATAAACACACTTCCCCTTCCTCTCCGCCTCCTGGGATGCTGCCGTGCTGTAATGATGGTTGTGGCACACTCTACGTGCAGTCCAAAGATCTCCCGACCAACGTGCCAATTGTAACGCTGGCGCAAGTTTATTTTCATTCCCCCTCGCCACTTGTCGACCCAGCAGTGCTAATGGGTGCGCCGCAGTTTCGACTATCGGCGGGGTCGCGTGCGGTGCGGCAAAGTGTGGGTAACACCGCCTGCTCCAAGGACTTGTGGCAAGTGTGGAAGAATAGGCAAACAAACACGAAAAATACCTAAAATTAAAATTAATAAAAGTAAAATAAAAATAAATAAAAAATCACGACGTTTCGGAGGCAACACAAGCCTCCGTCTTCAGGTGGAACCGTCACAGCACGATAGCTGTTTCAAGTAAGAGAAATTTCTCTTACACAGCACGATAGCTGTATCAAGTAAGAGAAATTTTTCTTACTTGATACAGCTATCGTGCTGTGACGGTTCCACCTGAAGACGGAGGCTTGTGTTGCCTCCGAAACGTCGTGATTTTTTATTTATTTTACTTTTATTAATTTAAATTTTTACCTACGTGACTTTACCGAAAAAATCTAAGAATATGAATCCTTGCAGTCACGAAAGCTTCAAATCTAGAAACAAAAAATACCATCTGCAGAACATCTCGAGAACTGGCTATCGCCTGTTGAAGCTAGTTGTAATTACTGGCGAAACGTCGTACTCAGATTGTAAATGTTGTGGCTTGGCTCTCCAACACACCGGTGTGCTGTACCAGTGACGAATTACCATGTTCTGCTTACGTGACAACCCTTACTAGTTGGCTGCGTCGGGTGGCGGCGGGTTTCAACGACACATTTATATATTTACGCGATCTAACCCAAACAAAAACCTCTATTATGGACCCTTTTTGTTGTAGTGTCCCCATTATTCCTCCGCTGCTGGACACCTTGTTTCTCGCAGGCGATGTGGCGCGTGCCGTGCGGGGAGTGGGCCTGCCACAGCTCGGTGATGTATCCGGAGCAGATCGTGCGCGTCCCACGAGAGGCTCCCCGACCGGCACCGGAGCTCCTCGGCCTCGCCACGGAGTTCCTCTCTCAGTACTACTCCTCCATCAAGCGGTGTGCCCCCCCCCCCCCCCGTCGCTCGATACTGCTTGCCCATAAAAGATGCGCGCCTCGTGGGGAGACAAAGGCGGCCGGGCGTGGTGGTGGCCTTCATAGGTGCTTGCTAACAGCACTTGCCCCAACAGACTGTTAAGCCTATACGGGGGACCTTTGTCTTTATACACCACACTGTATATAAGTGTAGTATATATCTGTGTAAGAATTCGATATTTCATTCATTCTAAATTTCCATTGCGGGGGAAATCGACTCAAATACACACACATCAGTGTTATTTTGATCTGATTACTTTCATCATCATTACGATCGTAGACCTTTCCAAGAAGGCTGCACCATCTACTCCCCTACGGTCCTATGATGTCGCGAGCAATCCTCCCCAGCACCTGCACACGAGTTTATTTAATTCAGTGGTGGGGAACGTCCGGCCCGCGGGCCGTACAAGGCCCGCGAAATCATTTGGTGTGGCCCTGCCAAGGCAACCGCAGGCGCGACTCGAAATTCAATAAATTTAGTAGCAAACCTGGAAAAGGCAGTTGCGAGTAGCAACATCATTAATACCAGCTAACATCATCACACGCCTCACCAAAGAGAAGCAGTTACAGCCATCACGTTAGGGGTGAGTTAATTAAATGTTTGACCAAATATAACGGGCTAATTTTTTAGTTGAAGATTTTGTATGGCCCGTGAATGATGTTATAAATATCCAAATGGCCCTTGGCAGAAAAAAGGTTCCCTACCCCTGACTTAATCCCTCCATCTCCAAACCTCCACAGTACCCCCCCACCCGCTCGGGTGCATTCCCACAACCACCGACGCATCCCACTCATTGCCTTGCTTTACTCCCTCCTTTCTCTCGGCAGCACGCTCGGAAAATAAAAAAACAAAATCTGTCACACCTCAACGCGAACGATGTCACGGGAACAAGCGCACATTTGCCGAGCGGGGTGGTATTGTTGTTGTCCGCTGACGAACCCCTGCAGTAGAATAACAACAACAACAACAGTCGGAACGGAAATTTCTGAAGGAAGCTCCCAGAACGTTTAAGTTTATTTAGATTTGTTATTCATGGATGATGATCTCGTTTAGCCAGTTGCCCCTAAAGGAATATTGCACGACTCGCTAAACGAGGTGTCTAACGGTCGTAAGCGTGGGCGCGAAACGTTGGACATCAAGGCGAGCACCTCGCCCCCCCTCGCCACCACCCCCCCCACCCCGCGGTGCTCACGCCTGACGCTCCCCCCGTGGGTCTGTCAGGCTGGGCTCGCGCGCTCACCTGGAGCGGCTGGAGGAGGTTCGGCGCGAGGTGGAGCTCACGGCCGCCTACCGCCTGCACGACACCGAGCTCGTGTTCGGGGCCAAGACCGCGTGGAGGAACGCGTCTCGCTGCGTGGGACGCATCCAGTGGGCCAAGCTGCAGGTGCGGGGTGCTGAAGCTACCTGGCCACCCCCCCCTCGCCCCCCCTCTCACCCCCCCCTTGCCCCCCCCCTCGCCCCCCCCTCGCCCCCCCCTTCGCCCCCCCTCGCCACCACCATCGTCGTCGGCATTCGCGAGACCCAGCCGGTTGTAAATCACCAGCCACACGTGGGACTCAAATTGTCAACTTTGTGGGATTCACCTTCCAGCAACACCGCTGTTGGTAACTAATTGCCACGTTTTGTTTCCGTGACAAACCTTACTAAGTCGGCGGCGTCGAGTGGTGGCGGGTTAACGACACATTTATATTTACGCGAATCTAACCTCCTACCACCCCCTTTCCCCCCAAATAAATTATTTTTCACGGGTAGATAATAAACTCCAAATCGATTCGGAAAAGTCGCCGGAACGAACTTCAAGAAGTCACTCGATGTCTACCGGTCGGCAACCTGCGGCACCAGAGCCGCATGCTGCTTTGCTCTTTAACGATCACTTCGTGACGTTACCTATGAAGGGAGACCACCATCTCTTATTCACCACATGCATTGCCGCTCTCGAAATATTGAGGCTTTCGCGACCAATATCATCCATGATAGAGATTTTTTGGGTTAGATCGCGTAAACATATAAATGTGTCGCGTCCACCCGACACAGCCAAATCTGGCTATCGCCTGATGAAGCTAGTTGTAATTACTGGCGAAACGTCGTATTCAGATTGTAAATGTTGTGGCTTGGCTCTCCAACACACCGGTTAGTGCTGTACTAGTGACGAATTGGCCACGTTCTGTTTACGTGACAACCCTTACTAGTTGGCTGTGTCGGGTGGTGGCGGGTTTTAACAACACATTTATATATTGACGCGATCTAACCCAAAAAAACCTCTATTATGAATGTCTCTTCTTGTTATTTTGGTTGCTGACCCCTGGGATAGAACCTCTGAAGTCGGGAAAATGTCACGACAGAATGTTCTAAGTTTTAACGTTTGTTAACTGCTGCAAGATCCTTAAACAAAAAAATGGTGAAATCGCCCCGAACCTTGCACCATGATGAACTTGTCCCAGACAGTCTCGAGATATGTTGCTTGTCACTTTGACAATATTTTCTTGCCGGAGAAACCCAAAAGAGTCCCTAGAAAAAAAGATCGGTGACAAAATCACACAGTTGGCAGCACGCCAGGGGGTATGGGAGATCACAGAGGAGAGCGGGGTGGTGTTTGAGTGTCAGGGCTATTTTGGTTAATGGTAGTGTAGCATTCATTTCTGTACAACGCCGCTGTTCGAGTTTCCAGTTCGAGCGAAATTACACGACGTTCATAAAAGTCGAATCCAATTTTGACATAATTGCGATCGGACGGCAGATTGCCACTGTGGTTTAAGTGTTGGCAACAGATTCCTTACGTGCTCAAAACACGTTTTTACTGACACTCTCGAGTGATTTGTAAACGCACGTAACAGCAGCATTCGACATAATCAAGGCCAAGATGTTACCAAACACTTGGGGGACGCTCACATCTCCATCACCTGTGAGTCACCAATGCCATTGTGGAAGTTTGTTGTGATTGAAACTCACCGAGTTAAACTTTTATGCTGCCATCATCCGTTATTTTTTTAACCATCAACATAGCTCAAACAATAACGTTTAATACATTGATGGACGCCCCGGTATAATCAGAAACTCCACATATTTGTTCATAATACTACCCTGAAAGGTGATAATTTATAACTGCCAATGTTTCGGGCATTGCACCTTCTTCATGCAAAAGGATCAATACCAAAATCGTCGCCTTTTAGATATCCCCCCTCCCCGCACAGCAGAAGGGCAATTTTCCGAAACGTCACCTATTTTACATACACTGCAAATGTATTTGACGGCAGTGTTACTGATTAACGCGTTGAGTTGTTTGTTGGTTTGTTCGTGTGCACCACCTGCCGATGTAGCATCACCATTCTCTTTTTAAATCCTTTATATTAAGTTCGCTTGCTTGCGCGCTTACGACCGTGCAAATCTTTCGATCGTTTTTTAACCCACTTCCCGTGATCCAATCGAGCTGACATTTTGCACACAGACTCATTGTGCGTGACAATTTATTTTCCTGAAAATAAATTTCCAAAATGTTCCACTTTTTAGGAATTTATTTTTTATATTTAATTTAAAATACCAATGTGATAAAAATGAAACTCTTACTCAAGAAAAACAGAAATGAATAATAAAATAAAACCGATGCCATGCATATAAAGGATTTATAGTGAAAAACTTTGTTTTTACGGGTTAATTTTGTTTGTTTGTATCATAATGATCAGTAGCAGCAGCAGCGTCGGCTTGCCTTGAATTGGCAGGCAGTGACCAGGCTGTCATAGCTCGGCTGGCGATTTTGGACTGACGTTTGCTCTCACACATTGTCTTGCTTCCTGTCTACCGTGTTATTTTTTTTGTCCCCCAACCTCGTGCGAAGACGAGTTCATGATGACACATTCCGGGGTCATCTCCATTTGCAGTCCCAATAAGTGGTGAGATCTCACCATCCCAACGGACGCAAGGCTGCCATCACCAAACATTATTAATGTTGTTAAAGGTTCATCTTCTTGGTTCTTTCGGTAAAGTCACGTAGAATGGAAATAATAAATAATATTATAATAAAAATAAAACATAATAAAATATTATGTTTTATGTTTTATTTTATTTTGTATTTTATTTTTTTATTAATAAAATATTATGTTTTATGTGTAAAAAATTGTGTAAAATAATTGTATTATTTTATTATTTCCATTCTACGTGACTTTACCGAAATAACCAAGAAGATGAATCCCTGCAGTCACGAAAGCTTTAAATCGAAGTTGTTAAAGGTTGTTTCTGAGGGAAGCCTACATCCTGATCCTTTTGCAGTCTCCAGCGCCGTCGCCGATGAAAATTGTTTAAAAAAATACAAAAAAATCGTGACTGAAGGTCACCGGCAGTTTCTGCATTTCGAACGGCATTTGTGAGTCATCGTCCGAATGTGTCAAAGTGTTTTTGATTCACGGATATTCTCGTCTTTGGTACTTTCGCGACGTCACAAGTTTAGTTTTTTTTCTCTCTCTCTCCATTGCTGCAGCTCCTTTGCCTCCCTAGTGCACGTGTGGAATAACAATAAGTAGATAGAATGGGCAACGAGTTATTTTGAAATGAAACGAGCATACGTGGATCTTTTTTTTTCAAGATTCATGTAAAACTAAAACGTGCACACACATTTGCGAAAGTGTCATTGAATTTGAACTGTCCCGGTGTATTTTTAGATTGGCCTGTTTGTGTGTTGTTGTTGTTGTTTATGGGATTACAAAGATAACATTTCCATTGACTAAAAATGCAAACTTTTCCCAACTGCCAACCAACACAGTGAGAGAGTTATCGAGGAGCGTTTCCTCTGTACACGTGAATTGGTGGAGACTAGAGTTAGCCAGAGCAATGACAACACACATGATACTCTCTGGTTCTTTCGGTAAAGTCACGTAAATAGAAAAAAATTATTAAAGAACACGACTTTTCGGTCGCAACACAAGCATCCATCATCAGGTGAGAAAGAATGATCTGCTGATCATCTGCTGATCTGCTGATCATCTGCTGATCATTCTTTCTCACCTGATGACGGACGCTTGTTTTGCGACCGAAACGTCGTGTTCTTTTATTATTTTTTCCATCTACGTGACTTTACCGAAAGAACCAGAGAGTATGGATTCCTGCAGTCACGAAAGCTTCAAATCAAGAACACACATGCTGATGATGACGACGGCGAAGATGTCAATGATGACGATGATAACGAGATCTGGGGGGTAACTCAAATCCTGCTAATTATCACACATTGTCATTTTAAATTGACAGGTGTTTGACGCCCGGTGCTGCAATGCCGCGCACGAGATGTTCAACTATATCTGTAACCACATCAAGTATGCCACCAATCGTGGAAACCTCAGGTGAGCCGATGGTCCTTGGTTTAAATTTCACGTCCCAATTTCCATTTCAATGACATTGTTGTAATTTTGCGTGTTCATCTCTGATGTTCAGCTGGCTGTCTGCTTGCCTACCATGTCTGTCAGACCCATACTCCCTATATAATTTTCATATTGACCCTCATTTACATAATTGCCATCCTACGCACCCCCCATACGTTTCTATTTGTTTTTGTCCATCTGCTGTGCATGATTGTACGACACGGTTGTTTTGAAATGCTTTTTTCGGAAGCCAAGTCACATATCACCTCCAAAATCCGGAATGGTTTTGTAGAAGATTTGACGTCATTATTGATTGTGTTGTGTTCTCGTGAAGAGCTCGTTTAAACCGAAGACATGCATTGTCTCTTGTAAATATATATTACAATTTGCATCATTTTATAGTCTCCTGCTATTGATGCCTGTATTCTTATACTGAAATTGAACGCACATTCTTTAAAACGTTCTTGGGATCTGTGTGTTCATGCTATTCCTCGTGCATCTAAGGGGAAAAGTCTTGACGGGAATTCATCCCGCAAGGTGCGCTCTTTGAAGTATTGGCGGAACGTATGAAACATACAGAGCGTGCGAGAGCAGTGCCGCTGTTAATCACAGATCATCCGAGCCTCTGTTCAATATGTGATAGAGTACACGGAGTGGGATGAAAGTCTCTCTTCTCTCTGGGAGACGATGCGTTGAGGGGTGTGGGGGTGGTCGGGAAGAGCGAGCATCAGAGGTGGAAACATTCTTGAGACTCAGGTAAAAAAAATGGGATTTTTTTTTTAAGGATGGTGGCCAATGCGTTCATCTTAGTGGGCGCATACCAAATGCGAGTGTGCACGGACAGCCGGGACAGAAATGTTGATTGGGAACGTGATCGTTCCTGCCATCGTTCATCCTCGCTACTTAAACACTTTTAAACGCTCCCTGCGTTCGAGCCTCTCGCGCACATAGTCGTGACTTTTAATCTGGGAAACGCAGTCCTGACCAAGGTAACCTGAAGTCCCGTTCGAAACTGAAGTCCCTTTCATGAGGATTTTTTTTAAAAACCTAGGAGTAGGAGTATTATAGTGGCATCAAAGGTTTAGTAATGGGATTTTACGTCTTCATTTTATTATTATTAATATTATCCTTACGTCACCCTAACAAAACCAAAAAATACTTTCACACATCGCGTTGCATTGCAGACTGTTGATGACGTACGCTGTTGCTGTTGTTCTGATCAGTCCCACGGCTATCGAGTGCGCCGGGGGGTGCAACTGCACCGGGGCTTACGAGCTGGGGGGGGGGGGGGGCCCAGGTTACTGGGTTTACAAAAAAAGTGGGGGGAAATTGGGATGGAGTGGTGGGGTGGATGGGGTGGTGGGGTCATTGCATTCTTTGAACCGGGGAACCGTGCCAACTCCCCCCCCCCCCCACCCCCCAGCTACGAGTCCCGTTCACGTTCACACCGCTGGCGGTGCTCCGTGCGTGCTGCAGAGTCTGAATGAGATCTCTTCCTGGACCTTTTATGTCACAGGTCGGCCATCACCATCTTCCCTGCACGCACGGGTCCGGGAAACGACTTCCGCATATGGAACAGCCAGCTGATCAGCTACGCCGGCTACCAAAGGGAGGGCGGCTCCGTCACCGGCGATCCGGCCAATGTGGAATTCACGGAGGTGCGTGGAGCAACGCTGCTTTGCTTTTTGTTTTGTTATCCGCGCGTTCACGTGCGTGGCCGTGCAAGCGGCATTTTGACCGCGGCGTGCTGTTGCTTAAATTGGGTGATCGTCAGTTTTTATCGATTGAAGGCACGCACGTGGCATGCGTATATCTGAAAAGAATGGGCACGTTTCTTGAGTCTCCCCGTCTCTGCAGAATACTTGGGGGCTGTCCATAAATGACGTCACGCACCTGGGGGGGGGGGGGGGGGCGGGGGGGGGGGGGGTCAGACATTTGTGAGGGTGGGGATTGAGAAATGTGTCGTCACATCAAAATGCGCAACTTTAAATAAATATAGACAACACGTTCTACTTATTTTAATAGACTTTTTAATAAATATTTTCTCCTCCAACATCAGAGTGCAGCGCCACATTAAATACGCACTACAAGGACAATAGTTTAAAGCGATTTGAAGCATGTTTTATTTTGGTGGAGGGCATAGCTTTGTGACGAGGGGGGGTGTCGAAAACCGTCCAAAATCGCGTGACGTCATTTATGGACGGCCCCTTGGGGGCACCACAGTTTGTCTATTTGGGAGGTCGTGTGAGGTTGGGTAAAGTGTGGGGTGAAATCACCCCTTCTTCCAAGAGGTCTGACCGGCGTGGATGTTAAAGATCCCCCTCAAGGGGCTCTGTAGAACTCCCTCGAATGGAAGCCCTTCTGACAGCATTGGGAAGAGAAAGCAATTGAAGGGCTGCACCTTAACCTTTTATCGTATAAGTGATGAACGTAATTGTCATTTGACGGTTACAGCATTTACTGTCGTTTTCTCTCATCGTGCAGAGGGCGTTCTGACCAGAATAAAACAGGGACCTACGAAATTGATTTTGACCTTTGGACAAATATATGACCTTTGACTTAAGGTGGGGAGGGCAAGTGAGGAACATTCACCTGATCCGGAGAATAGGCTGCCCTTTATTTAATATGGACCTGCTCGAGTAATTACAGTCTTCTATATATATAGTTTTTTAAAAAAAATTTATAGGTTAGATTATTACGTCGATTCATGAAAGTGTCTCAAATAAGATACATTTACATTGTTAAAACATACCAGTTAAAAAAGGAGATATATAACACGTATTACAATTCAGTTGCATTACATAGAATCACTGGGTCACACGTATTACAATTCAGTTGGATTACATAGAATCACTGGGTCACACTTATCCAAATTAACAGACCCACGACATTCGCACGAAGTAGTTGTTTTGTTTGTTACACACGCAGCTCTGCTTGTCACAATTGGTGCGTGAACAGTGCACGTTGATCATCCCCGATGATGTCAATGATGCAAACGCCAGCTGCGAGTCGTTCCAGCTGCTGCCCAAGTGTCCATGCTTGCAGGTGGCAGCCGCGCGCTTGTTTGACATTGACGTTTGCGCTGAACTGTTTTGTCTCCCCCCCCCCCCCCCATTAAAGTAGTTGTGAGTCATCATTAGACCTCCTTTGCCAGTACCAAAATATAATAATAGGGTTTTTCCCCTAGGGTTTTTCCCATATTATTATATTTTGGTACTGGCAAAGGAGGTTTAATGATGTAGATGCTCACCCCGAGCCCTCATTACTTTGATAGTGCATTGTCTTTGAGCTGTACGCCTTTTGGCGTCCTCTGGTCGAGCACCAATTGGGACGAGGCTCAAAAGAAAGCCGTCTCTGGTGTGGACCAATCAGTTTCAAGGACAATGCATATATTATCAGAGTGTGTTTTTTTCTTCTTGGTTCTTTCGGTAAAGTCACGTAGAAGGGAAATAATAAAATAATGAAAATAAAACATTATAAAATAATTATTTTATTATGTTTAGATTGTTGTCCTTTCCCCGCACATTAAAAATAATTATTTTATTATGTTTTATTATTTTTATTATTTTATTATTTCCCTTCTACGTGACTTTACCGAAAGAACCAAGAAGATGAATCCCTGCAGTCACGAAAGCTTTAAATCGAAGTGTGTTTTTTGTTTGCATTTTGACCACAAGTATTGTGGTTAATGCACACACGATTCCTTGTAAAAAAGATTTCAGTTTTGTTGCCAGAAAAAAGGGTGAAAACCCTATTATTATAGTTGTGCGTCCATTACTATGAGCACGATGAAAAATATTTCATCGTGCTCATGCTGTATTAACGATTGAAATCATCATCAGTCACTGTTTATCATCTGCCGGATGAAGGCCCCTCCACCACACGGTCACAGTCCCGTGATGTGACACTCCATCTCGCTTGATGCACGCGCACCAATCTCATTGTTCCCTTCTCCACAGCGTTAAAGTATGCACGGATGTTGAACTTATTTCGCACCGTACGTTAGCCAGCCGTGATAATGGGCCGTCCATAAATGACGTCACGCGATTTTGGACGAATTTCGACCCCCCCCCCCACCCTTCGTCACACGGCGTCACAAAAAGTCAGACCCCCCCTCAAATATGACGTCACAAAGCTCTGCCCCCCCCCCTCCAAATAAAACATGCTTCAAATCGCTTGAAACTATTGTCATTGTAGTGTGTATTTAGTGTGGCGCTGCACTCTGATGTTGTAGGAGAAACCATTTATTAAAAAGTCTATTTAATTTAGTAGAACGTGTTGTCTATATTTATTTAAAGTTGCGCATTTTGATGTGACGTCACGTTTCTCAACCCCCCCCCCCCCCCCCATCGTCACACATCGTGAAAAATGTTTGACCCCCCCCCTCCCTAGGTGCTTGACGTAATTTATGGACGGCCCTAATCTTATGTGCGGGGAAAAGACAACAATCTAAACACAAGCAAAAACAATTTCTAAAATTAAACGTGCAAAGCTCCAGGTGGCTTCCTAATATCTCGGAAGGAAGAACGTTCCAGACGGCCGCAGAAGCGCATCTGAAAGCGCGCGATGCAGTCGCCGTCTTCGTTCGACGGCTTGCAGCCAAAAGCTGTTTGCCAGGATGGCCGGAGTTCGCGTGACGGTTTATGCTCCTTGACGAAATCAGCAAAGTACTGTGGTTCGTTTGTGGCGAACACATTGTGTGCGGCCTTGTTATAACTTATTCGTTTGGCAACCGAAAGCCAACGCAGCACAGGCGAGCACCGGACGGACACGGTCGGATCTTGCATTGCCCGACGCGACACGTGCCAACATCATTTTGTACACGACGCAGCTTGGCAATGCTTTTTTTTTTGGCAGAATGTCATAAAGTATAACGCTGCGTGAGAGACGCACGGTGGAAATCGATACATCTCCTTCACGGTCCCCGTTTCGCCGAGAGTCGATGGTATGATGATTCATACGGAGTTCTCATCCTGTAATCAATCTTCTTGTTCTTGTTTCTGCTGCTGCTGCAGATCTGCTCGCGGCTGGGCTGGAGGGGCCCGGGCGGTCGGTTTGACGTGCTGCCGCTGGTACTGCAGGCGGGCAGCTCCAAACCCGAGCTCTTTGAGATCCCTGCGGAGATGGTTCTGCAGGTGCCTCTGCGCCACCCCAGGTGTGCAGAGCCTCCCTCCCTCCCTGACTCATCGTGCAGCAGCAGTAACAACAGCAGCAATAACAACAGCAGCAGTAGAAGTAGTAACAGCAGTAGTGACAGCAGTAACAGCAGCAGTAGTAACAGCAGCAGTAGCTGCAGTAGTAACAGCAGTAGTAACAGCAACAGCAGCAGTAGCTGCAGTAGTAACAGCAGCAACAGCAGCAGTAGTAACAAGAGCAGCAGCAGTAACAGCAGTAATAGCAACAGCAGCAGTAGTAACAGCAGCAGTAGTAACAGCAGCAGTAGCAGTAGTAACGGCAGTATTCACAGCAGTAACAGCAGTAACAGCAATAGCAGCAATAGTAATATCAGCAGTAGCAGTAGTAACAGCAGCAGTAGCAGTAGTAACGGCAGTAGTGACCGCAGTAACAGCAGCAGTAGTAACAGCAGCAGTAACAGCAGCAGTAGCAGCAGCAGTATCAGCAACAGCAGCAGCCACACGCCATGCCCCGGCACGCCGAGAGCCTTTAACTCTCAATGCGTCAACCGGCCAGATGCTTTATTCAGAGCCCGGAGCAGAGATCCCATTGAGACGATGACTTTCCGTACGCAAGGGTGAGAACATTCGCTCAATTAAACAGTGGGGCAACCGCGGGCGAGGAAAAATTGTCGATGGGAAAAAAAAAAACAAGAACACTTTTGTTTGTATCGTCATACAAATATTTCATCTGAGATTAATGTTTAAATAGTATTCCACGTTGAACCTATTCATTTGCATTTGACAGTGGTTGTATGATAGCCAAGGAAGAAAAACCGTGCACGTGTCGGGTCTCAGCAGGGCTTCATTATTCTAGGGTTTGCCGCTAGTAACGTAACGAGCGTGGGGGGCGGGGGCAGGCAAGGGGGTGCATTGCCCCCCTGGTGACCAAATCTACGAGTTGGGGCCCATGAGATATGTGTAAAAAGAACAAAAACTCCTGGGATTCCTCTGGCATAGATAAATATTATGATTCTGAAATATTCGAGACCGTGAGCGTAACGATGTGATTAGGCGAGAGGAGTCGCGATATGCAATTACCTCGAGGTACGACCCTTGCGGGCCAAATCAAATATTGGGGGCTCTCACCTGACCAATTGCCCCACCCCCCCCTTGAGCTGATAATGCCTTGATTGCGCCACCGGTTGCCACCTGTCCCGGTTTTCTCAGGATCCTCCTCTTGTTTGAAGCAGCTCTCCAGATGCATTTGCAAGTTTTTGCCGCAACGTTAAAAGAAACCGCCCTCTGTACCGGGCGCAATAATGTCACTGTGTTTTTTGTTGTTGAATTATAATCGTACCTCGGAGGTGGCAACCGTAGATGTTGCAGGCTTTGGTGGCGGTGTGATGTGAGTGTTTTGATGGTGCGTTGGGGTGTGGTGCGCGGTGTGGTGTGGTGGTGAACGGTGCGGTGGTGTTGGTGGCGGTGTGATGTGAATGTGGCGGTGTGATGTGAGTGTGGCGGTGGTGTGTTGGGGTGTGGTGCACGGTGTGGTGGTGGTGAATAGTGCGGTGGTATTGGTGGCGGTGTGATGTGGATGTAGTGCGGTGGGCGGTGCGGTGGCGGTGGTGGACGGTGCGGTGTGATTGGTGGTCGGGGTGTGATATTGTTGGTGCGATGCGTGGCGCAAAGCTGTTGGTGCGATGCTGTTGGTGCGATGCTGTTGGCGCGAGCGAGCAGGCTGGAGTGGTTCACGGAGCTGGGCCTGCGCTGGTACGCACTCCCCGCCGTCTCCTCCATGCTGCTGGAGATGGGCGGTCTCGAGTTCCCCGCCTGCCCGTTCAGCGGGTGGTACGTGGGCACCGAGATCGGCGTGCGGGACCTCTGCGACTCCGGCCGCTACGACGTGTTGAAGGTGCCCCCCCCCCCATCCCCCTCTCTGCCGCCCGCCCCCCACCTCTCTCTGTTCCTGCCCCCCCCCCCATCCCCCTCTCTGCCGCCCGCCCCCCACCTCTCTCTGTTCCTGCCCCCCCCCCATCCCTCTCTCTGCCGCCCGCCCCCCACCTCTCTCTGTTCCTGCCCCCCCCCATCCCTCTCTCTGCCGCCTGCCCCCCACCTCTCTCTGTTCCTGCCCCCCCCCCATCCCTCTCTCTGCCGCCCGCCCCCCACCTCTCTCTGTTCCTGCCCCCCCCCCATCCCCCTCTCTGCCGCCCGCCCCCCACCTCTCTCTGTTCCTGCCCCCCCCCCCATCCCTCTCTCTGCCGCCCGCCCCCCACCTCTCTCTGTTCCTGCCCCCCCCCCCATCCCTCTCTCTGCCGCCCGCCCCCCACCTCTCTCTGTTCCTGCCCCCCCCCATCCCTCTCTCTGCCGCCCGCCCCCCACCTCTCTCTGTTCCTGCCCCCCCCCCCATCCCTCTCTCTGTCCGCCTGCCCCCCACCTCTCTCTGTTCCTGCCCCCCCCCCCATCCCTCTCTCTGCCGCCCGCCCCCCACCTCTCTCTGTTCCTGCCCCCCCCCATCCCTCTCTCTGCCGCCCGCCCCCCACCTCTCTCTGTTCCTGCCCCCCCCCATCCCTCTCTCTGCCGCCTGCCCCCCACCTCTCTTTGTTCCTGCCCCCCCCATCCCTCTCTCTGCCGCCCGCCCCCCACCTCTCTCTGTTCCTGCCCCCCCCCCCATCCCCCTCTCTGCCGCCTGCCCCCCACCTCTCTCTGTTCCTGCCTCCCCCCCCATCCCTCTCTCTGCCGCCCGCCCCCCACCTCTCTCTGTTCCTGCCCCCCCCCATCCCTCTCTCTGCCGCCCGCCCCCCACCTCTCTCTGTTCCTGCCCCCCCCCCATCCCCCTCTCTGCCGCCCGCCCCCCACCTCTCTCTGTTCCTGCCCCCCATCCCTCTCTCTGCCGCCTGCCCCCCACCTCTCTCTGTTCCTGCCCCCCCCCCATCCCCCTCTCTGCCGCCCGCCCCCCACCTCTCTCTGTTCCTGCCCCCCCCCCATCCCTCTCTCTGCCGCCCGCCCCCCACCTCTCTCTGTTCCTGCCCCCCCCCATCCCTCTCTCTGCCGCCCGCCCCCCACCTCTCTCTGTTCCTGCCCCCCCCCATCCCTCTCTCTGCCGCCTGCCCCCCACCTCTCTCTGTTCCTGCCCCCCCCCCCCATCCCTCTCTCTGCCGCCCGCCCCCCACCTCTCTCTGTTCCTGCCCCCCCCCATCCCTCTCTCTGCCGCCCGCCCCCCACCTCTCTCTGTTCCTGCCCCCCCCCCATCCCTCTCTCTGCCGCCTGCCCCCCACCTCTCTCTGTTCCTGCCCCCCCCCCATCCCTCTCTCTGCCGCCCGCCCCCCACCTCTCTCTGTTCCTGCCCCCCCCCATCCCCCTCTCTGCCGCCCGCCCCCCACCTCTCTCTGTTCCTGCCCCCCCCCCATCCCCCTCTCTGCCGCCCGCCCCCCACCTCTCTCTGTTCCTGCCCCCCCCCCATCCCTCTCTCTGCCGCCCGCCCCCCACCTCTCTCTGTTCCTGCCCCCCCCCCCATCCCCCTCTCTGCCGCCTGCCCCCCACCTCTCTCTGTTCCTGCCCCCCCCCCCATCCCTCTCTCTGCCGCCCGCCCCCCACCTCTCTCTGTTCCTGCCCCCCCCCCATCCCTCTCTCTGCCGCCTGCCCCCCACCTCTCTCTGTTCCTGCCCCCCCCCCATCCCCCTCTCTGCCGCCTGCCCCCCACCTCTCTCTGTTCCTGCCCCCCCCCCCATCCCTCTCTCTGCCGCCTGCCCCCCACCTCTCTCTGTTCCTGCCCCCCCCCATCTCCCTCTCTGCCGCCTGCCCCCCACCTCTCTCTGTTCCTGCCCCCCCCCCCATCCCTCTCTCTGCCGCCCGCCCCCCACCTCTCTCTGTTCCTGCCCCCCCCCATCCCCCTCTCTGCCGCCCGCCCCCCACCTCTCTCTGTTCCTGCCCCCCCCATCCCCCTCTCTGCCGCCCGCCCCCCACCTCTCTCTGTTCCTGCCCCCCCCCCCATCCCTCTCTCTGCCGCCCGCCCCCCACCTCTCTCTGTTCCTGCCCCCCCCCCATCCCTCTCTCTGCCGCCTGCCCCCCACCTCTCTCTGTTCCTGCCCCCCCCCCATCCCCCTCTCTGCCGCCTGCCCCCCACCTCTCTCTGTTCCTGCCCCCCCCATCCCTCTCTCTGCCGCCCGCCCCCCACCTCTCTCTGTTCCTGCCCCCCCCCATCCCCCTCTCTGCCGCCCGCCCCCCACCTCTCTCTGTTCCTGCCCCCCCCCCAATCTCTGCTATCCCCTCCTCCTCTCTTCCCCCCCTCTCTTCAAGTTAATTTATTAGGTATAGCCCTGTGAGCCATTCGGCTCTTGAATCGGGTGCAACCGCAACTAACAAAAAACAAAAACATGAACAAAAAACATCTTAAAGTGAATATGTGACTAAGTGCAAACAGAAAATCCAAGAAAAGACAGCGAAATATTGCAGAAAAAACACCGTACACCAACGCTGTGTGCAAAAATCCCAGTGGGGTGCAAGTCAAACAACAACAACCATAAGACAACTTAGATTAAGGCCATCAGTCTAACTCTGTACTACAACAAACAAACATGGCCAAACCAATTCACTTTTCGAAATCCCCTTCCTCACCCGGCCCCCCACATCTCTCTGCCCCTCCTCTCTGCCCCCCCTCCTCTGCCCCCCCCCGACCCGTTTCTGCCACCTTCATGTCTCCCGTCCCTCTCTCACATCCGTGCCACTGCGTCCTCCGATTTCCTTTATCCAATTCTTTTCCGAAGTGCTGCATGTAATTCAATTCAATCTTAGAGGGGAGCGCACAGCGACGTTGTTATCTCACGTAGATGTATGTAGCGCCTTGTTCTCAATCGCTTTGACAACAGCGACAGCATTTGCATAATATGATAGTGGTTTAGATAAAGAGTTGAGTGGGGGTTGGTAAAAGTGGTGGTGCAATTGTGGTGACAGGAGGACAGGTGGGAGAGATTAGGGAGGTGTTGGGGAATGGGTAGAGATGGGGGTTGGGGTAGGGGTGAGGGTGAGGGTCGGCCTGATCATAGCTCGGAGCAGTGCCAGATTATCCGAGTAGCAAAAGCAGCAAATGCTCCGGGCGCCGCGCTTTCAAGGGCCCCATGCTAAATGCGTTCAAGCTATCAATTCCGTCTTCTTGGTTCTTTCGGTAAAGTCAAAGAACCAAGAAGATGAATCCCTGCAGTCACGAAAGCTTTAAATCGAAATCTATCAATTCCGATTCAGTGATTCTGCACTTGCTCATTTTCGTTGGCGGCTCTCGTCTGGCCAGCATGGAAGAGTAGGCCAAAAATATCCTCAAGAAGGGGCTGCTAGTGGAGGTCATTCCGACAGCGCGTGCATTGGTGTACGGTGATTTTTTTTCTGCAATATTTTGCTGTGTTTTCTTGGATTTTCTGTTTGCACTTAGTCACATTCACTTTAAGATGTTTTTTGTTCATGTTTTAGTTTTTTGTTTGTTGCGGTTGCACCCGATTCAAGAGCCGAATGGCTCACAGGGCTATACCTAATAGGATGACTGAGACATTTGCGGGACCGCACCTTTACATCTACCTATGTTATCGTTACATAATTTTTTTCACCAACTTTTTATTTTACAAGTTAAGGCCCACTGAGCTATGTAGCTCTTTTAGAGAGGCGACCTAGCCACAGACGATAGCTGAACGAAATGGCTTATCACGTGGAAATTTCTAGCAGCCAAATACTCTAAATTCATGTTTCTAAATGTGGAGGGAAAAACCGGAGGACCCGGAGAAAAAAACCACTCGACCACGGGGAGAGAGAGACACGCAAACTCCAAATATACAGCAGGCGTCAGGGTCGGGATGGAACCCACGACCTCCTGTATATCAGGCGAGGGAGTTAACATCTCGCCACCGTGGCGTGTGTGTGTTTTTCAGGTGATGAATACAAGTTTTGCATGTATACTCAAAATTCAGCCGGCGCATCTGATCTCATAATAAAAACACAGCTGCACGGCTTGTGCATAAAACAAGGGCTGTGTTTGAAGGCAATACATACTGCATCATTGACCTTGTCCAATTATACAAAGGCCTCGATACCAAATGATGCAAGCATGCGCACGCACGCACAACCCACAATCATGACCATGAGTATTGACGGTAGCACTTATGTTATTATTAGTATTACCAATTACCTTCATATTGTAGGCTAGCTATTCGACCTCACAATATGTCCACTGACCATGATTTGTGTTTTTATTCATGCAAACGTTCTTCCGTGATATCGAGTTTTTTGTGCGCTTGCACACGCACAGCAGCTTTGTATGAAATATTTTCAAGAGGTTTTCGATGAATGCTATCAATAGCTGAATGGACTGGACTGCCCCCCCCCCCCCTGAGAGCACAGAGGAAGGTTACGGCTAATTTATCTAAGCCACATAATAGGCCTCGTACCTTAATGGAGTTCGCGGCGCGCATCTTTACTCAAATGACCCTTGCGTTTTGATTCGTATTTGCTTTTAGGGTTCGACCGCATAATACAGTCGTTTCGTTCAAATTTTGCCGACCAGATTGTCACGTTCGCAAAGATATTATTTTATACGTGCCGCCGTATGGATCAAACGCAGACCGATACAGCTTCGCGCCGATGACTTGAGACTTTTCACGACTGAACGTCTCACGACACAGGCGAGGGGCTTTGTGCGTCGGACTTTGATCGATGCAGTGGCACGGATAAAATAATATCTTTGCGAATGTGACAATCTTGTCGGTTGGTAGAGGGATTAATGACAATAATGTTCAAGTACGAGGTGGCCCAACCCAAAAGCGAACACGGATCATTGTATTGGCTATGGAACCCCCCCCCCCCCCCCACGTTTTCAGGTTCTACCTTCATTAAAGTAACTACCCGGTAAAAAATATTTCTCAACCGTACACCCTAACACAGGCAGCGTAACCAGGAGGGTATGTTTACTTTGTGCCGTCCACAGATATCCCTACGACCCGACAGACCTCGTGTGATTTTTTTGAAAGGCCGCAGTTTCTTTTTCCGTAGTTTTTAACCTTTTTCTTTTTACGGTTATCGCTCACGGTGCTGCATTCTATTTGGGGTGCGTGGTTACGTCTAGGCAATGCATCCGTGTTATTTCACGGTAGCGAGGTTTTTTTTTTAATGAAAGTTTGTTTTTCTCTATTATTCGAATGTCAGGATAGGCAGTGATAGGATCGTGGTTTCCAACTTTTCAGTTTTCTGTCACAGCGACAGCTGTTCATGCACGCCTCAGCCAGCACAGCCAATGTTGAATCTCAATCCTCGACTCCCTACCAAATGCACACCATTTCCCATACATTACACTATGTAACACGATTTTTGTCCCTGGGTAGTAAGTGTTATTTCTATGCCTAAAAAGTATACAAAATGGCTATTATTCCCCACAAACTTTGCTTTTGCGACCAGGACTTTGTGTGAAGGAATGACACAAATGCACACGTTTTCTCATTAAAAATAGGTACATTTCAAAATATCACTGTCCTGGTCACAAAAGCAAAGTTTGTGGGGAATATTATCCATTTTCTATACTTTCGAGGCGTAAGCAATTAGGAAATAACACTACCCAGGATCAAAAAATAAAAAAAATTTGTTACACAGTGTTATTGCAGATCTCCCATAATTTTTCTGTGCATGCATCTATCAATGCTTGGCACATCCAACACGTGCGATCCTTGCAAAGCACAGTAAATAATTAATCATATTTAATGCATAGCCGCCGTTGTTTATCCGCTGCTGGATGATGACCTCCCCACACCGTGACAGTCACCGGGGTTGTTTGACAATGCTTCATCAGCTGCTCGGTGTGGGCTGGTGAAACGGGAGTGGGCCAGGATCGGATCTCCACCGATGTTAGCCATGACCAGGATTCGAACTCGGAAAGCCGGTGTTCATAACGCAGTGCGATAACCCACTGCGCCACTGCTCCCGCAAAAAAAAAAGAGTACAGTCCATGACACGGCAGTCCATTTTATTATACGGCTCTTCGAGTGACGTAAAAGAGTGGATTTACTCGTAAGTTGCTTTCACCACCATCTACACATTCCACAAGTAGTGACTAATCCCATATCTGCATTTTCCATAAATATGCTAAATCTCTCTGTTGATATGCAAATTACTTTGTCAAGGCGCCCTCCTCCTCTAACCCAGCTTAAATATACGCTGCCAAGCTTGGTGGTGTTCATTCAGACGCTGTCTTTCCGACAGCCCTGCTTGCGTTGTGGCCGAAACGTCGTGAGAATTGTATTTTATTATGTTTTATTTTTATCATTTTATTATTTCCCTTCTACGTGACTTTACCGAAAGAACCAAGAAGATGAATCCCTGCAGTCACGAAAGCTTTACATCGAAATTTAAGTCGAGGTATTGGCAACGTATTTGAGTGTCAGCACAGGGTTAAAATTCGAACGAATTCTTTTTTTTTCACTTTTTTTCATGTATTCTTCCCCCCGCTCGTGTGGTCTATTGGGTTCACGTTTAAAAAAAAACACCAACCACATAATTTATTTTTACAACATAATTTGTTCTCACACCAGGAACACCGGTGGCCATTGTATTGCACGAACCATTTTACGGATTTTTGTGTTTTCTGAAAGCGAATTCTTTTGGGCTGCTGAGCCACTTTTCTCTCCCCCGAGGGGTTTTCATTGTCGCTTTTCTGCATCCCAGGCGGTGGCCGTCAGGATGGGGCTGAACATCAGAAACGTCTCCTCGTTGTGGAAGGACCAAGCGTTGGTGGAAATCAATATCGCCGTCCTGCACAGTTTCCAGGTTTTAACGAAGCGAAGCAAAGATTAGCCTCTGATTTGTTATCACCGGCCATGATAAACCCATCATCATCATCATGATTGTGATGGAATCATCCATCTCGTTCTTGCACTTGAGATAACGTCATCACTCCATCTATTTAACGGAGTTGACCCCAAATATCCCGTTGTAGGGCCACGAAGCTTGGGAAATTGTTGGTTCCATTTCTGGCTGCCTTCCCATTCGTCTGTTGTCTTCCGTGCCTCTGTGCGCTTCCGTCTGGAATTTCCAGCAATGATTCTCTGTAAATTGTGATATTGTAAGATTATTATTATTGTGATTATCAATAATCCGTTATGAATGTATTGTTATTATGGGGTGGCTGTTCCCGATGTCGCAGTTGGACCGCGTCACAATCGTTGACCACCACTCGGTGACTGACTCGTTCATGAAGCACCTAGAGACGGAGGGCCGCGTTCGGGGTGGCTGCCCGGCCGACTGGGTGTGGATCGTGCCTCCTATTTCCGGCTCGCTCACCCCCGTCTTCCACCAGGAGATGCTCAACTACATCCTCACGCCGGCCTTCTTCCACCAGGTGTGGCGATGGGGCCCAGACTCCGCAACCTTAATATTGACTATTCATTGTGTTTGACCAAGGCTCACTGAGCTATATGGCTCTTTTTCAGAAGAGAGCTGAAAAAATGGTAGCTTAACGAAGTGACTTATCACGTGGAAATGTATTGTAGTCAAATACTCTAAACCCATGTTGATTATAAACGTAAGGGAAGAACCGGAGGACCCGGACAAAAAATCCACGTGACCATGGGGAGAGAGACGCAAACTCTAAATATACAGGCGTCAGGGTTGTAATAGAACCCACGACCTCCTGTATACCAGGCGGGGTAGTTAACATCTTGCAACCGTGGTGCCCTGTTAGGTTACATCTCACCTTAGCCGCGGTGGAACCCAACAACAACAAAAGGCACTCACTCCCTGGATGAGATGCGCGGCATTGCTCACAAGCTCCAGCAGAAAATGATTTGGAATGTTTCTATAAATTTGGACCAATCTCTTCACATGTGTAGGGGTGTTAAAGAGAGGGCCCGTTATGCATGGCAGCCTATGGAAAACAAACACAGTGGGCGGGGCTACGTAAGTGCACGGGGAGATGCCCTCTACGACGTCCGAGCCAGACACCCTGGGGGGGGGCTGGTTCGAACGTTATGATCCCCCGGGGCCCCACCCCTCAAGGAGGGGTTGGGTATAAAAGGGGATGTTCAAAGGGCTCGAGTCAGTTATGTTAAAAGCTAACCAGAGAAGACTGAAGACGTCTTAGATAGAGCCCTGGACTCCCCTAGTTCGATGTCCTTATCAGGGCCGGACAGGACTGAGCCAGCGGCGTGGTCCCGAAAGCCAGAGCCGGTGCTCTTGTAAGAGCTGGTCTGGGACTCCGGGTACCGGGCCCGACTTACCAGTGTCGGGCCAGATAGCCTCCCCTAGCCCATTAGTGGAGGACTAAGAGGCAGGCTAGGAGTAGCTAGGACGTGTATCCTTAGCTAGTCGGGTGAGGGGGCCGATACCCCCTCCAGTGCTGTATGCCACGAACGTGCTGTGTCAAATAAACATACGTGTGCCTCAACCTCGGCGTCAAGCGTCCTCACCGGTACTTCAACTGGTGTCAGAAGTAATTCGAACATGGACACGCGGAAGACAGCGCGGGCCAAAGTACCGCAGGAGGAAGACACTGCCGAGATCGTCGAGCCCGAGACGGCTCCACAAGACATGGTGCAGCCGGGGCCTGATGCCTCCTTACCGGGGCATCGGAGTGAAGAGGGACCACAGCCAGACGCGTTGCGGCTGGCTCACGGGAGGCTGGCGGAGCTGCTGTATGCCGCTGCCGCCACGCTGGAGACCATCACGCGGTTGGGGGCCGGTGATCCAACACGGGGCGAGGCGGGCCAACGACCAGGGCGCCTTCCCGCCATTTCGGAGCAGTCCGATTTTGAAACTCCCGCCATCGACGCTGCAGCTGTTCGGGGCGTGGCCAGCCTAGACATCCGCTCCGACATCGCCGTCGCTGAAGCTGCAACGTCATCACAACCGCGACAGGCGATCCCATCGGCCGCTCGCACCGACGCACAGCCGAGTGGTGGTGACATCTGCCTGCGGGAGTCTACAACGACCGCTGCGCTTCATCAGAGACTGCCCCCGCTGAAGGAGTTCATCGGTGCGGAGGGGGACTGGGCCGGTTTTCGCAGACGTTTCCTCGCCCATCAGGAGATGGCGAAATGGTCCGATGAGGAGGCTTTCTGCGCGCTGCCGGCGCTCCTCGACGGCGACGCGCTCGCCGCCCTCACATCGGCGCCAAGAGAGAAGCGGTCTACGTTACCGATGGCACTACAGCTGCTGGGAGGGGTCTATGGACCATCGGCTGAATGCAGACAGCAATTCTACGACCGCAAGCGGGGTGAGAAGGAGTCGCCCCTAGCATATCGGACGAGCCTCCTGGCGATGGCTAAGTCGGCCTTCCCTCGTATGGACGACGACGGCATCGACGCTATGGTCACGGAGAAAATACTCCTCCTGGCAGACGACCTTGACATCGCTGTGGTCGCGCAGGAGGACGCGGAGATGACATCGCTCCAGGCGGCAAGGCTCCTCCACGCCAACCTCCTGTCGCTCCGGCGGAAAGCCAGCAGGGCATCGGCGGGGCGTGCGGTGGCTGCAGCCACCATTCCGACGGAGGAGCTCTACGCCGTCGACCACCGACGGCAACAGGCGACGGGAGCACGGTCGGGCCGGGACGGGTCGGGCCGTTTCAACCGTCCGTCTCCTCCAACGGCGCTCCCGCGGTGTTTCAACTGCGGCGTCCGGGGCCACGTCGCCTCGGGGTGCCGCGCTCCTCGACAGCGCGGGACGACACCTCAACGGGACGACGGGCCTCATCACAAGCTCCACCATCATAACCCGGCGAGTCGCGGCACCCCACATGTTTGGCCCACGCACACACCCGTCACGCACTCAGACACCGCAACGAGAGGGGGGCCGATATCGCGCACCATCGCATCATCACGCACCACCCCGGGTACTCATATCGAACCCGGCCAGTGGTCCGTGCTGGCCGATCGTGTGGTAGCCGCATCGTCGGGGTCGTCGGCCGTTGTGGGGCACATCGACGGGGTTGAAGTGCGCATCCTGGTCGATACGGGAGCATCGGCGACCATTATTTCGGAGTTGATTTACAATATTCTCCCTGTCCGGAGTCGTCCTTTGATGCCTGTTAACGTACCATTCTATGCGGCTAACGGGGGCTCACTTGGCATCATCGGACAAATTCGTGCCCAAATTTGTATTGGGGAAATTAAATTGTCTGGGCCGATTTTTGTTTCCTCCTCGCTGGCGGTTCCGTGCCTGCTGGGGACGGACTTCCTGGCCAAAATGCCGATTAGGATATTGATCGACCAGGGATGTATTGAGCTCCCGTCGGGCAGACGCATGGCGTTTCTGCCATCGCCTGTTACGACTCGGACGGCGTTCGCGACGGTGCCGGCATTCGTAGAGAGAACGGTGCGCGTCCCTCCGGGGGCGCAAATGTTGATTCCCTTGAAACTTCGGCGGCCCTTCGCTAAGGGTGTTGGGGCCCAAGGGGTTCTGCTGGGGCCGTCTAGGGCCGGGGTTAGTGGACCTCAATTACTTCCGGCCCAGACCATAGTAAGAGGGGACGGTGAACCCTTTATCGCGGTCCTCAATGTGGGCTCGCAGACGGTGGTGGTCCCACAGGGGACCGTGCTTGCTCACGCAACGCCGGTGCCATGTGAGGAACCCGTCGCAAATCACGTCAGCGTTGTCCCTGCGCCGCGACCGCATTCGGACAGCGATGAAGGGTGGCTCGAGGCGCTTTGTGTGGGATCGACGGACCTGTCAGATTCAGAGCGTCAACAACTTAAAACACTACTGCGGGAATTTTCCGACGTTTTTAGTCGGAATGAATACGATTTGGGTTGTACTCACCTGCTGCGTCACCATATTGACACGGGTGACAGCGCGCCAATTCGCCAAAATCCGTTTCGGTTGAGTCCCGCCGAAAAGGACCATGTCAAATCGGCTGTTGATGACATGTTGGCCGCCGACATCATTTCTCCTTCCACCAGCCCTTGGGGAGCGCCGATCGTCCTGGTTAAAAAGCAGGACGGTTCATTGCGGTTTTGCGTTGATTTCCGGCGTCTTAACAAAATTTCGGTTGCCGACGCATACCCGCTCCCTCGGATGGATGAATCGCTGGACGCCTTGGCGGGAGCGCGATTCTTTTCCACACTGGATTTGCTTTCGGGATTCTGGCAGCTTCCTCTGGACGATGATTCAAAGCCTAAAACTGCTTTCCGTACACCGCACGGCCTGTTTCAATTCAACCGGTTGCCGATGGGCTTACACTCAGCGCCGGCAACTTTCCAGCGTTTAATGGAATTGGTTTTGGCTGGATTGCAATGGGAGTCGTGCCTCATTTATTTGGATGACATTATCGTCTTTGGTAAAACTTTTGATGAACATCTCCAGAGGTTGCGGGCGGTTTTCCTAAAGATGCGGGCTGCTAATTTGAAATTCAAGCCCCAAAAATGCCATTTGTTGCGCGATTCGGTGCGTTATTTGGGGCACATCGTGGGACGCTCAGGTATTGCTACCGATCCCGCCAAAACGCAGTGTGTCAGCTCCTGGCCGACTCCCACCTCGGTGGGAGAGGTCAGGAGTTTCATTGGGTTCGCGTCGTATTACCGACGGTTCGTTGCTGATTTTGCGACAATTGCAAAACCCCTGCACGCTTTAACATCTAAAGGGGTTCGGTTCCACTGGGGTCAAGAGGAGGAGGCTGCTTTCTGCTCCCTTCGGGACGCCCTGGTAAAAGCCCCTCCCTTGATTTACCCAGATTTTTCTAAGCCCTTTTTGCTCGACACCGATGCGAGCAACACGGGTATTGGGGGTGTGCTTTCCCAGGTGGTTGATGGCGTGGAACGGGTGGTCGCGTACGGTAGTCGGGTGTTGTCTCCTGCGGAGCAAAGATATTGTGTCACCCGTAGGGAACTGTTGGCAATTGTTTATTTCATCCAACAGTATTGCCCATATCTGTACGGTCGGCATTTCACCGTCCGCACAGATCATGCGGCACTACAGTATGCCCTGCGAGTTCAACAACCATCGGGACAGTTGTCTCGATGGTTGGAGGTTCTCCAGGACTTTGATTTTGAAACCACCTACCGTAAGGGCGTTCGCCATACCAATGCGGACGCTCTGTCGCGCATGCCAACCACCTCCGAATGTGCATGCCTCCTGGGGTCGGGACGTTGCAGGCCTTCAGGGGACGCATCGGTTCCGATCTTGGCAGCCACCGACGACGACGAACCATTGGTTACTAATTCGATCGAACAACAGGGAAGAGATTCCCTGTTGGGGTTGCCCGTCACTGAATGGGGGCACCTCCAAATGGAGGATACCTCCCTCCTCGGGTGGCGTCGTCGCGTCGGGGGTGCTGGGCGGGTGAAAGGTGATTCGGATGCATGGGAAATGGTGCAAGGTCTGCTGATGCATTGGGACGGCAAATCCTAGCGACATCGGCTGGTGGTCCCTTCTGAGTTGCGAGGCAAGGTGGTGTGGGCCGCGCATGAGCGCCTATTACACCTGGGGACCCAAAAGACTCTTGCACTGCTACAACTTGATTTTTTTTGGCCTGGTATGACGAGGGATGTTGGGGATCTATTGGGATCATGCCCTCGGTGCGCGCAACGGAAACCGCCGGCGCGGGAGTCTAACCCGCCCTTGCAATCGATCAAAGTATCCAGAATAAATGAGCTTGTCGCGCTGGACATTTTGGGCCCATTTCCCGCCACCCCCAGGGGCAATAGGTATTTGTTGACAGGTGTCGAGTATTTTACGCGCTGGCCTATGGCCTGGCCCCTTGCCAACCATTCGGCAGCAGCCATCGTGGAGGCCTTTGTTCAGGGATACGTCCTGGACAAAGGTGCTCCGGAGCGGCTGCTGACCGACCAGGGCAGAAATTTTTCCGGTAAATTACTCAAACAAGTCTGTGACCTCTTAGGCACGAAGAAAATTCGTACCTCCCCGTATCACCCGCAAACTGACGGAATGGTCGAGCGCCTGCATCGCACCATTACGTCAATGATGTCACAGCAGGTCTCAGACTCGCAGACTGACTGGGACCTGCATATTCAAGGGGTCTTGGCGGCATACCGGATGGCACCCCATGCAGCTACGGGATTTTCCCCCTTTTACCTCATGTACGGTCGCGAACCCGACCTGCCTGTTCGCGCCCAGCTGCAGATCCCCGACCCGCAAGGAAAAACTAAATTGGCTGACCACGTCAAATTTAATCTGGCCAAATTAACAGAGGCGCGGGATGCTGCTATGCTAAACTCGGACCTCCGTCAAAAGGCGAATGAGCGCCTCAGGCTGGGTCGGGCGCACGTAATACAGTGGAAGCCGGGGGACAAGGCATGGTTGCACTGTCCCCAAGTGCCCCTGGCTACCTCCCCCAAGCTGGTGCGGCCGTGGCGGGGCCCTGTGGAAGTGGTCGAAATTTTGCGACCACAGTGCGTGCGCATTAAATGGGGGAAGCGGCGATGGTTCGTGCACCCCTCTAGGTTAAAACCCTTCGTTGCGGTACACAAACCCACTTCACACATGCGTGGCCGAACGTGTGGGGGGTCGACCGACTCACTGGGTCCGTCTCCGTCGTTCTCACCTAATGCCTTGCCGGCCGTGCCACCTCCAGGTGCATCAGGACTGACGGGCTCACGCCCGACCACCCCTCCTGGGGATACCGACGGTCGCGCGGCATCGGATGAGGTCTCACTCCGGGACGGACAATTGCCACCTGACGGTCCGCCACCCGGGGTTACCCCGTGTGAGGGGCCCGCTGCAAGGACGCGCGCAAAAATGCGCAGACTGTTATGAGGCCGGAAGATGTGTACATAGGTTGTGTTCATCGTGCGTTGTGTGGGTGGTGTGTTCCCTGCCCATTGAAATGTACATACGTTGTGTTCATTGTGTGTTGTGTGGGTGGTGTGTTCCCTGCCCATTGAAATGTACATACGTTGGGTTCACCTGGTGTTGTGTGTATGGTGGGTTCCCTGCAAGTTGTATATAGGTTGTTTTTTTTACGGAATTCGTATTTATTCAAGGGGGGGTGCGTCGGGTTGTTTTCTCTTCTTGCTGTTGCATTTTGCTGTGTTCTTGTTGCTGTTCTTGTTATTGTTGAAAATTAGTGAGGCACACGCGTGGTTAAGGTATAAATTCACTTTTATTGTCATTTTGTATGTTGGCAGCCGGGACGGCTGCAAGCTATGCGGGGGGGGGGTGATGTAGGGGTGTTAAAGAGAGGGCCCGTTATGCATGGCAGCCTATGGAAAACAAACACAGTGGGCGGGGCTACGTAAGTGCACGGGGAGATGCCCTCTACGACGTCCGAGCCAGACACCCTGGGGGGGGCTGGTTCGAACGTTATGATCCCCCGGGGCCCCACCCCTCAAGGAGGGGTTGGGTATAAAAGGGGATGTTCAAAGGGCTCGAGTCAGTTATGTTAAAAGCTAACCAGAGAAGACTGAAGACGTCTTAGATAGAGCCCTGGACTCCCCTAGTTCGATGTCCTTATCAGGGCCGGACAGGACTGAGCCAGCGGCGTGGTCCCGAAAGCCAGAGCCGGTGCTCTTGTAAGAGCTGGTCTGGGACTCCGGGTACCGGGCCCGACTTACCAGTGTCGGGCCAGATAGCCTCCCCTAGCCCATTAGTGGAGGACTCAGAGGCAGGCTAGGAGTAGCTAGGACGTGTATCCTTAGCTAGTCGGGTGAGGGGGCCGATACCCCCTCCAGTGCTGTATGCCACGAACGTGCTGTGTCAAATAAACATACGTGTGCCTCAACCTCGGCGTCAAGCGTCCTCACCGGTACTTCACATGTACAACAACAACCGCCATTAACCATTCAAGTGGCGGTGACGTCATCACGTACGCTTGTGATATGGAGTTAAAGAGCAATTTGTGATCGCGGGCCATTGAGGCAGACGCCATCTCTCCCCCGTGACCACCACCCATCCTTTCAGCGCCTCATGGCTCTCCGAACCTCCGAGCGAAAGCTGTGGTAAGCCTCCTCATTCTCTGATGTGGGATACTGTAGACGATGAGAGTGGGCCTGCCACTTTTTCTCAGCCAGCCCGAACATCTCTGTCAACCAGGGTCTCTGGGGAGGTCTGGACCGTGTACCCAAATCAGCCATTGCAGCTGCATGAGCCACAATCCTAAATCTCAGCCATTTCTCCTCGACATCAGGAGTGGGGGACTATGCCAACCCCAGCCGCAAGCGATGATGAAATTCTCACTTGCAACTTTCATCAGCTAGCTGAGACCATGCAATTATGGGTTTGAATGAGGTTCTGGGTGTACACCCACCACCGGAGTGAAAGAATGGCAGGCGCATCTTACAGATGACAAGTCGATGGTCAGTGGGCAGATCAGCTCCACGGTAGGTCCTGGTGTCAAGGACATGGGACCGCATCCACTGTTCTGTCACTATGTAGTCCAGCAGATGTTCTTGCTTGGACCCGGCATGCATCCATGATGTTGTGTGGATGCGCCGATGCTGGAACAGCACAAAAATCTAGCAGCCTCCTACCGTTGTCATTGAGTTGATCTGGCCCATGCCTTCCAATCACTCCAGACCAGGTGCCAGCATCATGACCAACTCGGGCACTGAAGCCACCCAACAAGATGACTCTATCCCAAGAAGCCACTTTAGCTAGCACCTGTGACAGGAGGTCATAGAAGGCATCTGACTCATCGGCCTTGCCTGCATCTCTCCACATGTACACACACGTACGCACACGTGTTCCGCATTATAGGGTGCACCCCTAAATTACAGACGAAACGTTAATATTATAATCTGAAGCATACGGTCATTTCCATTTAAAAGATTGACGAGGTTTTAGCGGTGCATTGCCTTGCACACTGAAAAACGAACCCTATAACCCGAGTTTGATTCTTTCCATTGAATTAATTTTAATGAAGAAGAATTATTGTGAAACGTGTGGGCTATTATGCACACACTGATACTGCGAATCTGTTGAAAACGTACGCAGTTTTACAGGATTCATAACTTTCAAGTAACAGTTTTTTTTTTTATAAATTGTAATGTTTGTAAAACATGTGTGTCTTGTTCCTCGAAGCCAGGGGTCCCATTATTACATGGGGCTGGCTGGCTGGCTGTGAGTATTTGTGTAAAATGTTTTCTTTGTCAATCGCAGCCAGAGGCGTGGAAGAGCTGTAACTGGAATAACGGGACTGAAACCGGGACAAGGCGAAAGCAGATCGGATTTAAAAAGCTCGCCAAGTGAGTACTCTGCATCACTATCTTTAAATCGCGAATTTTATAATCACAAACCGGCATAATATATTAATACAACCGCTATGATAAATGTTGTTATGTGCAAACAGGGTTAGGGAAGCTTGTGTTGTCTCCGAAACATCGTAATTTTTTATTTTATTTTACTTTTATAAAGTTTAATTTTTGACCCACGTGACTTTACCGAAAAAACCTAAGAGTATGGATCCTTGCAGTCACAAAAGCTTCAAATCTAGAATGCATACAGTGAGTTTTACTAAACGTGTTTATAAATTATATCAATCAAGTGCTTTAGATAATGTGCCATTCCCACCCAAGATTAACTGCCCCTCTCGCCTACAGCTTTGGCTGATCATATTTGTCATGATGACCCTGAATGACATCATCACCTTAACGATCTTCACAGTCATTGACACCATTAGCAGCAGCTGCCGTAGAATTCACAATATCAGTAACATCCATGCAATTAGGCGGATGAGATCGTCATAAGTTATGTCGTGTTTTAATTTAGGTAATGCTCTGCGGTACAATGAGTGTAAAAAAAAATCAATTAATCTCACAAATAAGCAGAGACATCCGTAAAGAGGATGCAGCCAAACCCCTCCTAGAAAACAGCTGTTAACGCCACGCAGGGTGCGACAAGCAGGCTCCGGAGAGGAAACAGCTTATATATATGGGATCTTTTTGTCAGTATCCAAATTGATGATGTTATGATATTATTAGAGCATGTTTGTTTGCATATTTTTGCCCCAAGTACGTGTGGGTAATGCAGACTTGATGCCTTGCAAAGTGTTTCTATTTGGTGTTTGAATATATCTTTACACCTGTTTTGTTGCCAGATATGGTTAAAACTATTTTCATCAGGAGACAGCTTCACTGCCCAGATTTCGTTTTTCCCATAAAACTCTCTTATTTTCCCTCGCTTACCCAAACCCCACCTTTTTCTCACTCCCTTCCCCATCACTAACACCACCATCCCCTTTCCCAATTTCTCTACCCATTCATCATCACACTCACTCGTCATGGACCACTCATTGTCACTCTCATCATCGTTTATTTCAGGCACCATCATACTCATGTACTACCATCCTTCTCATGAACTCATTTCATCACACTTCTGCTGCACTAAAAGCTAATTCTTTGTTCAACGCCTTCGCCAAGGTGCTGTATAAAATTATTAATATATAAGATTAAGGCGCTATATAAAAGTATAATAAGATAAGGTAACAAATAAAAGCTCAGAGGGGCGATGGAAGGAGCAGGCGGTTAAACTGGGAATGCTGTGAAAAAGGCGGGGTGGAAGGGAAGGATTTCAAATATGGATTGCAATGCTTCGAGAAAGGGGCAAGGTGGAGCTCTTCATCAGCCACGGTCAATCCACTGCTGGATGAAGGCCTGCCCAAGCCACCACCATTCCTCTCACGATACTGCGACGCAACTCAAGGAACGTCATCCCGACGTGTCGTGTAACACCCCAATTCGTCAGTAACGGTGACACGTGGCGGTATATGTTGCGAAGTGAAGTGTGGATGCACGTGTCGCGTGGCGCTGCAGGGCGGTGAAGTTTTCTGCTCAGCTCATGGGCAAGGCCATGGCTCGCCGCGTCAGAGCCATCATCCTCTACGCCACCGAGACGGGGAAGTCCCAGGCCTTCGCTAACTCTCTGTGTGAAATTTTCAAGCACGCCTTTGATGCAAAGGTTAGAAAATACACGTACGTAGGTATTTTATGGCACACCACTCGATAAAAATACCCACCGCTCGCCCCGAAGGTTAATGATAAGATAGTTCCTAAGTGGGGAATTAGTATAATTTGTTTTTCATAAAATCCCTTGAGTATTTGTTTAGTAATCTAATTTACTTGGCTTGTATTGCATACAAATGTGTCACCCATGTCAACGTCACAAAATTCATATATTTTTTTTGTTGGCTTCTGATATAAATCAAGTATAATAATGTTTTAAATTTGAATATGTAAGCAGCGATTGGTACAACTAAAAAGTAGACAAATGTAGATTTATTTATTTATCTCTGAGCCACATGTAAAAATTCCACATTCCCATTACTGGGCTAGTTGCTTCAATGACGCACCATTTTTCATGTAAACTATCCACGCCTGCCCGTGGCGATGAACACTGCCCATGGTGAACATCGCCCTTGGTAGATCATTTCCCACGGTGGGCACTGGTAGTATTTGCCAGCGAGCAGCCCGCTCGGCTCACGGACCGCGTTGTGCGGCCGCGTTGCTGCCAGGTGGTGTGCATGCAGGACTACGACGTCGTACACCTGGAACACGAGGCCCTGGTGCTGTTGGTGACCAGCACGTTCGGAAACGGGGACCCACCCGAGAACGGCCAGGTTTGACTGAACGCTTTTCAGAAGTTTCGCGTTTTGCCGCCGGTGTCCCTCGGCCGTAAATTGGAGCGCCAAAGAAGAATAAAATCTCCACCGGCCCCGTGTCACACTCAGGGCCAAGCAGTCCGTAGGTCGATCGATGGACACATTTTCTGTATTTATTGCCAAGTCAAAGCTATTGAACCAAATCACCCAGAACGGAATGCAGAATGCGCTCTGTCAGATCTTGGAAGGGAAGCAGGAAATCAGTTCTAGATTTGAAGCTTTCGTGACTGCAAGGATTCATACTCTTAGTTTTTTCGGTAAAGTCACGTAGGTAAAAAATAAAATTAAAATTAATAAAAATAAAATAATAATAAATCACGACCTTTCAGAGGCAACACAAGTCTCCGTCATCAGGTGAGACCGTCACAGCCAGATTTGCTGTATCAAGTGATGACGGAGACTTGTGTTGCCTCCGAAACGCCGTGATTTTTTTAAATTTCATTTTCATTAATTTTATTTCATTTTTTACTTACGTAACTTTACCGAAAAAACTAAGAGCAGGAAATCAGTCTCAACCGTGCTCGGATTGTTGGCCACCAGGTGTTATAGGCTGCGGAGCTACAGTGGTGGGCAGCGGAGAGCAACGACAGCAAAATCCATTGTTCTGTGCTGTACACCCCCCCCTACTCACCACATCCATGTTACTCGACTTCACAACTCCTACTGACCAGCCTGGTGAAGTATGGGCAAGTCACCCCCACAAACCTACGCGGTGTGGAGAGGCCTTCATCCAGTAGTGAATTGACAAAGCGCTGCACGTGCGAGCCTCTTGGGATGAAAGGTGTCTGTTTCAAGATAACAAACAAAAAAACCGAATGAGCACGGCTGGCTACATACGGTGCGAAAGAAGTTCAACATACATACAGCATAATCATTTAACACGTAGGCTTTCAATCTTAATTTTGGAGCTTTCGTGACTGCAGGAATTATTATTTGGTTCTTTCGGTTAAGTCACGTCTAAAGATAAAATAATAAATTAAAATAATAGCAAATTACGACGTTTCGATTGCAACACAAGCAATCATCATCAGGCATAAAAGAAATAGTAACAAAAATCTAACTAGAAAACTATAGACAGACATACAAGCAGACAGACATCACAAGGACACACAGAGAGAGGACACATATCGGCACAAAGAGAGGGGTCGTTTTTGTGACGGTCCCTTAATTATAGAGAGGGGAGGCGGGGACGGAGAGAGGGAGGGGGCAGAGAAAATTAGCATATCAATGAGTGGACGGCAACGTGCTGGTGCTGCAAGTAAGATGACGACGTGGCACGGCACGCAAGCTTGAAAATTAGGAGAAAGGCACACTAAAATTAAATAACCTAGCAAAATATCGTAGGCTTTCGCGACCAATATTATTCATAATATAGGTTTTTGGGTCAGATCGCGTTATTTATAAATGTGTCATAACCCTCCACCACCCGACACAGCCAATCAGATTGAATTGAATTAAATGATGACGTCACCCTGATGCTGCTCTATTTAAGACCGGAAGCAACAGGAAAGCTTCACCATTCTTGCCCGATGAAGCTGATTGTAACTATCAGCGAAACGTCATACTCAAATTTAAAAATGCTGTTGAATCTCTCTTCAGCACACCGGTGGGCTAAAGAAGTGAATTATTTTGTCCTTTTAAAAAGTGACACATTTTTTACTGATTGGCTGTGTCGGGTGGTGGAGGGTTACGACACATTTATAAATAACGCGATCTGACCAAAAACCTATATTATGAATACAGCATAATAATCAACAATGGCATAAATAGCGTATGCTGCCTAGATTGTGCCTCACGAAGGAAGCCTTTTTTTTAACAACATCTTGCTGTTTCTATCCACATACCGTTGTTCGGACTGCAGAAGTTTTGGCTGTCGCTGTTGGAGATGCAGCATCCTTTGTCGAGCCACGCTGAGGAGCAGTGAGTTCTGCATCTTCTTCTTCAACAGGGCTTGCTCAATATTAATCGGATTACACGCTGATACTGCATTGGCAATGGTGCGCACAGCGCAAACAACTATCTTAATTCGTTCACTCATAACACAGCCTTAAAGGATATGTATAATTCGACCAAAAAATTGCCATTGACCCTTCATTCCTCTATGTCCTATGCAGAAGAGGCATTGCCCAAAACGATACCTATTTAGATATGTTTGAATGCACTGTCATAGATAAATGTGAGTTTTCGTTTGTAAAACATTCCCCCGGATCTCCTCTACTCATTGTAAGGTGTGACTGCACCAAGAGTGGAACCCAAGGTCGAATTCACGTTGAGATGTTTTTTTTTTTGAACACGCTCCACATCAAGTGGGCTATTTGTGTATTACCGCGTGTACACGTGTTACTCTTTCACGAATCTGAGTTGCTTGCAACAGAAGTTAATGAGAAAAAAATACTGAATTAGCAAACATCTAATTAGGCCCTTCGAGAAAATGTATCACTTCAGACTCGGTGAGGCTTTATTCGGTAAATGAATTACCATTATGATGATTGTGTGTGAATTCAAATTGTGAAACTCAGAAAAAAATCTTCTGGGGTAAATAAATGGCGCGTGAAATAAAACAGTGTATCTTTTCGAGGCTTTCCATAGTATATATTACCTTGACTGTACGTCAATTCAAATAAATGTTGAGATGCACTTGAATCTGTCGACATTGATAAAACAAAGGGGGAGGGAAAAATGAGTGTGAAGTAAAAATCTGTACGGTCGTGAAGTAGGAATCACATTTACCTCTCCGGTAACCTTGCACGTATGCCTGCATGAATGCATCCCTCCCACATTCGAGAATTCTAAATCTCGCGTCTCATAAAAAACATCGTGCACTTCTCTCTGACCTTTTCAATCACAAAATGACCAGAATTGTGCGTACGGCCGGTATCTCTCCGCCCCGCAACCCCAACCCTCGCTCACGCCGTGTTGGCCTTTCAGGTTTTTTGTTTTGTTCAAAAGCGTCGCATCAAAGCTCGGGGTTTCTCTTTCTGCAGGGGATTCAAGGTGAGTCGCGTTCCCCCGCAACTGGAGCACCCACGCGTGGCCTTCACGGAAGGCGCACTCCTTCGCAGCAACACGCTGGAGAGCGCGGAACCACTGGCAAATGTCAGGTGGGCTGCGGTCGGCACCCTGGCCCCGGGGCGGGGAGGGGGGTGGGTTCGTCTTCATGGGCGTGCCAGCAGTGCAATTAATGAAACAAAAAAAATTAACCCGTAAAAACAAAGTTTTTCACTATAAATCCTTATATGTGTGGCATCGGTTTTGACCCGTTTTACCACTTTCAAGAACCTGGCGGCTTCAATGTAACTGCTCTATAAATAGTCTCCACTGTACAGCGTGGGGGCAGGGATTTCATGCCATGTGGTCAGTCAACATTTGCGTCGTCATGAAACGGGCGGCTAGAGTCCTCTCGTCCTCTGGCTTGAGATGGCTGCCACCTATGGGTCAGATGATTGTCTGGCACCATTAAGCAATTGGTAATTAAATATGTAAAAAAAATTCCCTAAACAGTGTAAAATTTTGAAACATTTTTTTCACGAAGATGAATTGTCACGCACAACGAGTCTGTGTGCAAAATGTCAGCTCGATTGGATCACGGGAAGTGGGTTAAAAAACGACCGAAAGATTTGCACGGTCGTAAGCAAGCAAGCACGCAAGCACGCAAGCAAGTGAACTTAATACAAGTAAACCCGTAATAAGTATAACCCGTAAAAACAAAGTTTTTCACTATAAATCCTTTATATGCGTGGCAGCGAACTTAGTATAAAGGATTTAAAAATATATTCGCCTGTGGTGGACGCGGGGATCAATCCCGCGACCTTTGGCATGGGAAGCGAGGGCGCTACCAACTGCGCTACTCTGCCACGGCCTGTGGAGGGGTTACGCTCTGGGCTCTTATACTGTGACGTTCAGCCAAAGCCAAGAATGAGTTCTATTTGAATATATGTAAAAGAAAAAAATTTTGCCTAAAAAGTGTAACATTTTGGGAATTTTTTTTCACGAACATTAATTGTCTGGCACGACGAGTCTGTGTGGAAAATGTCAGCTCGATTGGATCACGGGAAGTGGGTTAAAAAACGACCGAAAGATTTGCACGGTCCTAAGCAAGCAAGCACGCAAGCAAGCAAGCGAACTTAATATAAATGATTTAATAAAGGATTTAAAAAGTGCCGCTGCGGTATTGCCTCGTTGCTCACGGACTTGCTAACCGCGATTTTGGCTGTCCGCGAATGGCGTCTGGAACTCTGCACGGCTGCTTCGAGAGAGAGGAATAAAGGAAGTGATGAGATAGAGTGATGAGAGAGAAGGTGATGCGATAATGTCCATGTGTTTTAATAGTGTATTTATATTATTGGGTCTTTCGGTAAAGTCACGTAGATAGGTTAAAAGAAAATAAGAAAAAATAACGTGACTTTACCGAAAGACCCAAGAATATGAATTCCTGCAGCTTTAAGTCAAAATGTAGCGAATTTATTTCAGATCATTCATTTAAAGGATAGGTTTTCGTAGGCCAAAATCATTATCCACGAAATTTGCTATTCACGAGCGAATAATGCAGAGCAAACGAATGGTCATGTCAATTCGTAGGGTCACATTCTGTCCGTATGTTAAGTCTATGTTAAGAGTGCTAAGAACCTTTAGGATGTAGGAACGGGGGTTTACCAATAAGGTCCAGGCAATGACCAACAGGCACACCCATGGTAGCCTGAGACATTAGAAATAAACACTGGTGGTGCTGCCAACTGCATAATTGTATGTATGTTCAACTAACTTTCACACCGTACGTAGCCAACCGTGCTAATCGGAGTTGATCATTGGACGATTCTCTTGTGGATTTCACAATTCAGTTTTTCAAGTGTCGCTACTCGCACTCCTTCCGAGATGTCTAGCCAACGTTGAAGAGGAGGCTAAAATACCCGTTGGAGAGGTCCTTCCATCAGCAGTGGTGTGAGCAAGCGACTGCGGGCTGCTGCTCCTTTACCTCTACACAAGAGAGAGAAATTAACACAACTAACTGTAGGGATTCCCTGTTGCCAGACGAGAATTCCAGCCGATTGTCGTGTTCTTTAAAGCCCCATATAATCCACGTCTCATTGCTTGCTTGCGTGCAGGTTTTCGGTGTTCGGTCTGGGCTCCAGCGCCTACCCCAGGCTGTGTGCGTTTGCCCGGGCCCTGGACGGGATGCTGGGCACTCTGGGTGGCGAGCGCATCATGGCTCGAGGAGAGGGGGACGAGCTGTGTGGACAGGAGGAAGCCTTCCGCTCGTGGGCGCGCGGGGCCTTTGAGGTCGTCACTTGCACCTCCCCCTCCACTGCCCGTTGCCCAATGCTGCCCAATGCTGCCGCTGCATGCCCGCTGAATGTTGAATGTGCTCGGTGGCGATGTGTTCTCTCTTCTTCTTTGGATCTGTAACTTCGCCATGTGCCTTCAAGTAAACTAAACGATAAACTTAAGTTAGCAAGTTTTTATTTTATTTCACCAGGTACGGTCCATTGAGCTTTGTAACTTTTTCTTGTTTTAAATGACCTGGCCACAAATGATAGCTCATCAGAGTGGGTTATCACGTGGAAATTTATCGCAGCCAAAACTCTTTAGTGCATGTTTCTATATGTGGAGGGGAAAAACCGGAGGACCTGGAGAAAACAAAATCCACATGACCACGGGGAGAGAGAACATGCCGGCTCCAAATATACAGCAGGCTTCAGGGTCGGGATCATACCCACGGGCCCCTGCATACCAGACGAGGGAGTTAACATCTCACCGACGCTGCGCCCCATGTTACCTGCACCGGATTTCAGTTTATGTATGTATGTTGAACTTCTTTCTCGCCGTACATAGTCAACCGTGCTCATCGGAGGTGCAGGAAAAAGCAGTACATAATCTGGAAAATATAACAACTCTGACGGCGAAAGTCCACTGGTCAGCATGAGGGGCAGTCGCTGGGCCGCTCGCTCGATGTCGCGTCCGGTTGCGATTCGGCTGTGCGCAGGCGGCGTGCGACGTCTTCTGCGTGCGGGAGGACGTGAACCTGGAGCAAGCGAGCGCCACGCTGCTGTACGCTGAGAGCGACTTCAAGCCGGAGCGATATCGTCTCGTGCCCGTCTCGTCCCGCCTCTCCCTCGAGCAAGGTTCCCGCTCTCGAAACGAATTCCCACTATAATGGATATTCGGTAGAACCGTCGGTTCAGAAATCAGAATCAGAATCGTTGTTTATGCTGGAGGAATCCGATGAGTTATACAGCTCTTTCTTCGCAGATGTCCAGCAGTGTCACAAATGTCCAGTAGAGTTGGTAAATATGGCGAGAAACTGCATGGACCTTAGGGCTGTGTGGGTCACGGGTGGCTTACCCATGGCCTTGCAGCCCACAGGATACAGAAGGCAAACTTGCCCACTCAGAACTACAATTTATCGCAGAGGTCTAGGGAAATAGTTTTTATTATTTTACCACGGCTCACATTACTGTGACCCTAGTTTCAAACAGAGCCTATCAAGAGCAAACGTTGACTTGTCCATTGTCTCAACTCGTTGAAGAGAGTCACCTGCTTGCGAGTCAACAAACTATAACGCCTTTTGTCAAGCCACTGCTGGATGAAGGCTTCTCCACAGCGTGCCGCTCACGGGAGGATGTTGGGTCGTGCTTCTTCTCGTTCGGTGTGTGTGGAGTTTCCCGGCCCGTTTCAGACGTCACTCGCCAGGAAAGCAACTCGGGTGGCCTGGTCTATAGAACAGTCCCCGGGGGATCCGCTAAACCACTGCCTCCATTGATCGTCTACGATGCAGGCTGAACAGAATCATGTTATTGAAGTGATGGAGCGCGATTGGGCATTGCACAGAGGTGGCGTGTGGCAGAGCAGTAAAGCAAATAGGTCGTAGACCTCTACACGTGCAGCACACTCGATGAACTTTGATGGCAGCCTCATCGTTTTGGGGGTTGTTTTTGTGTATATTCGATTCCTTCGCTTCATCACCTACACCCAATGCCAAATACTTAATATTTATGGATTATGTACTTGGCTATTTCAGTTCTAGTTTTCGTTTAAATCAATGTAGGCACAGAATTGGTAGCCACACGGAGAGTGGTGCTATGGGTTGAGTTACTCAATTGCACGAAAGGATGTGTGTATGTTGAACTTCTTTCTTTTCTATTTAGATTGTTGTCCTTCCCCCGCACCTCCGGTCAATGCGGTTGGCTACGTACGGTACAAAAGAAGTTCAACATACGTACATACAACCGTGCAGTATTGTGTATATTTACCATTATAAATTTGTAAATATTCTTAGAAAGCTACCATGGATAGCACCTTGCCACACTGAACTTGGCAATACAGAAATCGCCGGTTCGATTTGATCTCCCACCAGCGCAGTATTGGAAACAATTGGGGAAATTTCTTAAACCCCTCCGCCTCTGTCCAGCCAGCAGTATCGATGGGTGCACCGCCACACTTGGTCGATCGGCAGGTCGAAATCGGTGGGGTAAGGTGCGCATTCTTACCACCTCTTCATAAACACTTAGAGGGACTATTTCGATTTAAAGCTTTCGTGACTGCCGGGATTCATATTCTTGGTTCTTTCGGTAAAGTCACGTAGAAGGGAAATAATGAAAATACAACATAATAAAATAAAATTCTCACGAAGTTTCGGCCACAACGCTAGCAGCCGTCCTCAGGTGAAGAACAGAGCTGTCGGAAAGACAGCGTCCTAATGAGCACTGCTAAGCTTGGCAGCATATTTTAATCTGGGTGGGAGGAGGAAAGCGCCTTGACATACCCAACTTAAAATACGCTGCCAAGCTTAGCAGTGTTAATTAGGACGCTGTCTTTCCGACAGCTCTGTTCTTCACCTGAGGACGGCTGCTTGCGTTGTGGCCGAAACGTCGTGAGAATTTTATTTTATTATGTTTTATTTTTATTATTTTATTACTTCCCTTCTACGTGACTTTACCGAAAGAACCAAGAATACTTAGAGGGACTCTGTAGAGCTCCGTCTAGCGGAAGGCCCTTCTGACAGCAGTGGTGTGAGCAAGCAATTGCAGGGCTGTGTCGTTGCTACCGATATATTTCGTACTTATATACTTAATTTTTATTTCATTTATTCAGTTTTAGTGGCTTGCTTACCATTCCTAATGCTTTGCACTCGGTTTTTGTAATGTTGTAACTTTCCTACCGCCCCTGCTGAAAAAGATCTTCATAGCTCGTCGGATTCCTCCAGTCTCAATAAAGATTTCTGATTTATCTTCGAGGGCTCCACGAAAGTCGTGGCCCTCGGCTGCAGTCCCCTAAAGCCCCCGTGGCGTTAATCGGACCGCGCACTCGCGCACCGTGTCCGTACGTAGCGAACCCTGCTAATCGGAGCCGCGGGGAAGGACAACAAACTAAACGCAAAAAAAGCAGTGACAGAAACCGCATGTGGCACGTGCTGGCTTTTCAGGCTACACCTGCACGCACAGGAAGAAAGTCGTCGGAGCCAAACTGCTGTCTCGCCAGAACCTCCAGAGTCCAGACTCGGGGTAATTTGAGCGGCACCTCCGCAACATCGCAGCCACACTCAAGGATCCGCACTCACGATCCACACACATCATCTGCATTCACGAGCCGCGCTCAAGATCCGCAAAGGCGCAGCTTCCCCCGTGCAATAATCGTGGGATTTTTTCGCCAGTTGAAGATTCACGCGTCGTTCTGTACGGAGTGATCGCAACACATGTTCACTCCACTTTTCCCACGCACGTGGGTTTTAGCATCGCGCTTACACCGTCGTCATTGAGATACTAAGCTAATTCATGGGTGGGGCGATTTGTTGGTATTCGTTATCTTTAAACAAGACCCCGTTAATTTCACGAAGATAAAATCAAGGCCATTTACAGCTTTTGCAACACGTAACTGGGGCTGCGTTGCACGTGACGTTTCTGTGCAGCGAGGAGACGGACACTGATGACAGCAGTAATAGGCAGCATCCCTTAGCACCATCGTGTCCCTCAAATTACGGGACTCGTTTTGATCTTCAGGAGTGCAATTATCCCAATCAACAAAAACATTTCAACAACATTTTTTTGTTTAACACGCAGGCTTTCGCGACCAATATCATCCATAATAGAGGTTTTTTTTGGGGTTGGATCGCGTAAATATATAAAAGTGTCGTTAAACCCGCCACCACCCGACACATCCAACTAGTAAGGGTTGTTGCGTAAACAGAACGTGGCCAATTCGTCACTAGTACAGCACTAGTGTGTAGTTTATAGTGTAGTGTATAGTGTAGTGTATAGTAGTGTGTAGTGTAGTTTATAGTAGTGTATAGTGTAGTATACTAGTACAGCACACCGGTGTGTTGGAGAGCCAACCCACAACATTTACAATCCGAGTAACGACGTTTCGCCAGTAATTACAACCAGCTTCATCAGGCGACTGCCAGATTTGTGGAAAAAGTTCACCTGTTTCAGTCCCTCCACAATAATAAAAATAATAATCCCTAAATGTTTACGCGGCACGGTACGTCCACCCACGTTATTTTGCGTAGACACCGTTGTACCTGCGACGGCTAATTCCCCCCCACCCCGCAGACGCCGCACCGTGCTGATCCGACTGGACACGCTCGAGCAGCGCGAGCTGCGCTACCGGCCGGGCGACCACGTGGGCATCTTCCCGGGCAATGCAGCCGCCCTGGTGCGCCGGCTGATGAGACGGATCGAGGGCACCCCTCAAGCCGAGCAGGTGGTGAGCGTCGAGTGTCTGGAAGAGACGACGACGCCGACGGGTAAGCCGCGTGCCACCGTTCATTTGGAGGGTGTTGCGAGTGCAGGAGCGGGGGGAGGGGGGGGGGTGGCGGTGGCGCGAACAGCGGGTGTAGCTGCACTGTGGACTCTCTTAGCAGTCAGACACCTGCCTGCTAAGAGGTTAAGGCAAGCGCAGGCAGCACTGGCTGTTGGCGTAAGCAGCGTGGGCACTTGCCCAGGGCAGCGGCAGATTGTTGGAACTCGGGAGGGGGCTGCGATGTGAGGAGCTGCTCACGTGATACCAAGATGCCTCGGCCCACGTTTGTTGCAGACGTACGCGTGTGAAAGACGCGCATGAGCATGCGGAGAGGTAAGGTGAGAGGGAACAGTGAATGTTTTCCCGCAGCAGCGCGGTGGACGTGGAACTTTGGGCCAATGCTTGGCTAACGTTGCTTCCCAGCCACATGGCGATGTTGGCCCAACGTCGGCGTGTTTACTGGGAGGTGCCCGGGCCAACTCTGCTACCCTCCTGAATGCAAGCTCGAGGACCCTGCCATTGGCTAATTCTGAAATCTTTCAGCGACCAGCAAAACAAAAATACTGCTTGACAAACGAACCTTATGGCGGGACCCCGGGGTCCCATAAGCCCCCGGCTCTCGCATGAACTGCGTTGCGACGTCATTGTATGTCTGCTGAAGGCGAACGACACGGCAATCTGTTCCTCTCGACGAGCTCTACACGATGCGCTAGTCAAAGTTTCAAAGTTTTGTTTCTTCTGCGCATTCGTCCTCGCTGCTGCACTTGAACGACACGACAACAGAACGATCCGCGCCAGGGTGGGTCGTGGTGTTTATGTGCGCGGTGGGATGGAGTCGCCAAAAATAAATACATTAATTACGATTTTGACTTCCGTTTATCCGGGACCGCCATGAGGTTCAAATGAACACTCTGATAAACATGCACCAGAAACTAACTTTATTGAATTAGTGTGACTACCACACTTGCAACACTGCTAATAACAAAAATAATAACAATACCAATGTAGCACTATCCTCATGATACATTTTCACCAATAATTGCACGACTTACCCAACACAGGAAGCTGCTTTGGTTAATAATTCACCACGACTACCTCCACGCTTGCTCAGAGAGCATGCAGAGTCAAATAAATCTCCCCACTCATTTTTATAGCGTCCTTTCTTCGAAACGCGCTCATAAAACTCTTGACGAGTGAGCAAATGCGTTTTTTTCTGTTTTTTTTTTTCAAATGTATTCATTTCATTAAGAATATTTTTTTTTTATTATAATTATACTTTTTATTTTTACCAAGGAACGGTCACAAAGTGGGTCGAGGTCTCGAGGCTGCCTCCCTGCACCATCTCGGACGCTCTCTCGCGCTTCCTGGACATCAGCTCTCCACCCAGCGCTCGCTTCCTGCAGCAGCTGGCCTCGCTGGCGGCTGATGTGACCGACCGGGACTCCCTGTTGCAGCTTGGCAAGGTGAGGCTCTCCGTTGCTTAGCGTCCGCTGTCGCTCGCGCGTTTGACGCAAGGCTGGATTCCAAACGTCCAAGGTTGTGTTACGCAAGCAACGAAAAAAACAATGCCGTGCAAACGAAATCCCTCTTGGCGCAACGGTTGACGATAAAAACCCGTGCGTAAAAGATGACATTGTGACGTTGACTCTTGATTTTATTTGCAGATCCTCCTAGTTGAATCAATAATTTGCTTCGCGTATTGTAAAAACCTGCCAGAACGTAGACGCACAGATAATTATTTGTGAAAAAATACACACGTATTTAACACGTTTTTTTTTAAGCAGTAGTGTTGTTTTTAATGTAGGTGTACTGACCACATTATTATGCTGTTTGAATGCAAAGGGAGGACCGGAATACGAGACGTGGCGACGCGAGGGAAATTGCACCATCCCGGAGGCCCTGGACCAGTTCCCATCCGTCCGTGTCCCAGCTTGCCTCCTGATTACCCAGCTTCCTTTGCTGCAGCCGCGCTACTATTCCATCAGTTCGTCTCCTCACTTGTACCCGAGGCAGATTCACCTCACCGTCGCCGTGGTGAAATACCGCACGCGAGGTGAGGGAGTGAGTGGTGCGGCGTATCCCCATGTCACTCGACAATCGTTTGTTCATAATCAGGACCACGAGGGGGGCCACTATATTATTGATGTTATTGTAAATATTATGTTATTATGATATCGCTACCCTGGTCAAATTGTTAGCACGCTGGACTTGCGATCCAGAAGTCGCCCGTTCGGTGCGGCAGTTGAAACAAAAGGGGCAAGTTAATTAAATTTCCCCGCCTCTGTCCACCCAGTGATTTAAATGGATGCACCACCGTGAGTCAATCGGTAAGTCACGCGCGGTGTGGCAAAGCGTGGATATTCCCACCTTTTCCAAAACATCTGGGCAGCCTGGAAGAGGAGGAGGAAGAAATACCGTCTCGAGCCACCTCTTAGTGGAGGCCCTTCCACGAGCAGTGGGATGAGCAAGCAATTGCAGAGCTGCACCTTTAACTTCATCTACATTATTATTACATTATTGTCATATAACCACACTATTACGTGCTATGAATACAGGCAATTTCTCAAACCTGTAAAATCTTCCACTGCTGATTGTATTGATTTGAAACTGCAAATATTCCCAGAAGGTCCATCCAGCAGTGAATAGATTACGGTTGATAATGATGATATACCCCAACAAAACCCCTGCTGCAACCCCTCGCTAGCCCTACGACACCCCCTGAGAAACATTCACTGCCCCCTCACTGATCTTCCAAAGCATCCTAAAAATACACTTACAGCACTCCTATGGCACACACAGAATGCACAATTGTATAATTATTGTGATTCGCCTTGGATAAAGGTGCTATATAAATTATCTCGTTACTGCAGTGCGGTGATAACTACCTTGCCTGGTATGCAGGAGATTGTGGCTTCGATTCTGACCCCGACGCCTGTATACTTTGAGTTTGCATGTTCGCGTGGATTTTTCTCCGGGTCCTCTGGTTTTCCCCTCGACGTTTAGAAATATGCGTTTAAGAGTATTTAGCTGCTATAAATAGTCCACGTGATGAGCCACTTCATTGAACTATCATTCGTGGCCAGGTTGCTCCTGAAAAAGAGCTGTGTATGATAATAGTTTTTTTACCCTTCTATCTGGCAAAACTTTTTTACAAGGAGTCATGTTTGCATAGACCACAATACCTGCAGTCATAATGCAAAAAAAAAACAATTATCATATTTTTTTACTGCCAAATGAGGTTCCAATGGTGTAAGCGCTGTGTAGCTCAGTGGTCCTTTCCTCGTAAAATCAAATAGTTAATTGGTCGCGAAAGCCTATGTGTTAAACTCAAATAGTTTAGTTCAGCATGGCAGATAAGACGACGCGGAGGGAGTACGCAGCAATCGTGCGCAATCCCCTCGTGTAGCATATTCGCTCCTGTCAACGCCGGCTCAACGCCGCAATGTTGTTGTCATGCGTAGACGTCGAGGATATGTCACAGATGTGGTTGCAGAACCATGAGCTCGCAACTCTCCACGCTTGAGCGCTCCACATTTGACATATTTTTACGGCACGCTTCATTTCCGCTTGCACATTTTAATTGTGCGTAATTTTACGCGACGCAGGTTACGGCTGCGCAGGCAGTTGCTTATAGCTTGCGTGGCCAAATGTTATTTAAAATTTGACAAGTAATGAGTGTTGTGTAAAAAATTAGAGAGCAGGTGGCAGCCATTGCTCTGGGGTAGCTTCATTGGTAGTCGCCACCGTTAGAATGTTGTGAGTAAAGCAGAGCTGGGCTGTCTGGTTGTTGTTGTTTAAGTTGTTGAAGTCATCGATCACTTTGACGATTGACGGTCGATTGCGCGGCCACTTGGACATCACGGAAATAGTCGTATGAGAAAGCAATTATCTCAGTTCCGCGCGTGTGATGCTGCGCTGGGGGTAACTGGGGGGGTGTTGGGGGTGGGGGTGGCTAGATGATCAATCAATCAATATTTATTTTTACATGCCAATATCACCCTCAGCAAGGATGTAATCGGCATCATAAGCTGCTGATTCGTGGTGGGTATGTCTTGTAAGAAGGGCCACCATATTTATGTAATAGAGTCCAAGAAATTGACCACGACAAAAAAAGTTTAAAGGTAAAGGTGCAGCCCTGAAATTGCTTTCTTGAGCCGCTGCTGGTGGATGGTCCTCGATTTGAAATCGTATCTCTCAGAATCCCCTCTCGAACATATCTTGGCCTACTCTTCCACGTTGGCCCGACGGCTCTGAAGAAGTGGGAAGTAACCACACCTGCTCATCGATCAACTGAACAAAACTGTCTAAATCCTCGGCGCATAACTGGTCGCGAACGACTTTGCAGCGCTGTGGCTTCGAGGATAAAATCGCACTACAGCGTCGGGTTCATTGTAGCGCTACGGCATTGTGCTTCGCCCACTGTGAAGCGGTATTTGCTCTTGAGGCGCTGTTAGAAATGTGATCAATCTTCTTGGTTCTTTCGGTAAAGTCACGTAGAAGGAAAATAATAAAATAATAAAAATAAAACGTAATAAAATAATTCTCACGATGTTTCGTGAAGGACGTCTGCTTGCGTTGTAGCCGAAACGTCGTGAGAATTATTTTATTATGTTTAATTTGTATTATTTTATTATTTTCCTTCTACGTGACTTTACCGAAAGAACCAAGAAGATGAATCCCTGCAGTCACGAAAGCTTTAAATCGAAATGTGATCAATATTCATGTGGCTCCCAGGCGGGGATGGACCGGTGCGCAACGGCATTTGCTCGACCTGGCTCGAGGCCGTCGAGCACGGAGAAGAGGTGCCCTGCTTCGTGCGAGCGTGAGTGACTCTCACACGCCGGCCGTGCTTCCTCATTGGGGTCAGATCGGTTTGACAATGAGTGTTGGCCATTGGGGTTAACGTCTCTGAATCTCGGAACGTGCAAGCGGCTCCGTGTGAGTTATATTTGGAGAGGCGTAGCGCCGTTGTTTCTAAAGCCATTGTACTCACCGCAGAAAACTGTAACGACACGACCACACTCTGATAGCCATCGCCAAACTGTGCCACACGCCCTCCCGCATTGCCTTGTGTGAGCCTGTGAAAAGTTTTCGGGGTCAAGTTTAAGTGTCGATGACTTAATTGTGGATTTATGTTTTTCTCGTGTGTGTGTGTGTGTTTTTTTTCCTCTGCACAGAGCACCTCGGTTTCACTTGCCCTCTGACCCCTCCCTCCCATGCATTCTGATTGGCCCAGGCACAGGCATCGCACCTTTCCGGGGCTTTTGGCAACAGAGATTGTTCGACATGCAAACAACCGGTGTGTGCGTTAAGATCTCACAAATCCTCACGTGTCACTTTTCTATGAACTCCAATGGCTTGAACATGAACAGCGTACCCACATACAAATGCATTCATTCATTCACATGCGTATGTGGGGTTAGCGCCCTGCGCTATGAAGCCGACAATCCAAGTTCATTTCCCATTCACGACCAACACCAGTCACGATTATCTGAATCGGTCCTGGGCCTCCTCTAGGTCGACTCAGCCTCAAATGAGTACCCGATGCGATGTATAAACATCGCCACAGCGGGAGACAAAGGCGGCCAGGTGTGGTGCTGGCCACCCAACCCCCTCGTGTGCCGTTCCAGCATTCATAGGTGCTCGCTCACAGCATTTTATTCCTTTTAATTATGATGTTTACACGCCGCACTAGTTACTAATTTAAGGCTGAGTCAACCTCGGGACGGCACTGGACCGGTTCAAATATTTGCTACTGCTTTTGGTTGTGAGCGGGAATCGAACTCGGGTTGATGGCTTCATAGCAGAGTGCGCTAACCACTACACTAACGCTCCACCGCTGTTTGCGCACGTGCGTGCATGCACACACACGCACGAATGTTTACGTTTCCTTCCATCCGTGGTGCCTACAGGGGTTCCTTCACCCGCAATGGTGCTCGTGTTTGGCTGTCGGAGTGAATCTCACGACCACATCTACAAGGAGGAGATTAAAGATGCCCTGCAGAAGGGCGTCCTCAAGTCTGCTCATGTGGCCTACTCTAGGCAGCCAGGCTGTCCCAAGGCAAGATGCACATTCACCAAAACCACTTTTGGCATTTGAGATGCAGCGTTAAGAATGAGGCAGTTAACCACAAAACGGAATCAAAGTGTGTGCACGCGGAAAGACGTCTACGAAAGTAGGACACAAATAAACAAACGTCTTCAAACCAGTTGTGTTTGTCCATACGTTGAACTTCTTTCGCACCGTACGTAGCTAACCGTGCTAATCGGAGGTGCGGGGTAAGGACAACAAGACTAGGGACAATTAAACACGCAAGGCAGTTATAAAGAAATGTGTTTTCACCGATAGTTATTGAATGCAATACAATTTTAGTTATGAAAAAACAAGACTTCGCTAAACCTTTCTTCGCCCACGGTTGAAACACGTCTAATGTGATTCATGCCTAATTGTCTCTTAGTCTACAGTAATGTTCACAGTTGCTTTGCAGGAGTTTATAAATTCATACATGCACGAGTCCTTACCTCAGACTGTTAAAAAATAGGATCCTGAGAAATTACAGCTTTACATCATACTGGTGTCATGCTGTGTTTTTCAAAAAGTAGAGGAAACAGAGGCCCTGCACGTGACTTTACATCATGTCGCTCGGAGCATGTTCTGTGATTCCAAATAAAGCTGAAAACCTCGAAGCTAACGGCTGATTCAGGGGTCAAAGTGCTGAGCTGGCACAACTGAGGTTCTGGCTTTGAATCTGTGTTTCAGTCACCCGTGTTTAAACCGGGTTCTCATGTGCAGTAAGTTGTGATGTACCAATCAATGAGTGATTATAAAAGCTTCTCGCCATATTCCATTTTTCGCTTAATTTGGCTAAGTGCCACTTCTGAAAATGTGAAATATTGCATTGACCGCCATTCCAGAGGCACATCTCTGCAGCTGGGCATGTGAGAAAGTCCCCCCCCCCCCCCCCCCCCCTTGAGTGGATAAAATATGTCACACGAAGGGAGCTCAGATGTAGTTCCGTGAAATATGCTTCATCAAGTGGACTGTTCTGCAAGCATTTCGAATTTATACTTTGTGCCATGATGTGATGCCGACAGCAAGATTAAAATAAAGTTTTGAAAAAAACGGAGCAAATAAAGCCCAAGGGTTAAAAGTGTTCTGATGGTCAAGTGGCTTAGCGGTCAGTGCTGCTCAGCACCACGATCGCTTTTAATTTGATTCTGCACTTTTCCGTTTTGATGATGCACGTGTACGCCATAGAAACGTAACCAGAACAAAAACTAAAATAAAATAACTTTATCGATACCGAGGCTCCCACATGGCCACGTGGGTGGGGGCGTGTGGCACAGTTTGGCGCCAGCTATCACTGAGTGTGGTCGTGTCGCTACAGTTTTCTGCGGTGAGTACAATGTTTTTAAAAATAACGGCGCTATACCTCACTGAATAAAATTAATGCTGAACCTCTTGCGCGTTCTGAGATTCGGCGGTGAACGGGACCGACCTTGCAACTTGCAGTTGTCTCGGAACGGTAAAAGGTTAATTTAGCTAAATGTAGGTGATGAGAATGATAAATATTGCTTTTACTATCACGGGATGATCCTTGATCTATAACAATGCATATGGAAAAGTGCTGCCCCATAGTGGTCACTTGCAGCGATCTCGGAAGTAATTCTATGACATCCCCTAAAAATCCCGGATGGATTCTTCATCTGAAGGCATGTTGCCAATAGTACAATCAGGATGGGGGGGGGGGGAAATATCGGAAGTAGTTCTGGGACATCTACTTCTACGGACCACTCATTCTCAAACACCGCCCTGCATCCGTTGACGAGCCACCGCCACCGCCGATAGCTCAGTGGGTATTAAACCGGCTGTGTGAGGTTCATGTTCCACGCGTGAAGCCAGAAGAATCGAAGTGTTCTCAGTAGGGCTAAACGATTAATCGATTTCAAATCGAATTCGCAATTTGAAACAATGCGATTAGCAAATCGCAAAGGCTGCGATTTTTTTGCGATGACTTGACGTTACGGAGGCAACACAAGCTTCCGTCTTCAGGTCGTGATTTTTATTTTATTTTTATTTTACTTTTATTAATTTAATTTTTTTACCTACGTGACTTTACCGAAAAAAACCCTAAGAATATGAGTTCAGCCCTCGTTCTAAGGCTCTCAAGGCGCGCGGTCATTCGCACCCGGCAGCGCTACGTGCAGGACGTGGTGCTGGAGGAACTCGGTGAGGAGCTGTCCATGGTGCTGAGCGACGTCGGCGGCCACGTGTACGTGTGCGGTGACGTCACCATGGCGCAGGGCGTGCAGACGGCGCTCCAGGAGGTGCTGGGGCGCACCAGGGGCCTGAGCCCACAGCAAGCCGCCCAGCTGCTCAGCACCATGAAGGTGATGGTCACAAAGGGCAAAAGATCCCACGTGTAAATTTCGATTTAAAGCTTTCGTGACTGCAGGGATTCATCTTCTTGGTTCTTTCGGTAAAGTCACGTAGAAGGGAAAAAATAATTATTTTATTATGTTTTATTTTTATTATTTTATTATTTCCCTTCTACGTGACTTTACCGAAAGATCCAAGAAGATGAATCCCCCGTGTAGCCTTTAACAGACTGCGAGCACCTTTGAAGGCTGGCGCGGCACATGGGAAGGGGTGGGGGGGGGAGGCAGCACCACGCCCGGCGGTCTTTGTCTCCACAGTGGCGATGTTTTACTACACAACGCACCAGGTACTCATTTGAGGCTGAGTCGACCTAGGCGAGGCCCAGGACCGGGAACTGGGGGTGGCCAGGTTCATAGCGTAGCACGTAAACCGTAGCGCTACCCCACATACACACGCACAGACGTAGACTCACAAAAGGCATCTACCACTTAATTGGATTTCTGACGATGATGATGGTGATTATGATGGAGGTTAGTCATGTAACGAAATTCACTCTCCCAGAAGTTCAATAAATTGTCGTGATTTTGGAATTGTGATTCGACTCAATAATCGATTATTTTTGGTTTCACTTTTACCATCTCATTTGTATTGTGCCTAACTGTTTTTTGTATTGTTGGTAGTTATGTTCATTCCTTTTAGCCTAGATGTGATCATGAACATGTAGCTTGCTTATTTTGTAAATGATTTATTTTCACGCAGTTGATTTTATCGTCATCATTTACATTTGGTAGATCGATGCATCGTTACATGCGTTGAAGTGACCATTTAATACCTTGTATTGTACGCAGTACTATAAGTATCATTGGCTTGTACAATAGCCGTGCAATTAGTTCATTGTAATAGTAGTCATATGGTTGTGACAGTCATGATTATTAATTATTTATGAGTTGTATCCAAAGCGGTAATAGTGTTAGATGCATTGTAATATGTTTCATAGTAATACATGTTTAAATCATAACATTTCACATGACCACTCCAACGTATTTCATTCAAGTTATGCATCAGCAGTGCATGTTTAAATGTTGATATGTGATACATATTGATGTGTAATATGCAATTCATGTATCAATAATGCACTTATGATTAATGTTTTTTTACGTATTGATCATTATTCGGACCCTATATTGTGTTGTTTCAGACCATTTATCGCATGTGCCTTGTCGCTTTTGGGACCCAAGTCTTTCTTAACTAAGCCAACAGGCTCTGGTGTTTTTAATACAGACGTATAACTATCTAGGATGCTGCGTGTGGTGCAATGCTTAGTGAACCGGATTTGCAATGCAGAGGTCGCCAGCTCGATTCATTTGCCAGGCGCGGCGGTTGAAACAATGGGCAGATTCCTCGAGCCACCGATTGGTCAATCAGCAGGTAGCATGTGCTGGGTGTAAAGTGTGGGTGCTTCCACCTCTTATAAGATATGTGGCCAGAGTGGAAGAGTAGGCCAAAACACCCTCTCAAGGGCTCCCTCTAGTGGAGGCCCTTCCGCCGTCAGTTGTGTGCTGAAAAAATTGCAGGGCTGCACCTTTGCTACCTTCTATTACTACGACTACATAAGGAACTTCAGGCAATGTCACTACATATCACTTCGCATTCGAGTACGTAGCTGCCCAACAAAATTCTCAGTCTCAGTTTATTGAGGGGGTTAAATATGCGTCTAGTTTCTCTGTAACAAAACACGTGTGTTTTTTTAGGATAAAATGCCACGGCATGAACTCTCCAACAGTGTTTCACGATGAGGGCTAGAGCGTGCAAGGCGCAACACAAGCACGTGTGCATTTGTTTCTTAACTCCGATCCTTGAGAACCACGACGGTCCACCTATTTGTGATTTACCGGCCGTTTTCTATTCGTATTCGTGGTTGGTAATCTCGCAAAGCTGAACCGTGGGATTCGTCAGAGCTAGAGTTGAGAAGCGTTGCTTTAAGCCAGGGGTGGGGAACGTCCGGCCCGCGAGCCGTATAAGGCCGGCGAAATCATCTGGTCTGGCCCTGTCAAGGCAACCGCAGGCGGGACTCGAAATTCAATAAATCTAGGAGCAATCCTGGAAAAGCTGTTGCGAGTAGCAAAATCATCAATACCAGCTAACATCACACGCCTCGCCAAAGAGAAGCAGTTACAGCCATCACATTAGGGGTGATTTAATTAAATGTTTGACCAAATATAACAGGCTAATTTTTCAGTTGATCATTTCGTATGGCCCGCGAATGATGTTATAAATATCCAAATGGCTCTTGGCAGAAAAAAAGGTTCCCCACCGCCGCTTTAAGCCTACTGAAGTTCACTTATTTTTTTTAACATAGCGCCCGAGTGGCCAACAGAGGGCCTCATTGATGCATGCGCAAACCGAATGGTCACTTACCAGACGTTCTTCTCGTTTTGTTTTTCAGGACAATAATCGATACCACGAAGACATCTTTGGAGCAAAGTATTCTTCGCTTGATAGCTCCAACCCAGGATATACTCCGGGAACTAAGTGATCAATGAAACAAAAATGAAATGCAGTGACAACTATTAACTGTGGTGAATTGAATGGATGAATCCTGACTGGATTAGCTGTTGGAAATACAATTGGTAACGTTTGCTTTGTGATGTTTGTGTTTTATGTCTGATTGGCAGTGTAACCAGGCTGCATTGCTACTATCTCGTGTACAATTGTTTGGCATGCGAAGTCATATTGTTACGTTGTGCTCGCACAATATTGTGTTAGAAAAGTAATGCCACGGCATGCATGGCATTAACGATTACGAACGACAATAAACACTCCCTTCTGTCTCATTGTCTGGCGCTGTGTGTTTGCTTTGGGCTGGCTTCGTTGCAGATTCCTCACGGTGACTTGTCTAGCACAGACAACTTGTGCAGACTCCCGGTTGATCCGGGGCAGGTGTAAACGAATGATTGTCAACATCCGTGAATTTATCTTCTTGGTTCTTTCGGTAAAGTCACGTAGAAGGGAAGTAATAAAATAATAAAAATAAAACATAATAAAATAAAATAATTCTCACGACGTTTCGGCTACAACGCAAGCAGCCGTCTTCAGGTGAAGAATGAGACACTACCAAGCTAGGAGCTTATATATAAGCTGGGTTGGAGGTGGAAGAAAGAACCAAGAAGATGAATCCCTGCAGTCAGGAAAGCTTTAAATCGAAATTTAAATCCGTGAATTTATTCCACTCGTCTGTGTAAATCAACTTCACCCTCCTAGTGGGTGACGTCTCAGGCATGGCTTGTCTGCTGACTAACAAGTGTTTTTAACAACAGTCACCTTTACATTATTCGTTAAATGTCTGAGATTTAAATCTTAGTAGTATTTAAATAAATTAATGTGCATGCCTTTGTATATCTACTGTTGGAGGAATGCCTTATCATGCCATCTAACTCTAAAATATTTCTATTAACTTCCAAATTACTGTTATTGCATTTCACTCTTTGATATACATCGCTACGACCATCTGCTGTTGACTGAAGAAGTTGTTTAAAAATCATAATTTGAAAAATGGGAATTTACTAATACAAAATATTTTATAATATTGTCAGCAAGTGCATCTCTCCCTTCTAAATTGCAAGGCAAAATTTACTACTGAGTATATAAAATATCTCCTTTAGCTTTTATTTCAAATAAGATTAAGTATTTTCCATCCAGCCCGCAGTTTGCCTATTTATGACAAAAAAGTTAAATATTTAACGTCGAAAGACGTAAAATATTTCATTAATAATTGATTATCCATGATCCTCCACAAAAGCACTCAAAAATTATTCGTTCCAGGTGTTAGATCACTGACATTAATCCCTGGCAAGAGAGAAAAGAGATGAGTAACCATTGCTGTGCAAGTCTAAGATGTTTAAGTTATAATTTAACTTCGGACAACGTCAATGGCAAATTCTTGCGAGCAACGTTACAGGATGTTTAATGGCCAGTTGACATTCGAAGATTCGGCACCTGTGGATAGTTGTTTTCCCTGGTCAAAACACTGCTTAGCTGTACAAATTGAGCTGTCAACACCGCGTTATGTGCGATTCATTGGGGGGGGGGGCATTGTTGCAAAGAAGGTGCTCACAAAAGACACGTGATATTTCGTTATCACTGTTGTTATTATCATATGTCCGTCATCTTCGTGCGGAAGGCTGACAACCTCCTTGTGCCGTTCATGCGTCGTGTTTGCCATTCTTTTAATTCCTCAAAATAATGTAGGTCCATTATATATGACAGCATCGGCATCCTGCCTTACTGCATTGGCTACGTACGGTGTAAAAGAAGTTCTACATACATTATCATCATCATGTAATACTTTTCCAGGTCAACCACATGGCCACGAGAAAAAGTGTTCTTTGACTGATTCTTCTGAACGAGATTTTATTGTAGTCACCTCTTCGCCATAATCAGTGAAGAGTAGTATTAAATGTTCAGATTTAAATCTGTGCACAGTTCATAACGAGGTCTCCATACTGTTGAATTGTATAAAACTAGGCATTTAAAACATCACAATAACCCTCACGGCGCTTCTTCAGCTACGCTGCATGTAAGCTTTAAAAATTAATAACTAAAACGACTTGCAAATCTGTGCCAATCCTCTGCTGGATGAAAGTCTCCATGTTCAAGCAAATATGACTGTCATTTGGGGAAAAAATGTTATAATGTGAACTGTTTCCCATTGGTTTCATCAGAATGATTGCATTATAGAAACCAAATGCGTCATTGACATATCGGCACATATTACAGCACCGTCCCCTAACCCAGTAAAGTTTTATTGTTTATTTGTCTCCGTTTTATGGGCAGTTCCTCTCGTTCATGGCGATACGTTTAACGTGCATACAATGATCATTGCTACAAAGACACACAATGGGAAAGCACGCTTTTAATTCTAGATTTGAAGCTTTCGTGACTGCAAGGATTCATATTCCTGGGTTTTTTCGGTAAAGTCACGTAGGTAAAACATTAAAATTAATAAAAGTAAAATAAAATAAAAATCACGACGTTTCGGGGGCAACACAAGCTTCCGTTGCCTCCGAAACGTCGTGATTTTTATTTTATTTTACTTTTATTAATTTTAATGTTTTACCTACGTGACTTTACCGAAAAAACCTAAGAATATGGGAAAGCACGCTTTCTTGTAAGTTATTTCGTCACTGTGCTGTGTTTGTATAAGTCCCCAATTTATTGACAGGGTTTGATTTTGTTACATGCAATCGGAAGCATACGTGCATGATTGCACCATACCAGAGGTGGTTGAGTGACTGAGTGAACAAAGCATTGCGGCTGGCACTGCTGACATCCTGTGTTTGAATCTGGACAGACCTCCTGTGATCAAACCAGATTCCCACGTGTAGTCGTTAGTCGATGGTCTGTGTGAATGGCGCTTCTGTGTTTGCGATGCTTTACCCTACATCTTTCACTCGTGCGCTCCTGTAGAGGTCCCTATCCCAGCATGTACAGGTTTCCCTCGCGCTACGCGGGTTCGGTTTGTGCGATGTCGCGCTTTTTATGCGCATAACATATTTCTACCCAAAAGTCGCTACGTTATGCGGTTTGATTTCGCTATACATGCGACTATGCGATCAGACGTGGGGCAACGTTGTGTGTGACTGTGCGTCCTGTGTTCCCTACGACTCAGCCTTAAATGAGTACCTGGTGCGGTGTGTAAACATCGCCACTGGGGAGACAAAGGCGGTCGGGCGTGGTGCTGGCCACCCACCCCCTCGTGTACCGTTCCGGCCTTCATAGGTGCTCGCTAACAGCACTTGCCCCTACAGTCTGTTAAGGCTATACGGGGGATCTTTGTCTTTGTCTTTTTTTGTGTTCCCTACAAAGTTTGGAGCGGTGGTGTAGCGGTTAGCACACTGCGCTACAAACCTGGCAATTCTGGTTCGATTCCCGATCACGGCCACCACCTGTGACGATTATCTGAACCGGTCCTGGGCTTCCCCTAGGTCTACTCAGCCGGGCGTGGTTGTGGCCACCCATCCCCTCGTATGCCGTGCCGGCCTTCATAGGTGCTGACTAACAGCACTTGCCCCAACAGTCTCTTAAGACTATACGGGGGATCTTTATCTTTTTCCTGCTTTTGAGTTCGCTAATCGGCAGGCAGCTGTTTCTTCGTGCGAATTTTTGCTTCGTGTGCCCTTTTCTTTGAACGCATCTACTACTACCGCTTAAAGCGAGGGAAACATTATTGCAACACAAATACATGTTTAGTGATGTGGCTTGGTACTCTTCATTCAGTTGTGATAAATGTTTAAATATCTGACTATTTCATTATCACATCTTCCCTCCCCCCCTCCACCTTTTGCCTCCCATTACAATCATCTGAGAGGTTAAATTTAACCCAATTAACTACAATATAAGAGTCGCAAAAAACGTGCTCAATGATTGGATAGGTTTCAGGTGCATAAAGAATATTACGTGTGATATCACATTGAAGATAATTTAATATACATCTGCAGAATGTATCGTTAATTATTTGCTTAATCGAAACTTGCCAATGAGACACTGCATCTTGAAGCATTTATTGAATATCGTAGACGGCTGGGTGCCTTTGGAGCAAACATATTTTCTCAGTGTTGAGTCGGCACTTTCGAAAGCTCAAATTCGAGACCTACGTGGATTAATCACAAATTGATATGACCGCTCAGAGGTCATCTATTTCTCATCTCCACGGTAAATTTGGCCTCATTCCAGTCACTGATATACACATTTTTATCGACAGTATTTATGTATTTGTATACATAGCAACATCGCCCGGTACTGCAAAACACGTTGCAGGACCCTCCTGAGACTCGGCGAGGCTTTGCTGGGTAAAAAAAATCGGAATCACAATAAACAATACTAACAACAACAACTCCATCATTAGTCTCGACTAAAGGCCATCATTCCTTCTGGTCACGAGTCCTGCCCGAGCTGTGATTACTATTTTTTTGTTGTATCCAGTAATACTTTGTTTTTAAAATCTACAAGGATGGCAGGTTACCCGCAATGGCATGCGTTGCTTTGCAGCACGTGTTAACGAAGCGTTGTTGCGCGGCTTTGATTCGCGTCGCCAGCTCATCACAAAGAGGGATAAAGTGGAGAGAAGCACTGACTTTAGTTGACTGTCTGAGTGAAAGTGAACACAAAGGGCTGCTTTCGACCACCCCACGTTTGTCCAAACTCCTGCTCTCCTGGATATCTCCAACAGCACTTTTGTAACAGTCATAGGGTGACATGAAGTTCAGCTTTCATCTTCTTGGTTCTTTCGGTAAAGTCACGTAGAAGGGAAATAATAAAATAATAAAAATAAAACATAATAAAATAATTCTCACGACGTTTCGGCCACAACGCAAGCAGCCGTCCTCAGGTGAAGACCAGGTCTGTCGGGAAGACAGCGTCTGAATGAAACACCCCAGGCTTGGAGCGTATATTTAAGCTGGGTTGAAGAACCAAGAAGATGAATCCCTGCAGTCACGAAAGCCTTAAATCGAAATTTAAGTTCAGCTTTGTCCACGAAATGCCACAGTACAGGTACACGTAGAGTCCATTGTCACTCCATTGCTGGATGAAGGCATGTCCCATGCCATGTCAGTCGTATGGAGGCTGTTTGCCTGTACTTCATCATGCCAGTCAGTATGAGTTGGTGAAACGAGGGAGCATAGAGATGGGAGCAATGATTTGAGACACAATACCATCTATTCCCCGCAGCCTATAACACGTGTTATGCACGTTTAGTTGCACATTTAAGCACTATCCAGGCGCATATAACTGGGTAATTTGATCCTCGTGAAATTCCT